GCTTGTGGAAGGCTACCCGAAACGTTTGACCCAAGTTAAACAATTTAAAGGCAATGCTAGCAAATACTAATTGAGTGTATGTACACTTCTGACCCACTGGGAATGTGATGAAAGAAATAAAAGCTGAAATAAATAATTCTCTCCACTATTATTCTGACATTTCACATTCTTAAAATAAAGTGGTGATCCTAACTGACCTAAGACAGGGTATTTTTACTAGGATTAAATGTCAGGAATTGTGAAAACCTGAGTTTAAATGTATTTGGCTAAGGTGTATGTAAACTTCTGACTTCAACTGTATATGTTATGGTGTGGTGTGCATTTTCCTGGCATGGTTTAAGTCAACTTGTAGAATCTATGCCAATGCGCATTGAAGCTGTTCTGGTAGCTCGTGGTGGCCCAATGCCCTATTAAGACACTTTATGTTGGTGTTATTTTGGCATATACCTGATACCTGTATGTGCTTGTGATAAAACTTAATCCACAGTAATTTTTTTTTAACAATTGATCATCTGTGGCTAAATTATTTTTGAACATTGAGAGCAGGCTGCTGGGGTTGGATAAAAATTTTAAATAATTACAATTAAAATTACGTAATATACAGGAAAGTATTCAGACACCTTGACTTTTCCAAATTTTGTTATGTTACAGCCTTATTCTAAAATTGATTACATAGTTTTTTCCCCTCATCAATCTACACACAATACCCCATAATAAAAAAGCAAAAACAGTTTTTTAGATAATTTTGCTAATTTGCTAAAAAAAATGGTTTCCTCCAGACGTGACGCTTGGCATTCAGGCGAAATAGTTCAATCTTGGTTTCATCAGACCAGAGAATCTTGTTTCTCATGGTCTGAGAGTCATTTAGGTGCCTTTTGGCAAACTGCAAGCGGGCTGTCATGTGCCTTTGACTGAGGAGTGGCTTCCATCTGGCCACTCTACCATATAGGCCTGATTGGTGGAGTGCTGCAGAGATGTTTGTCCTTCTGGAAGGTTCTCCCATCTCCACAGAGGAACTCTAGAGCTCTGTCAGAGTGACCATCGGGTTCTTGGTCACCTCCCTGACCAAGGCCCTTCTCCCCCGATTGCTCAGTTTGGCCAGGCAGCCATCTCTAGGAATTGTCTTGGTGGTTCCAAATTTCTTGGGGACCTTCAATGCTGCAGAAATGTTTTGGTACCCTTCCCCAGATCTGTGCCTCGACACAATCCTGTCTCGGAGCACTACGGACAATTCCTTCGACCTCATGGCTTGGTTTTTGCTCTGACATGCACTGTCAACTATGGGACATTATATAGACAGGTGTGTGCCTTTGCAAATCATGTCCAATCAATTGAATTTACCACAGGTGGTCTCCAATCAAGTTGTAGAAACATCTCAAGGATGATCAATGGAAACAGGATGCATCTGAGCTCAATTTCGAGTCTCAAAGCAAAGGGTCTGAATACTTATGTAAATAGGGTATTTCTGTTTTTTATTATTAATAACTTAGCAATATACTACATATATAATATATACTGTATATATAATATATACAGTATATATTTCCTTTACTATTACTTTTTGTAAAAAATAAATACAAAATAGCTTCCTTTTGGGCCCCCCACGGGCCTGGGCCCAGGGGCTTCAGCCCCAGTAAGCCCCAGCATTAACCTGGCCCATAATGTAAAGAGTTAAATTAACACTCAATGGTGTAAAACAACCCCAGTGTTGGTGTTAATAACCAGAGTTGAAACAAAACCACGCCCATCATTATCATATTTCCCAGCAGGCTCTATTGGAGGTAGATTTTTAGAATTGTTTGTTTCAATATCTATGTTTTTGCATGTACATTGATTCATTAATTAATCTTATGCTTCTCAAATATAAATAATATACATTTTTCTAAACTATTGCTGTTACTTGGACTTATTGCACCCGTTACTGAAATGGTTGTTCCAGTTTAGATGTTTAATGTAGTCTCATATCTTAGTGTTCCCAACCCTGGCAGTCATTCTGAATGCAGGTTGCGTGTGAATAAAAATTCCAAATGTTGAATATCCCCACTCTGGCTGGATTCCATTAGGAATTACACATCACTTTGCAAACCAGCATAATTTGACTTGCAGGCCATTGTATTAGAGTAAAACTAGGCCCCTCAAAAGAAGGCCTTGTGAAAAAAACAAATCTAAATCTAGAAGGGGGTATTCTAAAGAGTGTCAATGAGCATGCATTAAGTAATATATACTGTATAAAATACCATCATGTTTTTATCTTTCAGAAATGATTAAGTGTTTGCTGAATGGTTCTTTCTAAAAGTGAACAGCAATGGGGAGGGTGTGACAGCTGATGTGTGTGAGAGGTGAAAAGCCTGTATCGCTGAACAAAAACTCAGACTGGGCTGGATCCACAGCCAACAAAGACAAACTCACTCATTGGTTGATAAGTGAAAACACACTTTCTATAAATATGAATCTTCTATTCAAAGGCTATTGAACAACATGTAATAGAGAAAATTGGAAAGCACAAGCGACTGAGTTCAAACACTCACTGTCGAAGTCAAATATTTTCACACGTCTCTTATGGAATGCTCAATGTTAAAACTGTTTTGGTTTGATAGGATTATTGCAAGGTGGAAATAGTACTGCATACACATCCTGACAAAGGAAAAGCACCAAGTAGTTGTATGAAGTCAAGCACAGCTGTTCTATGCTGTTTGTGAATCATAAACAGATGGTGTACCTGATCTATGCATTCCTTTCATCCTCTTGAAAGACCACATTGCATTTTCAATATCATGACGTTATAAGGCAGGAGGTCCAGGTTTGTCCGCAGACATATAAAACATTGCCTTTTAATAAATAAATAAATACATCTGAAGATGTGAGGAGAACATGCAGTGAAATGGGGAACATTTGGTTTGAGTTTGGCTCATGTGGACTTTTGGCTCAGAGACCTCTCTCTTTCCACTGCCTCCTTAAGGTTCTCATTAGAAGGACAGTATGTCTAGGAGGGTCTCATAAAGTCTGCTCAATCCAGTTTCATATGAGTACTACATCAGGCTATTAGAGTCCTGCACCAGGACAGATACACACCCACATGAATCAGGAGTTCTGATTGAGAAGTAGTGAGACTTATTGTATCTGTATTGGTCTCCACTGCAGTCCTTGGATGAGCTAATAGGGATTTTCATTGTTATGATGACGGTTTATGGGCAATATCTCTCTCTTATACAATGACTACCACCTTGGCAGGGGCAAATTTGAACTGTCTGACTTCAGAGACTTCTTTGTAGTCATAAGTGGGGAATCAAACAGTCACCATATGAAATCATCTAAATGGTGGGATTCATATTTAATCAACGAGAACAGGGGGATGAAAGTTAATTATTCAAGTACGAACACGTCGACAGAGATCACAATAGTAGCCAAGTCGAAGAAAGCACTGTATACAAAACAGCTCCAATAGCCACCATTTCGGCCATGTGTAAAAAAACATGACTTCTGAGAGCATAATATTGGGATTGCCAGTATTGACACACTCAACAGGTAGTTGTGAACACTTGGATGCTTGTATACAAATAGCGGGGGCGCAACTTTGGTTTTAGAAGTGGGGGGGACATACAGTCCAAACAGCCTACCCGACCGCTCGTAGGCGTCTGCATGGTCCTAAAGCACACCGTTGCCTCGTTTTGTATCACATTCCTATGATAAAACTGGGGGGGACAAAAATGCAATTTCAGAATGTGGGGGGACAGGTCCCCCCCCCCCCCGTCCCCAGTGAAAGTTGCGCCGCTGACAAATAGTATGTACAGTACAGTGGGAGACTGCTTTCAAGCTACAGTAACCCCAGGCTACTGTAGCAGATTAAGGAGTCACGTAAATTATGAAGAAGCATTTTGTTGAGTCAGATTAGATAATTACATTGACGTTAGCTTCCACCAAAGCAGGTGGCTGGCCACAAAAACCACTGAACCACAGCAGTAGTAGTGCATCCGGAAGAAATGAACTCACTCTCACAACCTGGCAGTGAGTTAACCATGCATTCCTGCGTATAAATATCTCTGCATACTCTCTGCCCTCCACGTTTGACTTTTAAATCCATATATCTGCTCCAGTCATGCCTCTCCTTTAACCCAGCTGTAGTTGAATGAAGTGAATTTCATAGTTTCAGTCCACAGGTACTCTGGGGTCCTTCATGGGTGGTTCAATGCAGTCCCAGCTGCCTGTTTAAAAAGGTTGTGCCAGACGACGACGGCACCTGTTGCTAATTCACCAGCTACTTCTTTCCTGCCTATAGGCACAAAGTTGAAATCCTTCTCTCTCAGTGTTTTTTACGTTGGCTGTTTTAAAAAGGCACACTGTTATCAGCAACCTGTGGCAATTGAGCTCACAAGCTTGCATGAACCTTAAAATAAACCCTCAAGGTAAGCACCTAGCTTTAAAGTTAATGTGAATATCCTGCTTAATCGAGGGATTTTTTTAAATATCAAAAAATCGTATCCAAAAAACTGGTTTTCATGTCAAATCTTATTTTAGAAGCCTGAGGGTATAGGCTGTGAAATGTTAGTAAAATATTGATAGGGGGGGAAAAAATCCCTGTGGCCTTAACAGAACTTAAGGTCAACTGTTTTCTCACTCTGAGAATGTGCTAATGTGACATTATTTTTCTCTAAACGTGGTTGAAAACCAACCGTCCTGGCTGGGTTAGAGCGTAATGGTTTGCATCCCAAATGGCAACCTATTCTCTATTTATTCCACTACTTTTGACCAGAGCCCTAGTGAACTACATAGGGAATAGATTGCCATTTGGGATGCAGCCATGGTGTGTTTGGGGGTGACCTCTCTCCAGAGATGCAGGGTATACAACAAACCAGAGCTCTAGCTCCTAGACGCGCAGAGGGAGGTGTCATGGCTGACTGCCTGAGGGCTGTGACACTCGACTATGTTTGGTAAACATGGTCAACTAACGTAAGTGTAACGTAGTAATAACATGATTTGGTGTTTTTTGTTTCACTCTTCCTCCAGATGCACAGAGAGGTGATGTACGCCAGCAGAGATGGCCAGCACCCCCCAATGCGACAGCTCTCCATGGGCCCCCCTCCACACCACCCCATGCAGGGCTCCCTGTCCCCACCCACGGCCCACTCCATGCCCCCCTCACCCTCACGGATCCCCTACGGCCCGCGCCTGGGATCCATGCCCGGCAATGCCACCATGCCCCGGGAGCGCATCGCCAACGCCACCCCTCCTGCGCGATCCGTGTCCCCCTGCCCCAGCGCCATCCTGGAGAGGCGGGACGTCAAGCCCGACGAGGACCTGGGTGCTATGAGTCCCAGCCTGGTGAGGGGCGGAGAGGGGCTGTACACTGACCCATACTTGCTCCTCAACGAGGGTAGGATGGGCCACGGTCCTGCCCATGGAGGGCACCCTCCTCCTGGGGACATGGTGGACCACGGCAGCCTGGCCGGATACCACCGCGCCTCCATCCGCTCCACGAGTGCCTACAGCGGGCACAGCCCCACCGAGGCCATGGAGCAGCCTTCACTCTACCGCCAGAAGTCCAGGAAGTACGGAGACAGCCAGCTGCCTACGCTGGGCTCCAAGACCCCACCCCCCTCACCCCACAGGATGGCAGAGGTGAGGATGATTGACATCCACGGGGCGCCGCCCCCTCCCAGCGGCATTCCCCTGGAGTGCTCCTCGCCCGTTCGCCATTCCTTCAGGAAGGATGAAGTGGTGAAAAGCAGAAGCAACGTGGCGTCTCCAGTTGTCCCGGACATCCAGGGTCATGGCCCTATCCCGCCAGCCAACGATCCCCAGACACGGTAAGCCAACCCGGGGGACCTGAGGTGGGACTGGTGGGGTGGGTTGCTCAGTGAAAGGGTATGATACTGCATGAGGGCATAGATGAACTAACACTGCATCCTTGCACCACCCTAACAGTAACCGTGGGCTGCTCTGTTTTAATCTTAGCTCAGACTGTTTCTCCTCATCACCACTGCAGGGCAGAGACGTCTCCCCTGTCACACACACACACACACACACACACACACACTGCGTGTCTGGTCCGCCCTGTCAAGGTCATCACATTTAGCACAGTGGGCTATAACACTATTATGGTTATGAATATTCTTATTGTCTTTTATCTAGATCAATTAGGGTTGTGTGTGTGACCAGCTCTATTTATATGAATAGCTTATTCCTAATCCTAAAACCTTGGAGTGAGGAGTTGAAGAGAGTTGGTTTACTCAGTGCTACATAGTTGACACTGTAAACCAAGCCACTGCAGTAATGGAATAGCACTTCAAGCCTCCTATTCAGACTGTATATCAATAACTCTCTGTCTGCATGCCCGTGTAGATCGACTATTAGCCCTGCACTCCGGCAGTCATTTCTGCGGCTATTTCAACTTGGCTTGTTCTGTTTCACTGAAGGACAGAACACACAAACACAGGAGAGGGCATGAGGGACATACTCCAGCCATACAGTCATATGTGTTTTGATTGGAATGCGTTAGACCGGATGGCTATGGGGGTGAGGGGGCTATGTGTGTACTGCTCAGGAAAACCAAAGCAAATATTGACCAGGTTGGTTGGATAAGACCTGGGCTTTCTGAGAGCCGATTCAGGGGGAACAGATCATTAGGACCACCTGCATGGCACAAACACCATGGCTGTGTCCCAAATGGTACCCTATTCCGTTTATAGTGCACTACTTTTGACCAGGGCCCGCATAGGCAGCTAGCCTTGTGGTTAAGAGCGTTGGGCCAGTAACCAAAAGGTCACTGGTTTGAATCCCCAAGCTGACTAGGTGAAAAATCTGTCAATGTTCACTTGAGCAAGGCACGTAACCCCAAAACAGGGTAGTTTCGTTCACTTACTTTATACTCTATAACTACGGAGTGGCCTTCAAGCATGAGTTGTACTTACAGACCATTCCGTATAGGCACGGTGCTCTATAATGGCTATATAGGTACAATAAACTTTTATATCTTAGGCTTTGCATTTCAGTGCCCTGGGAGACATAGCTAAGTGTCTGTTTCTCTACAGTACAATGTCTGGGCGCAGTATACAGCACGATCTGGATCACAGTCATTTCTCTTGTCCTCATCTAGCCCCATCCAGCTCCCTTCCCCTCCCCTCACAAGCCATTAGATATGTGATGACATGTGAAAAGACAGTGCTCCTCTATGTCTGAGCCTCACTGGTCACCAAGCAATCACCAAGCCTAAGGATCCCTATTCACCCCCTGTGCTTGGTTTTCTTCACATTGCCGGTCCGGCCAGAGTAATATGAGAATTGATGAGTTTGTCTCCTCTTTCTCGTCCAGGCGCCAGCCACCAGTGACACAGTCTATTGTTTTATCCACAATGTGCCCACTAAGGTCCAACTCATCTCAACTCATCTCAACCTCTGGGCTAAATCTACTAGACAGCCCTGTCTTGTTTTCAGAAATTCAGACTAGCCCACTCTTGTTTTTCTAGACTATTCCAGGCAGACTCCGGGAGGGCAAAACAGCCATTCTGAAGTGGTTGAATTTATTAGACCATGTAAGCTGGGATATAAAGTTTATTTTTGCCTGAATAGAGCCTTCACTACCTTCCTACCTACCACTTCACGGTAGTTTGACAGCTTGGAACTCTTACTTTTGGCCAGATATTGCTTTAAATGTGTATTTAACTGTTGTTTATATAGCAGAAACCCATCTATTTGACAAATCAATTAAGTATTTATAAAAGTATTCATAAAATGTTCTAAGATAGAAAATAAATTATACTTCTATTCTCAATATCCAGTACATGACTTACTCCTTATGTTTTTTATTTTATATCGCTAATTTGATCTCTAAGCAACAAAATCTAGCATGGAAACAATGCAGGTAGTATTTAGGAAGTAACTCCTAACTTAAAAAGTACTTCTAACTTAAATGTCATAATGCCACCTCCTAGTATGCCCCATTTTTAAAAGCTTGATTTTCTGATGTTTCCTGCAGAGAGCGAATGAAGGCTATGGAGCAACAGATTGCCAGCTTGACTGGTCTTGTTCAGCATGCACTTTTAAAGTCCCCAAACACTAGTGGCACCAACGAGGCTCTCAGGTAAGCGAGAAGATGAAGAAGTGAGGCAGCTTGGGACATTGAGTTCTCCGAGATAAGCCCAGGCTGCCCCAGCCAAAGTGGAAAAAGACAATAGCAGATAAACTAGCTCTCACTTTTAGCCATCTGATCCAGTTTAGGTAAACGGAACATTGTCAGGGGGAAATAGGGTGGACAAGGGGTCTGATATTATCTCAATTTATTCTCCAAAATGGCTGCCTCTATTGGTTGATCTGGCTGAAGTTTACCTTTGCATTTCAACCTACTCTGTGGAGATCTTGTGCTAACTGTGTTTGCTTGAGTTTACAATTAACAATATCAATGAAAGCACGATGACTGGAATGAAAATGGGAATGACTTACTATGGGAACAGACTGCTCCTAACAGCCATCATGTTAACCTGTCCGTCTATGTCAGTCTGTCCAACCATACTGTATGGCTGTCTGTACGTCTATAATGCTTTTACTAATATGTATGAACCCTAACTCAAGGACAGTGCCCAAGGTTTTGTATTCAGTCTCTTATACCGTAATTAATGGGTCGTAATGTCTCTTTCTCCCCTTTCCTGTCTGTGTGTCTGTCTCTGTGTGTGTGTGTGTGTGTGTGTGTGTGTGTGTGTGTGTGTGTGTGTGTGTGTGTGTGTGTGTGTGTGTGTGTGTGTGTGTGTGTGTGTGTGTGTGTGTGTGTGTGTAGCGAACGACCCATGAAGACATCAAGACAAGCGTCTCCGGTTCATAGTGCACACAGTTCAGGTCAGGACCACTATTACCCTTCTGCATGTATCACATCATGATCTGCATCCCTATGTGGTGCCCTATTCCCTAAATAGTGCACTACTTTTGACTAGAGCCCCCCCCCCCCCCCCGTGGGTTTCCCTATGGGGCCTGGTAAAAAATGGTGCACTATATAGGGAATAGGGTGCCATTTGGGATGTACCCATGATCTACTTCACGATACAGTTTTCTGTTGCATATCCATGTTTCCCCCATGATGCATTCCACAGACAAGTCTCTCATGTTAATGTGTGTCAGTCAGTCAGTCAGGCTACTTTATTCTGCGCCAACTCATATTCCCCTCAAATCCTCTCTTCTCATACAAAAGCAACAAACCTAATATGTGCTGCTGAAAAACAAGAGAGATGTATTATTTCTTGATCCCCGCCAAGATGATTCAATCTCGTCTAGCTAACGGTCAGCAGATGTGGGTTCGATAAAAGAAATGCAATCTCGAGGGTGGCGGAACGAAAACAGAGCGGTATTTATGTGTCGGCTGCTGAACCAGTTCCTCACATCTTAGCGATACACTTCTTCTTCTTTTTCTTCTTACTCCACGCTGATACAATCTGCTGTCACGTTGTGTGTGAGTGAATTTAAATCTCTACAACATCAAAAAGACTGTTCATGTCTCACAGGATTTCCCTTCGTTTATCGTTCCCCCGCTTCAAATACATGAAGAATTTACATATTTCTCTTGATTCTTCAAAGACGGCCCTGTTGTTACTTCATAATCTCCATCACAAAAACATGCTCTGTCTCCAAACAGTGCATGCATTCTAAATGGCACCCTATTCCCTATATAGTGCCCTACTTTTGACCAGAGGCCTGGTCAAAAGTAGTGCACTATAAAGGGGATACGGTGCCATTTGGTACGCAGACAGTGAAACACAGGAACTGCTCTCTTCCGAACCTGCACTTCAGGTCTATGCCGCTGTCATCCACTTTGAGAGGACTGTGGTGAATGTTGGAGGGGGATTACACAGTGACAATAGCAGTGTGTTCTTTAGCCCCACAGCAGGGCTGTACTATGGTTGTATCCCAAATGGCACCCTATTCCCTTTATAGTGCACTACTTTTGATGGGCCATGTCAGAAGTACTGCACTATATAGGGAATAGGGTAACATTTGGGATGCAGATCAACTCTGTTTGGAGGGAGCTTAGAGTGCTCTCTCTCTCTCTCTCTCTCTCTCTCTCTCTCTCTCTCTCTCTCTCTCTCTCTCTCTCTCTCTCGCTCTCTCGCTCTCTCGCTCTCTCTCTCTCTCGCTCTCTCTCGCTCTCTCATTCACTCAGAACATTCCACTCTTTTCATTGATCTGACACTGGACAGGGACTTTTTCACTTTCGCTAAGGGACTTTAGTGGCTTACAACGCAGCAATGGAACTTAAAGTGCCACTCCCACATCTTCGACATCTGATCTGTCAGTGTTCAAAGGTCATACTACTACACTTTGAATGTGAGGAACAGCTTAATTTAATTCAACTTGAGTTACTGTCAATGCAGGCTGCAGAGGGCATAGCATGTTAAAAGTCATTCTCTTGTCAGTCTGACAGTCTCCAAGGTCAGAGGACATGACGTCTGGCGGTTGTTTTCGACGGCGGTCGAATCCGTCTCCTGTCTCCCATTCCTCACAGTGATTGAAATGGTCTGTGTCCCAAATGACTCTCTATTCCCAATACAATGCACTCTTTTTTTTACCAGAGCCCAATAGTTCCTGGTCAAAAGTAATGCACTACATAGGGAATAGGCTGCCATTTGGGATGCAGACATGGTGAGGTTGGCGGTCGGCCGTGTGCTTCTGTGGGCAGACACCACAGGCCCTTATTACTAAACATTCTAAATATTAAATCAGGAACCAACGCGGGCGTCGGGAATGTGTTCGGAGACGTGTGAGGCGAGCTCTAGCCAGGCCAATGAATCACAGAGGCTACATTTCAAATGACACCCTATTCCCTATATAGTGCACTACCTTTGACCAGGGCCCCTATGTATTACCTGCTTCCCTATGGGCCCTGGTCAAAAGTAGTGCACTACATAGGGAATAGGGTGGTTTTTAGGACATAGACAGACATAAGGCAGAAGGTGAAAAGGAGAGAAAACATTACTCCATGACTCCCTCCATTCAATTGCAGAGGAGGAGAGCAATGACATGTTAACTTTTTACGTGCCTGTGCACTTTTGACTGTGTGGTATTTCCTTTGCAGTTAATGAGGGAGTAGTATATTGCCTGCTTCCTCCAAAATCTGCAGTGTTGCTCAAGTTTCCGTCACATTGTGGAAGAGATTTGTGTACTTGTAGATGCATACAGCATAGCCTACATTATGAATAATTCAATGATATGGATTTAGATGCATTTTCACATACCCGGTTATTGTTTTGATTCCATTGTTCTAAATCAGTTTTCATAAAGCTGGATAGAGGGCTCATCTTTATGGAAAGTGAGCTGTCTATCCAACTCTGTTTTCTTTGGAGTTTTGTTTTCACCGTTGTAGAACTGACTAGCTTGTAGGGGTTTTAAATGTGGTTATTTGATTTGATTTCATTCAGGAGGTTCCCCTATCCTAGCACCCAAAAGTGCCGCGCCCCCCTCTGAGATTGGCTCCACCCCTGCACTACCAGGCTCTGCCCCCTTTCAGGCCAACCTGTTCCAGTTCAAGAAGAATGTCTCTGACCTCCGGCTGCAGCTCCATCAGATGAGACAGCTGCAGGTAACACCCCTGATGCTCTATCTAGGAGTGGGATTAAGTTTCTCCAAGATGCTGATCTTGGGTCCGTTTTGCATTTTCCCCACTAAAGGAAAAGGTTAGGATTGGGATAGGGGAAGCTGATCCTAGATCTGTACCTTGGGGAAACTTCACTGCGGAGCCCCTATCTACTGTTATTGGCTATCAATTTGATATCAGCTGTAAATCATTGCTTTTCAGCCATTCAACTACTTTCTATCAGCTACCGTTCCACCCCCTCTCTCTGGATTGGTTAAGAAACAGAACTCTTTCTTTCTCATTAATCAATGGAAGGGAATTATGCCACCAGATACAATCAAAGAATGGTGTTCGCTCCTTGAGATATTCATGCTTGTGTGTGTGTGTGTGTGTACGTGTTCATGCATGTGTGTGTATATTCATGTGTGTGTGTGTGTGTGTGTGTATGTATGTGTGTGTGTGTTACCTAGCTCCAGAACCAAGAGGCTCTACGTGTGCAGCTGAAGCGGGCTGAGCAGGAGATCAGCGTAAAGCTGGTGGAGGCCATGAAACGTCTGGAAGACCCGATTCAGAGACAGAGAGCCCTGGTGGAGGAGGACAGACACAAGTACCTGGGCCTGGAGGAGAGGGTGTTCAACCAGCTAGGGTAAGAGGGAAAGGGAGGGGCAACAACAACACAACAACCATTCCATCCACTAGAACCCCATTTCCTGACTACCACATGACAGCTTTAGAATTTGTCCTGGGTTATATTAAGTAGTGCAGATTGTATACTCAACAAAAAAAAGTGCTTGTTAGTACAAAACATTTCATGTTGTCGCTGTAGAACCCAAAGGGGTTTGAATTTGTGTTTTGCCCTAGCACTTTACAGCTAATTCAAAGTATCAACTCATCATCAAGCTTTGATGATTTGAATCAGGTGTGTAGTGCTAAGGCAAAAACAAAAATGTGCACCACTTTGGGTCCCCAGGATCAGGATGAGAACCACTGCTGTAGGGGAACCCTTTTTTTGGATGTGGAGAACCTTTTTATATTGGTTATTTGAATAACCCTTTGTATAACCATTTGTATGGTTCTTCGTTACACTGTTCCAATCAGAGGGTTTTTCATTACATTGTAAAAATTGTCCCGGCTACTGGTTGCAGTGAAAATTGGGTAAATATACAAAAGTGACTGTATTTTTAGAGCTGGACTATCACGCCCTGGCTCTGGGGACTCTTAAATGTTGAGCCAGGGTGTGGACTTGTTATGTTTAGTTTTCTATGGGTTTTGTTCTAGATCGTTTATTTCTATGTTGGCCAGGGTGGTTCCCAATCAGAGACAGCTGTAGCTCGTTGTCTCTGATTGGGGACCATACTTAGGCAGCCTGTGTTCACAAGTTTATTGTGGGATCTTGTTCCGTAAGGTTTTGTGTTGTAACCTAGGACTTCACGTATCGTTGGTTTGTTGTTTTGGTTTGTGTGGTGTACTATAAATAAAGAATGTACGCTTATCACGCTGCGCCTTGGTCCGCTTCATCTCATAACGATCGTGACATGGACTAAGGTATTATTGATGTAAGGGACAGTATGCTGCTGTATTCTGATTACTTAGGAGTCAACCTTACTTGAGATTTGGACTATTCTTTACAGTAATGTAATGTTAAAGCAAAGTTTCTTTGAAATGTACAGTAACATACTGTTTTTTTTTGTGTTTTTTTACAGTAACTTACAGGTAACTAGCTGCCAGTAAATTACTGGGTTTTACAGTGTAGTGAATACGACCCAGGTGTTATTGGCAACTGCAAGTACACACCCTCCAAATTGCCAACAGGTTTGAATAGGCATGCCATGTCTGTCTCTCATTGGAGCCCAGCAGTCACTGAACAATAAGACCAGACAGCTTAGGCAGGCAATTATTCACAGCATACTCTTAATTTAATTCACTCATCGCGGCTTGCCAATTGGGAACATTCATTTAATCCTTTTTAATGTTGATGTTTAACAGGCAAGGTCAATGCTGCCTGGGTAGACAGTGGTAAACATATACCCTGATATACATCACAATAGGAGCATTGCCTGAACATTGGTCTTCTGGGGAATCAGACATGCGCAGGGCGTTGGGCGCTGGATTCAGCTCAGTGTTTTCCTTGGTGCTTTGCCAGGTCTTACTCAGCAAAGGCCTGCAGTAGTGTTTTAAATAAGGCTGGGTAATGAGCTCTGTTTGGCTGAGGGGGGGGTGTGGCGTGAAAAATCACAGCCTTCTTCTCCGGAGAGAAAACCCAATTTAACATGACCTGGGAGAGTGTGAGTCTGGGACTTTGGGAAGAAATGAGGCGACAAACGACCAAGGTTCAAATAGGACTGTTTATCATTGTTAGCACTACTGTAGCAAGGCCCTTTAAATCCAAAGGTCTACGCCATAGGGCGGTTCGGGCAAAAGCCAGATGTGCTGGTCCATTTTTAGCCCACTGGGCCGGTCTCAAGTGGGGATTTTGTATAGAATGATCATTATTTGGTTAATAAAGGGGGCCTCAAGGGGGGAAATTGTCCTGTTTGGGTGGCCCATTGTGTGTGTGTGTGTGTGTGTGTGTGGGGGGGGTATTTCTGGTCCCAGTCCGTCCCTGGTCATTACTATTTATTTCCAGTCAGTTCTGATCACCAGTCATCATGAGCCTGCCAAGGAGCCTAGATCTGAACCAGCTGTCAGCACTCAGCCAGTGATCCTACTACCCTTGAGCAATAGAGAAAGATGAGAGAGAGTTGAGTGCCCATTAAGCCTTCTCAAATAGATGATCCCTGGGATATCTTGCATGTTTGTCTAGCCATCTTTAGAAGTGGATTTTAATGCAGCAACATTTCATAGACTCACATTATAGACATTACTTTCTAAAGTCCTGTATAGTTCTTTTAAGAAGAAAGAGATGCTTTTTACCCGCCGGCTCTTCTGTTGAATTTTCACATAGTCATCATCAAGAGGCCTTCACATAAGAGGAACTCCCTTTTGAGAGCAGCTGTACAAAAAAACGTACTCTTCTCAAGGGAATCTAGTCCCAAAGAATCTAAATGTTTTGTCCTCATGAAGTTCAGAACGGCACACAATGCTATCATCTACCCAGCACATTTCCCCTTGGAGTTGACTGCTCAGAATACAGAGTATAGTGTTATCAAAACTATAGGGATCCTATGTAAGGAAGTGGTCACACAAATAAGCCCAGATTCCATGTGTACACAGTTGAGGTTTTGGGAAGTAACCCAATCCAGTCAGAGCGGACTCACATAGAGGAAGTGCAGTGTGGTCTGACTGAGAAAGGCAACTTTGGTCATTAAGGTTGAAGGGCCGACTACCCTACAGCCCAGATGGTTTTTAGAATATGAACATTGTTTGATTTGATCTGTTTTTTAGATTCATGCCCTGTCACCTTTCAGTTGTCATTCAGTTAGCTCAGGCTAGAGCTTGCTGTGTGCCAATAAGGTTAAATGAGTATAGTCTGCCCTCTAGTGTTGGTGTGTAGTCAATGTTTCAGGTGACACTTCAAGCACACAATCTCAAGTCTATTATAGTGATCTGTTAGCATCACCAGTGTGTCAGGTATTTGATGGTGCCATCATATTTCATTTGGTAGCTGTGGAGATGAAATTAGGATAATGATTGATCTGGCTTTTCCAGATGCTCAAAGCGCTTACATAGTAAGAGGGAAACTCGGCTCATCCATTTACATTTCCGTCATTTAGCAGACGCTCTTATCCAGAGCGACTTACAGTTAGTGCATACATTATTCTTTTTTATTTTCATACTGGCCCCCCGTGGGAATCGAACCCACAACCCTGGCGTTGCAAACACCATGCTCTACCAACTAAGCTACCTCCCTGCTGGCCATTCCCTCCCCTACCCTGGACAACGCTGGGCCAATTGTGCGCCGCCCCATTGGTCTCCCGGTTGCGGCCAGCTACAGCAGAGCCTGGATTCGAACCAGGATCTCTAGTGGCACAGCTAGCACTGCGATGCAGTGCCTTAGACCACTGCGCCACTCGGGAGACTACCAATGTGTGGCACCCACTTGGGTGATGCACTGCAACCAGTTGTGCCACAAACCTCACCACACATCAGCTAGCATAGTGGAGAGGTGAGGAGTGATATACCAATTAGGAGTGGTGTTTTGAATGTCCTCTCTCTCTCTCTCTCTCTCTCTCTCTCTCTCTCTCTCTCTCTCTCTCTCTCTCTCTCTCTCTCTCTCTCTCTCTGTGTGTAGGGAACTGGAGCATTATGTGGACACTCTGAAGAGGGAGACCAGCTCAGCGGGGGCTCATAGAGCTGTGACACTGAAGCATGTGGAGGAGGGGGCTGTTAGCCTCAGGAGAGTGGGAGAATCTCTGGCAGGACTCAAAGGTAATACTGCAGTACAGTGTAGCCTACTTTAAAAATACACATACAATATCTTAGATTATGTGCATTGACATGGATTCCATAGGTTTCCATGTGCTATGGTTTTCAGTTACAGGTAAAGTAATAAGTAAGATAATATAATTTTTAACTGAATAACAATGCTACAACTAGAAAAAGGTTTTATGTCCCCTGAAAAAATATGCTTAAAAAAATTATGTTGAATAGCAGTTGTGTTCTGCTAATGCAGCATATTAATAAAGTTGCCCTCCAATGAAGGGTGGTGGATAATGTTTTTAAATGATTTTCAAGTATATATTTTTTAACATGTTTTCTCAGGGGAGTTCCCGGCACTGCAGACCAGGATGCGTTCAGTGCTGAGGGTGGAGGTGGAGGCGGTTAAGTTCCTCAAGGAGGAGCCCCACAAACTGGACAGCATGCTGAAGAGAGTCAAAAGCCTCACAGAGACACTCAGCGGCCTGAGGAGGTACAGGAACCAGGGAGGGACGGAGGGAGGGAGGGAGGGAGGTAGGGGGGCGTTCCGATTCTCTACCCTTCACCTGAAGTGTGCACTTGTTCACTCCCGCTCATGCATTTAAAAGCATTGTACTGGTGCAAGCATGGCTGGGGGGAGTTTTCTTCATCATATTCGTCACACCAGTCCATTCTTTTTAAATCCATGAGGAGGAGTGTACACTTCGAAAAGAAGGGTAGAGAATCTGAATGTAGCCAGAGACTTTGGATGAAAACAGAACAATCAAATAAAGATAAAAGTAAATAAAGTGAATTCAAGTGAAAATAAATAAATACTCGGTGGCCGGAAGCCATGGAGTGATGGGTCATCATCACTTTTACCCAGGGCGCACCACACTGCACCACGCGGCCAAACTCATCTACATTACCTCGTCCCCTCAGTGCGCTTCTCTCCCCGCACGTCAGAGATGATTACGCTCCCGTTGGTGTTGGATTTGGGCCAAATATTTATTTGTATTTTCAGGCTACACAAGTTTATAGTATTTTCAGGCTACACAAGCCAGGGCAGTAGAATAGTTCTATCAAACTCCAAAGTTCTATATGTACTGTTCTGTGTTATGAGGTTAGGAGATTTTAAGCGTTCATTCATGGCAGCATGGCATTTGTCATCATAGGTAAGTTTTACCTTAGTGGGATACCAATTGTTGCAGTTTGGATTAACTGGTGTTTGGCTGTTTGTGTTCAGTATACTTTCCCAAACTTTCCCCAAATTCTGGAGAAAAAATCCACTTGGAATTTTTCTAAAATCCTGGTTGGAATATTCTAGGAGGGAACACAAAATCCTGAGAATTTTGGTAAATTAACCTGAGTTTTGCAACCCTAATATTACGTTTATCCTGCCCTCTCTGCCTACAGATGTGCTACAACCCCAGTAGAGAGCAGCCCAGCCACCACCGACCAACCAGCGGAGCCTCCAGCCTCCCCCTCGGCCCTGCCCGAGCCCCAGAGCTCCTCCCTCAGGTCCGAGGTGGTCATGCCCTCCTCCCTCATGGTCATCCACCATGTCCAGAGCGCTCCGGTCCACATTCAGCAGTCCCAGCAGTCTGCAGCCCTGCTGGTCCAGCCCAGTTCCCCGACAACCCCCACCCACAGCCAGGGCCGGGACTCCCCCAGCTCAGCCAAGGGCTCCACAGGCACTGCCTCGGCCTCCAACTCCAACCCCTCCAGCCAGGGGGGAAGCCCTGCTCAGCAGAAGAAGACCCCTGCTGCTGCTACTGCTGCTGTCAACCAAGAGCTGCCAACCCAGGCTCCGGTCAATAACGGCAGCAATGGGACAGGGGACCACTTCATCGAGGAGATGAGCAGAAAGAGCAAAAACAGGGCCATGTCTATAGAGGTAAGCCCTATGGAAGTCATAGTGCTCTCCAGTCCTCAGTCTATGATCTATGACATCTCATATCAGATTTCCCCTAAGGGTTATTGAAGGCACTGTCTGTTTCTCTTCCCTCCACTGCTCTCTCTCTCTCTCTCTCTCTCTCTCTCTCTCTCTCTCTCTCTCTCTCTCTCTCTCTGTCAATCCTCTCTCTCAATCCTCTCTCTCTCTCGCCGTCCACAGGCGGCAGAGAAGGAGTGGGAGGAGCGGAGGCAGAACATGGGCCACTATGATGGGAGGAAGTTTGAGAGGATCCTGAATGAGGCCCAGGCCAACATGATGAAGAGCATCCCCTGTCTGGAGGTGTCGAGCGAGGGGGAGGCCTCTACAGTGGCCCCTGCTGCCCTGGAGGACCAAGTGGATTCCCCCAAGCCTGTGGAGCCAACCCTTGGTAGGAAGGGGTCTTTTATAAAGCTACCTGACACACTCAACATATTCCACTAATATAAAACTACTTTTGGACATCTTTTTGTAAGCAAGAACATAATTTCAGCCCTTATTGTTGACCTTATGTGTGTGTTTGTCTATTACAGAAGAGGCTCAGCCTGAGCCCAGCTCAGAGAAACCAGCCATAGCCAAGCCTGCTGGTCCTGAGAAACTCCCCAAGCCGGTGCTAGAGAAGCCTACCACCACCACCACCAAGCCCACCACCCCTTCAGACAAAGTGGGCAAAGTCAGCTTGGAGAAGGCCAACAAGTCACCTCCCCCTCCCCCGCCCAGAAAGATCTTTCCCACCTCCAGCTCTGGAATGACCACCACTCGGTCTGGAGAGGTGGTCTACACCTGCAGGAAGGAGTCTGCCTCGGAACAGGTCAGTCTGCCATGTAGTCTAGCTATAGGCTAGTCAGCGGTCAACTAGCTCTGGTCCAGGGCATTACGTGCGGCTTGCTAACACTGAGCCTTCAGCATCAGCAAGCCACACGTAACGTTCTGGACCAGAGCTAGTTGTAAACCACAGACATGGCTTCTACTTGTGTGGTCCAGACCTGATCTATAAACGACATGGGGAGAGGGGATGAAGTTTAAGGCCAGTTTATCAAGCAATTTGAAGGCAATATCATTTATATACCTTGGAATGGCCATGTTGATCTGTTGATCTGACTCTTGTGGTAAAAAATAGTGATGCTAGTATTTGAGTCATATTAAATGCATTAACCTGCTCCTCCATTCCCATCTAAACCAGGAGGGAGAGGAGGCTGAGGTCCCAGTCCCAGCTGCCCAGCGCAAACCCACCAAGGTCCCCCCAGAGACCAATCCCTCCACCCCTCCCCCCGTTGCTGCCTCAGCCATCCACGAAGAGGAGGAGGAGGAGGGAGACAAAATCATGGCAGAGCTCCAGGTGAGACGCATACATCCAACAGCTGCTGTACATTTACCACCACACACATACTTCATACTATACTATACTATACCATACTATATCGATCACATAGAGCCACCGGGAAACACATCCACATCCAGACTAATGACGGTTGTATCTCTCCTTCACTGTGGGAGTGGGTCCTCTATCCCTTCCTTTCCTGGTGGTTGGGCTACCGTCACTTGGCAGAGGATGGACGCAGTCCTTTACAAAACCAGAATTAGCCATGCTCTTACCCCTAGAAAGTTGAACCATTCGGCCACCACAGCACTAGGTTGATAGTATACGAGTAGTATCAACTACTGTAGGTGTTTCTAATAAACTATCACCTCACATATGGTAGGTACAGTATAGGTAGGCTCTAACCCTCAGGGCCCTAAACCCTAATCCCCTTACATATCTTCACTCCCCAGGTGTTCCAGAAGTGCACAGTTAAGGATGTAGAGGTGAGAAGTAGTGTGCTAGAGACACACCCTACTCGAGTTGAGCCCCAGATCAGAGAGCTAAGACCCGGGGCCTTATTGCCCCTCAAAGAGAAAAAGGTAAAGGACGTGGTGCCGTTTAGCCGTTTAGCCGTCCGCCTAACTGCCTGCTTCTGCCAACTGCGTGACGCCAGCTAACGATCGATGGCTGTACCTTAACCTCCTCTGTGCCTTTCACACCTCCCTGCTTCTGCCTCAGTGAAGAGATCTGTACTGTAACAACTCCACTACCCAAAATCCCTTCTGATTCTGACTTATTCTCTTTTTCCCTTTTTGATTTCAATGGAACTCATGGCTTGGACTTGTTTTTCTCTGATTAAGTCTGCAGAAAATGTCTGGAAAAGTGTATTGTGTGTATCCAACAAATTAATGGTGTCTTGTTGCTACTGATATTTGATTGCATTATGTTTGTCTTGATTGAACCAATCAATAAACTAATCCTTTATCTTGAATCCAGACCTAATCGAATGGTCTTGTCTGTTTCTTTGGAATAACTGCCCTTTATTCAAATAGTCATTTGCTTATAGACTTTGCTCTGTAGCTCAGCTGGTAGAGCACGGCGCTTGTAACGCCAAGGTAGTGGGTTCGATCCCCGGGACCACCCACACACAAAAATGTATGCACGCATGACTGTAAGTCGCTTTGGATAAAAGCGTCTGCTAAATGGCATATTATATTATTATTATTACTATAAGAAAGTACTTTGATTGGCTATTGAGGGGAACAAGGTTGTATTACTTGTTACCTAGGTCACAGACTTGTTTTTGCAGACTTGGTTTACTTTAGGTCACTGTGACCACTTTCTTTACTTGACTTATTTCTTGGGAATGATACCTTACTATTTCTCTGAATCTCTATATAACTTTAACTCTATCTTCTAATTCAATTGAATACCCAAACATATGCCTAATGTGGTTGTTGTCCACAGGAGAACATTTGTTTTTCTATGATCACAGTCACACAGGGCACTACAGTGGTTGCGTCCCAAATGACACCCTATTACCTATATAGTGAACTACTTTGACCAGAGCCCTGTTGGCCCTGTTGAAAAGTACACTCTTAGAAAATAAGGTGCTTTCTAGAACCTAAAAGGGTTCTTCGGCTGTCCCGTTAGGAGAACCATTTAAATAACTATTTTTGGTTCCAGGTAGAACCCTATTTGGTTCCATGTACTGTAGAACCCTTTTCCCGGAGGGTTCTACATGGAACCCAAAAGAGTTCTACCTGGAACCAAAAAGGGTTCTACCTGGAACCAAAAAGGGTTCTCCTATCGGGAGTGTATGTAGTGCACTACAAAGGGAATAGGGTGCCAATTGGGATGCACCCTTTATCTCATGCTCCTCTCTAACTCGCTCAGAAACCATGTCACACAAGATATTGTACATTGTATGAGAGATCCAGTTATTCTGTGGGTCAGATATAATATTTTCCTGGAAAACCCAATGTTCAGCTCACACATCAGCAATGCATTCGTCATGTTATTCCTACATACACATTTTCAGTCATATAACATTGCATTCCACTCACCACATGGGAATGATTGATAAAACATTCTTGGAACACCAACAAGAAAGTTGAGAATATATAAAAACGTGATGCACTGAACATTAGCTAGTCTGTGAGTAGAATGGGTGTCAGTCTATACCCCAGATTAGAATATTAGTTTGGTAACTAATTCCTTAGTAAAAGGGGCAATTTGGGATTGGTACATACATTTTTGGACTTTTAAATCAATGATATATAGACTGCTTTGTTGTTGTTTGAATCCCAGATTGTCCCCTTAAAGGTTTTTACATAATCCAATACCTTATCAACTACGTTCCATAACTATTCACTTGTGCCTGCATGTATTATCCTATAAGGTATCTAATATGTTATAAGCACGTATCTTGAAACGCAATCAAAAGATGCCTTATAGGAGGGTTTTTGCCCAATGCTTTGTTGGGCAACAGAGTGCAGTTGCATAGTAGAGAGAATCCATGTTAGAGTGCACCCATAGAGTGCAATTGCACAATAATGCTGTGCCTTCACAAACTGTCCTAGCAGAGCTCGGAGAACACTCATGAGGACAAAGATCCCAACGTGGATGAAAACGGGAACACCACCTCTCTTCGTCAGAGCCCAGGGGTACGAATACCATATTTTCACCCCTAAAACTTCATAGTCAAAATCTCAGGGCATTTACTACGCTACTCAGGGCATTTACTACTACTACGCTAACATTAATCTTCACATCCAAAGTTCCAAACATGCCTTTAAATGTTTACAAATGTCTTGTTGTATGGTTATATGGGCCTTATGAAGGCATGTTGTATGGTTATATGGGCCTTATGAAGTCATGTTGTATGGGTTTATGGGCCAAACGCATGCCTTACATGTCATGGTATCTTTTCCCTTATTGATAGGCTTGTTATGTGTTGTAGTTTTGTAGTTTTGTAGTTTTTAACATGGACTCTCTCGTCCTTCCTTTGCCATTTGCAGGTCATATACTATGTAACTGGGCAGATGTCCAAAGACCAGCCGCCACCCCTGGACCCAGTGGAGGAGGCTCCTGAATGCAGAGACAACCCAACACTGTCCCCCTCACAGGTGTCAAATGTGAATGCTAATGACAATTCCCCAAGCCAGCAGCCACAGCGGCCACAACCGAAACCCCAGCAGTTAGGGCCACCAATATCTCCCAAGCCTCTTTTCTTGAATTGTCCCAGCCCTCTGTCTCAGAAACAGGTGGTGAGCTCAGAGTCATTGAAGACCAGCCCAGGAGTGGTAAAAGGGGTTCTGGAAAGCCCATTGGCCAACACTGTAGATAAGCCTCAGATAAGCACAGTCAAGAGGCTTGAGTCCTCAGTCTCCTCAGTCGTCCAGGAGTCCAGCATTTCACTTAGTAAGAGTGTTGTGTTGCCTGCTGCATTGCCTAAAATCCCTCCACCAATCACCATAAGAGAGGCTCCTAAGGCAGTGGTGTCTCCCCCAGAGAAGGCCCTTAGTGAGGCCACCGATCAGCCCAGAGATCAGCCCAGACCCAAGTATGAAGAGGTGGAAGAGGAGGCCTTTCTGAGCCCTGACCTCCCTGCTGAGGAAGCCCCTCCGCCCCCAGACAACATCGCCTTCATGATCACCAACACTAAGGTCCAGGCCCTGTCCTGTGGGGAATACCAGGAGCTGGTCAATGCCAAACGGGGCATCCAGACCGTGACCGTGGGCGGGGGACCTGGGAACCGGGAGATGACCCACACCACTCCGGGCGGCGATGGCAGCAGCTTGGTGGGGTCGCAGGACGACAGCTTCAACAACAAGAAGCCGGTCATCATCATCTTTGACGAGCCAATGGACATCCGCTCGGCCTACAAGCGCCTGTCCACGGTGTTCGAGTGCGAGGAGGAGCTGGAGCGCATGCTGGCCGCAGAGCGCATCGAGGAGGAGGATGAGGAGACGGAGGAGACATGGTGGAGCAGCGGCGGACTGCAGGTAAAGGGGGGAGAGAGGGCGGCTGGTCCCACGGCCGTCAAGGCCCCCAGCGGCGCTCTTAGCTCTTCCAGTAGTAGCTTGTCGCACTCTTCCTCCTCGTCTTTGGAGCTCGCCGAGTCGTCCTGCGACAGCAAGCCAGACGGGAAGAAGAAGTTCAAGTTCAAGTTTCCCAAGAAGCAGCTGGCCGCTCTGTCACAGGCCATCCGCACAGGCACCAAGACAGGCAAGAAGACGCTGCAGGTGGTCGTGTACGAGGACGAGGAGGAGTCGGACGGCACGGTCCGACAGCACAAGGAGGCCAAGAGGTTTGAGATCAAAAGCCACTCCAAACCATCTGCTCCTCCAACAGACACGTCACCCAAGGCCCAGGCTCCAGCTGTAGTAAGGCGGGAGCATTCAGATTCCCAAGGCAGGACGGACGAGATCCGGAAGAGCACCTACAAGACCCTGGACAGCCTGGAGCAGACCATCAAGCAGCTAGAGACCACCATCAGTGAGATGGGCCCCACAAGGCCCCACCAGGAGGAACCAGTGAGGAGTGCAACCAGCGTGGATCCCCAGGCTGGGTGTGTCTCGAGTGGGGAGAGTGGAGGCCTGAAGAGGTCCTCATCACTCCCTTCTAAGAGTTCACTCCCCAAGGTCCCCCAGCCCATTAAGGCCTCCTCTCCGAGGAAGAAGACCAAACCTCAGCTCCTCCCCAGGCCAGCCGCCATCCCCACCGCCACAATCACCCCCAGCCAACAGGTCTCTTTCTAAGCTCTTGTCCCTCTGGAGGCTTTGGGTCCCTTTTTACTCCTCCCTCCCTCCCTTAACTCCATCCTAACCACTGGGTTTACCAACCAACCACTCATTAATCACTTCCCAGGTGTTTTGGAAATGACGGAGCCCTTCTCTGTTGCTTTCTCCCTCTAAGTGATCATGGTCCAACATGATTGGGGAGTGGCATTTTCAATGGGTCCCGTCCTCTGTCTCTCGTATCTCTCCTTCAATTGGCTGCTCAAACTCTAACCGGGGTTTCAGCAAGTGGCAGACTTTTAATCACACAATGATACTCAATGTTGATTACACTTTTGGTTTCTTGAATCGGTTGTTCTTGGACTGCATTTACTGTAGGGTTGTACTTTTTGGTATAGGCTACTACAGAACAGGCGGTGCATGTGCTCTTACTGGTGTTAACGGTTAGTGGTAATCTTGAACGAACAGGTTTTTGACCTGTCATTGCCTTGCTTCTATCAGTTTGTCATACCTCCAATATGGTGTTGTTTTTTTCTTTCTTTTATTTTCTTTCTTGTTTTGTTTCGTTTGGATCCTCTTGCAGAACGCAACCAGTGTCGCTTCCCCTACTAGTCGGATGCCAGTGCCCATGTCTGCGAAGTCCAGGCAGTCGCCAGGGACTCCTACTGACAAAGCAGGAAAACAGCAAAAGCTACAGGACAGCGCTCAGAGGCAGTTCCGACAGGTAGTTTTACTATAGGGCCTTACCAGGGACCAAAGGGACAACCAGGGAACAAACTTGTATAGTAAACATAGGGTATAGAAAACAAGAGGCCTGTGTTAAGGGAAAAAAATATCAAAACAACCAAAGCTGTGAGAGTTCGTGTTTTGTTTAAATGGGATTGAGGTGGCCATTTTGGTTTCTGTTTCTGTTTTCTCTCAATCTGCTCTGACTGAAAGGCATGTTTGACTCTTGCCTGTTACCCTTATAACATCACCGAATGCTTCTGCATGGTCCACACTGCTCATGGCAGCTTTTGCTATGTTGGTGACGAGAAAAAATAAAAAAGAGAAAAGAAAAGAAAAGAGAAAGAAAAAAAGTCCACATGCATCCTGTCATCGACTGAGTTCTCCATCACATCCCCAGTTTCCATCACAGCTGAGTTCCTAAACAGTGATGCCAAACAACCTCAGGAGGCTTTACTAAACCGATATTTCTGATTAGCCACACTCCCTCCTACCCACAATGCACCTCTACTAAACCCAAAAAGCCTACCTGATACGCTCCTTTATTTTCACAATGCACAGCTACTAAACCACACTTTAATACCCCTCCCTCCTAGCCTGCTGGAGCTAGCCTGATCGCTGCGTTCACCAATATATTTCACTTCAACAGAATGGTGAATGCAGGAATCAGGCTGGTTCCACCAGGCTACCTCCGGCCCTTCTCTGAAGGATGCTCTTCTACCACCCATCTCTCCCCCTTGCACTTGCTGTACCAGTCAGTGGAATATTCACCCCTACTTTTCCAGATATCCACTTTTATCTTTCCCACCCTCAAAAAGATCCCCTCTTTTATCTAACATACTCCACCTTCCTCCCCAACCAATATGCATCTCTGGTTTTTCCCTCCTCTCAGAAAGCTTGACAATCAATCTTAACACACAGGCATCACCAAGCAGTGCCCCCTCCCACATCTCAAACCTCCTTCCTTCATCCCTCCTTTCAATCTTTTCTTTCTCCTTTTTTATTAACAGTGTGTTTCTCAGTTACCTCAAGTAACCCAGTCAAAATAGACACTGTAGCTAGTTTGAGCCTTTTTGTGTGTCTTTTAGTTCTCTTAGTAGCAATATGTTTGTTTCTGTGATTGTTTCTTGTCTAGAACTTTAGTTAAGTCAATGTTGTCTTGCCTTTTTTTTGTTTTTTTTTGTTACTTTAATAACCAGTTCCCATTTTGACAACCAGTCTTTGTTTTGGCATCTCTGTTTGCAGGCTAATGGAAGTGCTAAAAGAGCGGGAGGGGATCATAAAACTACTTCCCCTACTATACCTGCCTCTAAAATTCCTGCTTTTTATCCTAGCTCTGGTAAAGGCAGCTCCTCCCAGTCTGCTACAAACTCAGATGCTACTAACCCTATTAACCTTTCCTCCTCTTCCAACTCCTCCTCTCCCCCCCTCCACACCACCAAGTCCTCCATCCCATCCCCTTACGCCCCCCGCCACCCTGGCTCGGCCCTCCCCACCTCCTCCCACATCCCCTCCCTCTCTAACGGTTCCTCCCTCAAACTCCCCACGCCCTCTCACACAGGTAAAACTCTCTCGTTCTCCTCGCAGACTCAAAACGGCCGAGCACCCTCCTCCTCCTCTTCCTTCTCTTCCTCCTCCCCCTCCCCTCTGTCGCCCACCCCGTTGGGCCCGGGTGTGAAGAGCATCCGCACCATACACACCCCCAGCTTCACCAGCTACAGGCCCCAGAACGGCAGCAGCGGCAAATCCTGCATCCCAACCACCACAGCAGCCAAGGACTCCACTTAGCCCCCGTACAGTTGCCCCATTTGGGTTACTACTCTCTTTCTCTCTCTCTCTCTTTTAGGTGCTAGATTTGTTCTGTTGTTTATTGGTTTGTATTTTGTTGTAAAAAGGGTAATGGATGCACTTCCCCAACCATTCATATTTCAATTTGATTTGGCACTGGCATTCTCACACTGATGCTTTGACTTCGTTTTAAGTTGCATTTTCCCTTGGCTGATGCTTTGAACTTGGATCCTGGATTTTTAAAAAGGTATATTAGAGTACTGAGTAAATGATTTTAAAGAGATGAAAAAAAGATATTCTTCTGACTATCTAAGAAAATTGAGTTGATGTACAATCACTATTACCATGTAAGAAAGGTGTTTTATTTTTGAAAACCAGAGACTGGAGAATCATAGTATATCTTCATCTTACACTATTTCTTATGCTCCCATTCAGCATAGCCCTTGTAAATGCCGTTTATGAATGTATACTGTAAGTATACAGACGTTTAAAGTGGAATTGCATTGACTTCTATTTTGCTAAGAACATTTTCTCATATAGTTATCCATGCACTGCCAATGTATTTTTAGGAGATAACTGATTTTAGGAGGTTTATGAGGAATAACAGTTATTTCTGTAGGTATTGTGCCTATTTGCCAAAGTTGTTGTAATGTAATCTCCTGACTGTATTACTGTAATCATGACATACCAAGTGGAAACTCTACACATACACTCAAGGTGTGATGGCTGAAGTCTTTACCTTCAATAGCTTGACTGGAGGTCTATGTTTCTTAAGTTAATGTTTATCGATGTCTAAATGTATACATTACTAAAAACAAAAGAAATTCACCAACTGTTCTACCAAGTGTACATAACTGCTTCTAATAAGAACTTTAGTAGTTTTGTTAACATACCAAAGTTTATTTGTATGCATGCCTTTAAGATACTTTAGGAGAGTGATCATGTTAAAGAATAATTATGTTTGCGCAGATAGATTTTGTAAATATTTTGTTCGCTCTCATTTTTGTAAAGCTTTAAACCATACTACATAAAAACAATGTGGTAAAGAAAGAATTGTGTTGGAATAAAAACAATAAAGGTCTGCATGCTTGTAATGCATTTAAGTTCTAGTCACGTTTAGTTCCTCTCCTGTTCTGCTCTCAACTCTGTACAAAGTTCCAACCACATACCAAGCAGCATGTCACTCTGTATTAACTGGTTCATTACATTTACTAACCAGGAGATGTCAGTGAGTGTCCAGGCCACATAATGGCTGCATTCCAGGCTGACTAAGTTGCAGATCTCAAAACCCCTGGAAAGGTGTTTATCATATCAGTTAACCACGTCATATGATATAGCAATCGGATGCTTGACTACACAGTCAATGAAGTGGCACGCAACCATTGGTTGATGCAATGCAATGTGGTCTGTCTGGAAAGTGACCATTGCTTTGAGGGTGTGAAAACGGTGTAAGAGGAAGTTAACCTGTGAGAATACATCTCTAAGAGTAGGAACAACAGAACTACTCTTATCCCAGTCTGCAACCACCACCACTGTAACGTGTCTGTAATTAATTGAAAATAAATATCCAGAATTACTCCTTGAAGGCTAAGGGCCTACTGGTAAGTACTGTATTAGAAGTGGTTATTTACTATTCAAGTTGATTCTTTACTCTCACTCAGATAATTTATTAAATGAAAGTTTAAGTTAATTTGATTTAAATTTCAAATTTAAAGGGACAGTCTGCAGTTGATGCATACATGTTTTGGACTTTTAAATTAATTATATACCCAGTGATTCTTGAAGAATATAACTTATAAATACCTCAGGAGCTTAGTTCAACTGTCTTAACCTATCAAGAACCCACAATATACGTTTTGTAAACAATGTAATTGTAAACCAACACTGTATAGCCTCAAAACATTGTTAAAATTATCATTTTGATCTCATGGATGGTCAATCCTTGCATCCATAGCTCTGTCTATGAATTTGAGAGTGGTTACATTTCTCCAGCCCTCAGCTGTTTACCAAATTAGTGACGGGGTTCACACTTTGTTATTGTTGGAACTGCAGATTGCAGTTCAATTGATTTAAATTAACTGGGAAATCAGTGTAACATTTCTTGTGTTGATTCAGGAATTAAATTAACACTGTAAAGGTTTAAACTACCCCTCAGTGGTGTAAAAGAAACCCAGTGTTAATAACCAGAGTTGAACCAAAACCACGCCCATCATTATCATTTTTCCCAGCATGCTCTATTGAAGGTTTAGAATTGTTTGTTTCAATATTTATGTTGATTAATTAATCTTATGCTACTCAACTATAAGTAACATACATTTTTCTAAACTATTCCAATATTTTATTGAGGACTTATTGCACCCATTACTGAAATGCTTGTTCAAGTTTAGATGTTTAAGGTATTCTCATATCTTAGTCTTCCCAACCCTGGCAGTCATTCTGAATGCAGTTTGCGGGTGGATTTCAATAGGCATTACACATCACTTTGCAAGCCAGCATAAAGTGACTTGCAGCCCTGATGTAGCCTCATAACTATGGGTTTCAGGTAATTGAATGATGTATTGTCTTAAATAATTTAATTTTAATGGCAACATTTCCACATAGGATCTCACTTGGTGAAATCCACAGGATTGATAATGTATGAATGCAACAACCATGTCACTGTCACTAGCAAACAGACATTGGTGGTACTGGTAACTCAAAAATTTACTCAAACGGCACCTTGGGAAAGATGCAAATAAGCTTTAAAACTCTACAGCAGGGCTATTCAATTCCGGTCCTGGATGGCTGAAACATTCCGGGTTTTGAATTGTATGGTTCTTCAAAGAACCAACCCATTTATGGTTCTTCAGCATCCCTAAAATAGTTCCCTTATGGCATTGCTCTCAATAACCTTATTTGGTTCCAACTTGCACCTTTATTTTTTGTGTAGAGGTATTTATAGAGTACAATACTTGATAAATGACTGTTCACTTTCATTTATGGGCTACCATTACTAACAATAGCCATCATTTGGATCAGTTCCTTCTCACTTAGTTCTTTGCAGAAACCCCCCTGATCTGTGTAGGCTACAGGAAAACAATATTTGGCATTTCCTTGTTCCTAAGAACCACCACATCTACCTCTGAGGTCATCTTACTGATGCTGTAGAAATCACTTAGTGTGATTCCCAAATGGCACCCTATTCCCAATAGGGCTCTGGTCAGAAGTAGTGCACTACATAGGGAATAGGATGCCATTTGGGAAACAGCCTTGGGTTATTCTGTTCAAATCCTCCAGACCGTAGGTATGTGTGCTGAAATGATGTAGACTCCACAAATAAAACCACAGTGATGTGTAACAACAGAGCCATTCACAACTCACTAGTAGCCCTCTCTCAATCTCACATCTCTGTAGACTACAGTGTCTTGTCTTTGTTATGTCCTATAGGCTAAGAATCCACTGCATGATTATGAACTACACTGACGAGGAGAGACATGGCTTTCACGCCAAAGGTTCCCACCATGAGAACGTCCTGCTTGCTAGCTTTTACATACTGGTATTCGTGGTTGCTGTGCCTGGCAACACCTTGGCATTGTGAGTGTTCTGTCGTCAGGCTGTCACCTCGCCCTCCAAACTCTTCCTGAGGCACCTGGCCATAGCAGACGTCTCCTATGTGCTGATCCTGCCCATGCGGATGGTCTACCACTTCTCTGACAGCCACTGGCCCTTTGGAGAGGTCCCCTGTCGCCTGGTGGGATTTCTATTCTACCTCAACATGTACTGCAGTCTCTACTTCATGACCTGCATCAGCCTGGACCGCCTCTTGGCCCTGGTCCTACCGCTTAAGTCAAAGTCAATGAGGAAGATCACACACGCCAGAGCAGTCGTGGTCATCCTGTGGGTCACAGTGACTGTGTCTATGACTCCCTTGCTATTCTCCAAAGACCAAACGATGACCATTCAGGTCGACAACACGACTGTGGTCATGTGTAACCAGCTGTACTTGGAAAATACTTCTCCCAAAGCATTGGTGTCAACCGTGGTGGCGTTTACTATTCCTCTGGTCACCATGGTGATTTCCTATATACTAATCTATTGAAACTGAGGGGCGTCAAGCAACAGGAGGGACCAGTTGGAGACAAGGCTATCAGGATGATCATACTCATCATGGTGAACTTCCTGGTTGCTTTTGTGCCCTATCAATCAATTTTCAATCAATTTTATTTTATATAGCCCTTCTTACATCAGCTAATATCTCGAAGTGCTGTACAGAAACCCAGCCTAAAACCCCAAACAGCTAGTAATGCAGGTGTAGAAGCACGGTGGCTAGGAAAAACTCCCTAGAAAGGCGAAAACCTAGGAAGAAACCTAGAGAGGAACCAGGCTATGAGGGGTGGCCAGTCCTCTTCTGGCTGTGCCGGGTGAAGATTATAACAGAACCATGCCAAGATGTTCAAAAATGTTCATAAGTGACAAGCATGGTCAAATAATAATCAGGAATAAATCTCAGTTGGACTTTTCATAGCCGATCATTAAGAGTTGAAAACAGCAGGTCTGGGACAGGTAGGGGTTCCATAACCGCAGGCAGAACAGTTGAAACTGGAATAGCAGCAAGGCCAGGCGGACTGGGGACAGCAAGGAGTCACCACGGCCGGTAGTCCCGACGTATGGTCCTAGGGCTCAGGTCTCTCAGTTGGCTTTTCATAGCCGATCATTAAGAGTTGAAAACAGCAGGTCTGGGACAGGTAGGGGTTTCGTAACCGCAGGCAGAACAGTTGAAACTGGAATAGCAGCAAGGCCAGGCGGACTGGGGACAGCAAGGTGTCATCATGCCCGGTAGTCCTGACGTAGGGTCCTAGGGCTCAGGTTCTCAGAGAGAAAGAGAGAACGAGAGAATTAGAGAGAGCATACTTAAATTCACACAGGACACTGGATAAGACAGGAGAAGTACTCCAGGTATAACCAACTAACCCCAGCCCCCCGACACATAAACTACTGCAGCATAAATACTGGAGGCTGAGACAGGAGCGGTCCGGAGACACTGTGGCCCCATCCGAAGAAACCCCCGGACAGGGCCAAACAGGAAGGATATAACCCCACCCACTCTGCCAAAGCACAGCCCCCGCACCACTAGAGGGATATCCTCAACCACCAACTTACAATCCTGAGACAAGGCCGAGTATAGCCCACAGAGGTCTCCACCACAGCACAAACCAAGGGGGGGCGCCAACCCAGACAGGAAGATCACGTCAGTAACTCAACCCACTCAAGTGACGCACCCCTCCCAGGGACGGCATGAAAGAGCACCAGCAAGCCAGTGACTCAGCCCCTGCAACAGGGTTAGAGGCAGAGAACCCCAGTGGAGAGGGGAACCGGCCCGGCAGAGACAGCAAGGGCTGTTCGTTGCTCCAGAGCCTTTCCGTTCACCTTCACACTCCTGGGCCAGACTACACTCAATCATATGACCTACTGAAGAGATAAGTCTTCAGTAAAGACTTAAAGGTTGAGACCGAGTCTGCGTCTCTCACATGGGTAGGCAGACTGTTCCATAAAAATGGAGATCTATAGGAGAAAGCCCTGCCTCCCGCTGTTTGCTTAGAAATTCTAGGGACAATTAGGAGGCCTGCGTCTTGTGACCGTAGCGTACGTATTGGTATGTACGGCAGGACCAACTCGGAAAGATAGGTAGGAGCAAGCCCATGTAACGCTTTATAGGTTAACAGTAAAACCTTGAAATCAGCCCTTGCCTTAACAGGAAGCCAGTGTAGGGAAGCTAGCACTGGAGTAATATGATCAAATTTCTTGGTTCTAGTCAGGATTCTAGCAGCCGTATTTAGCACTAACTGAAGTTTATTTAGTGCTTTATCCGGGTAGCCGGAAAATAGAGCATTGCAGTAGTCTAACCTAGAAGTAACAAATGCATGGATTAATTTTTCTGCATCATTTTTGGACAGAAAATTTCTGATTTTTGCAATGTTACGTAGATGGAAAAAAGCTGTCCTTGAAACAGTCTTGATATGTTCGTCAAAAGAGAGATCAGGGTCAAGAGTAACGCCGAGGTCCTTCACAGTTTTATTTGAGACGACTTTACAACCATCAAGATGAATTGTCAGATTTAACAGAAGATCTCTTTGTTTCTTGGGACCTAGAACAAGCATCTCTGTTTTGTCCGAGTTTAAAAGTAAAAAGTTTTCAGCCATCCACTTCCTTATGTCTGAAACACAGGCTTCTAGCGAGGGCAATTTTGGGGCTTCACCATGTTTCATTGAAATGTACAGCTGTGTGTCATCCGCATAGCAGTGAAAGTTAACATTATGTTTTCGAATAACATCCCCAAGAGGTAAAATATATAGTGAAAACAATAGTGGTCCTAAAACGGAACCTTGAGGAACACCGAAATGTACAGTTGATTTGTCGGAGGACAGACCATTCACAGAGACAAACTGATATCTTTCCGACAGGTAAGATCTAAACCAGGCCAGAACTTGTCCGTGTAGACCAATTTGGGTTTCCAGTCTCTCCAAAAGAATGTGGTGATCGATGGTGTCAAAGGCAGCACTAAGGTCTAGTAGCACGAGGACAGATGCAGAGCCTCGGTCTGACGCCATTAAAAGGTCATTTACCACCTTCACAAGTGCAGTCTCAGTGCTATGATGGGGTCTAAAACCAGACTGAAGCATTTCGTATACATTGTTTGTCTTCAGAAAGGCAGTGAGTTGCTGCGCAACAGCTTTTTCTAAAATTTTTGAGAGGAATGGAAGATTCGATATAGGCCGATAGTTTTTTATATTTTCCGGGTCAAGGTTTGGCTTTTTCAAGAGAGGCTTTATCACTGCCACTTTTAGTGAGTTTGGTACACATCCGGTGGATAGAGAGCTGTTTATTATGTTCAACATAGGAGGGCCAAGCACAGGAAGCAGCTCCTTCAGCAGTTTAGTAGGAATAGGATCCAGTATGCAGCTTGAAGGTTTAGAGGCCATGATTATTTTCATCATTGTGTCAAGAGATATAGTACTAAAACACTTAAGTGTCTCTCCCGATCCCAGGCCCTCGCAGAGCTGTGCAGATCCAGGACAGCTAAGCCCTGGAGGAATACGCAGATTCAAAGAGGAGTCCGTAATTTGCTTTCTAATGGTCATGATCTTTTCCTTAAAGAAGTTCATGAATTTATTACTGCTGAAGTGAAAGCCATCCTCTCTTGGGGAATGCTGCTTTTTAGTTAGCTTTGCAACAGTATCAAAAAGAAATTTTGGATTATTCTTATTTTCCTCGATTAAGTTGGAAAAGTAGGATGATCGAGCAGCAGTGAGGGCTCTTCGGTACTGCACGGTACTGTCTTTCCAAGCTAGTCGGAAGACTTCCAGTTTGGTGTGGCGCCATTTCCGTTCCAATTTCCTGGAAGCTTGCTTCAAAGCTCGGGTATTTTCTGTATACCAGGGAGCTAGTTTCTTATGACAAATGTTTTTCGTTTTTAGGGGTGCAACTGCATCTAGGGTATTGCGCAAGGTTAAATTGAGTTCCTCAGTTAAGTGGTTAACTGATTTTTGTCCTCTGACGTCCTTGGGTAGGCAGAAGGAGTCTGGAAGGGCATCAAGGAATTTTTGTGTTGTCTGAGAATTTATAGCACGACTTTTGATGCTCCTTGGTTGGGGTCTGAGCAGATTATTTGTTGCGATTGCAAACGTAATAAAATGGTGGTCCGATAGTCCAGGATTTTGTGGAAAAACATTAAGATCTACAACATTTATTCCATGGGACAAAACTAGGTCCAGAGTATGACTGTGGCAGTGAGTAGGTCCAGAGACATGTTGGACAAAACCCACTGAGTCGATGATGGCTCCGAAAGACTTTTGGAGTGGGTCTGTGGACTTCTCCATGTGAATATTAAAATCACCAAAAATTAGAATATGATCTGCTATGACTACAAGGTCTGATAGGAATTCAGGAAACTCAGAGAGGAACGCTGTATATGGCCCAGGAGGCCTGTAAACAGTAGCTATAAAAAGTGATTGAGTAGGCTGCATAGATTTCATGACTAGAAGCTCAAAAGATGAAAACGCCATTTTTTTTTTGTAAATTGAAATTTGCTATCGTAAATGTTAGCAACACCTCCGCCTTTGCGGGATGCACGGGGAATATGGTCACTAGTGTAACCAGGAGGTGAGGCCTCATTTAACACAGCAAATTCATCAGGCTTAAGCCATGTTTCAGTCAGGCCAATCACATCAAGATTATGATCAGTGATTAGTTCATTGACTATGACTGCCTTTGAAGTGAGGGATCTAACATTAAGTAACCCTATTTTGAGATGTGAGGTATCACGATCTCTTTCAATAATGGCAGGAATGGAGGAGGTCTTTATCCTAATAAGATTGCTAGGGTGAACACCGCCATGTTTAGTTTTGCCCAACCTAGGTCGAGGCACAGACACAGTCTCAATGGGTATGGCTGAGCTGACTACACTGACTGTGCTATTGGCAGACTCCACTAAGCTGGCAGGTTGGCTAACAGCCTGCTGCCTGGCCTGCACCCTATTTCACTGTGGGGCTAGAGGAGTTAGAGCCCTATCTATGTTGGTAGATAAGAGGAGAGCACCCCTCCAGCTAGGATGGAGTCCGTCACTCCTCAGCAGGTCAGGCTTGGTCCTGTTTGTGGGTGAGTCCCAGAAAGAGGGCCAATTATCCACAAATGTTATCTTTTGGGAGGGGCAGAAAACAGTTTTCAACCAGCGATTGAGTGCTGAGACTCTGCTGTAGAGCTCGTCACTTCCCCTAACTGGGAGGGGGCCAGAGACAATTACTCGATGCCGACACATCTTTCTAGCTGATTTACACGCTGAAGCTATGTTGCACTTGGTGACCTCTGACTGTTTCATCCTAACATCGTTGGTGCCGACGTGGATAACAATATCTCTATACTCTCTACACTCGCCAGTTTTAGCTTTAGCCAGCACCATCTTTAGATTAGCCTTAACGTCGGTAGCCCTGCCCCCTGGTAAACAGTGTATGATCGCTGGGTGATTCGTTTTAAGTCTAATACTGCGGGTAATGGAGTCGCCAATGACTAGGGTTTTCAATTTGTCAGAGCTAATGGTGGGAGCCTTCGGCGTCTCAGACCCCGTAACGGGAGGAGTAGAGACAAGAGAAGACTCAGACTCAGACTCCGACTCGCTACATAATGGGGAAAACCGGTTGAAGGTTTCTGTCGGCTGAATGAGCGACACCGGTTGAGCATTCCAACAGTATTTCCCTCCAGAAGCCATGAGAAAGTTGTCCGGCTGCGGGGACTGTGCGGGGGGATTTATACTAACGTTACTGTCTGTACTTACTGGTGGCACAGACGCTGTTTCTTCCTTTCCTACACTGAAATTACCCTTGCCTAACGATTGCGTCTGAAGCTGGGCTTGTAGCACAGCTATTCTCGCCGTAAGGCGATCGTTCTCCTGTATATTATGAGTACAGCGACTGCAATTAGAAGACATCATGTTAATGTTACTACTTAGCTTCGGCTGTTGAAGATGTTGACGAACCATGTCCAGATAAAGCGTCCGGAGTGAAAAAGTTGAATAAGGGAAAAAAGTTGCGATGGAAAAAAGGAAAATAAGGTAAAGTTGGCAGCTAAAACGCACAGGAAAATGACTCTTCTGTCTCGGGATAAAACGTCCGGGGTGAAAAAGTTTAACGAAAAAAGATGAGTGAGGACAAAACTAAAAAGTTGGTAAATTTGTTGAACACAGAGATTGATTAAACGTTTATTAAAAGTAAAACGTGAATAGTTTGGCAGGTAGCCAAGTAGCAACAAACAGCACAGCAGCACGGAACCGTTCCATCTACATTGTGAACCGTTCCATCTACATTGAGAGATACATTCATAGCCACAGTGAGTGGCGCAGTGGTCTAAGGCACTGCATCGCAGTGCTAACTGTGCCACTAGAGATCCTGGTTCGAATCCAGGCTCTGTCGTAGCCGGCCGTGACCGGGAGACCCATGGGGCGGCGCACAATTGGCCCAGCGTCGTCTAGGGTAGGGGAGGGAATGGCCGGCATGGATGTAGCTCAGTTGGTAGAGCATGGCGTTTGCAACGCCAGGGTTGCGGGTTCGATTCCCACGGGGGTATGAAAAAAAATAATGTATGCACTCACTAACTGTAAGTCGCTCTGGATAAGAGCGTCTGCTAAATGACTAAAATGTAAATGTAAAATGAAACTGCGTCCATTAAGGCTCTGGCACTAGCCAATCGAGTCACTTCCGCACTAACCTGTGTGAGTGGAGTGTTGGATCCTATTATGTATTTCTTTCTGGCAAGGACTTATCAGAGTATACTGCTTCAGCTGTACTGTAGAGACAGGGGAGATCTAGGATCAGGTCCCCCCTGTCCATAATCTTATTCATTATTATGATCTAAAACAAAAAGGCAAAACTGTTCTCCTCCTGCTCTGAGACTTGAAAAAGTGTATGCTTGCAGTGAGTCAATGACTATTTAATATTACAGTGACGATGTACAGTGTTGAATCCTACGGTATGATAGCATTGTGGTGTTGAGCAATACAGGCATACAGTACATAAGAATGGTTGGTAGGCCTATGGCCCTGTATGAAAATAAAGCTTATTTCTAGGTTGTTTTACCATCTCTGTTATTGTATGCATAGTATTCTTGTAAATGTAAGTGCACTCATTCAGACCCCTTGACTTTTTCCACATTTTGTTACCTTACAGCCTTATTCTAAAATGGATTAAATAGCTTTTTTCCCCTCATCGATCTACACACAATACCCCATAATGACAAAACAAAAACAGGTTTTTAGACATTTTAGACAATAAAAAGCTGAAATATAACATTTACATAAGTATTCAGACCCTTTACTCAGTACTTTGTTGAAGCACCTTTGGCACCGATTACAGCATAGATTCTTCTTGGATATGATGTTATAAGCTTGGCACACCTGTATTTGGGGAGTTTCTCCCATTCTTCTCTGCATATCCTCTCAAGCTCTGTCAGGTTGGATGGGGATTATCGCTGTACAGCTATTTTCAGGTCTCCAGAGATATTCGATTGGGTTCAAGTCTGGGCTCTGGCTGGGCCACTCAAGGACTTTCAGAGACTTGTCATGAACCCACTCCTGCGTTGTCTTGTCTGTGTGCTCAGGGTCATGAACATTCTGAGCACACAGTCTGAGGTCCTGAGTGCTCTGGAGCAGGTTTTCATCAAGGATCTCTCTGTACTTTGCTCCGTTCACCTTTCCCTCGATCCTGACTAGTCTCCCATTCCCTGCAGCTGAAAAATATCCCCACAGCATGATGCTGCCACCACCATGCTTCGCCGTAGGGATGGTGCCATGTTTCCTCCAGACGTGACGCTTGGCATTCATGCCAAAGAGTTCAATCTTGGTTTCATCAGACCAGAGAATCTTGTTTCTCATGGTCTGAGAGTCTTTAGATGCCTTTTGGCAAACTCCAAGCGGGCTGCCATGTGCCATTTACTGAGGAGTGGCTTCCGTCTGGCCACTCTACCATAAAGGCCTGATTGGTGGAGTGCTGCAGAGATGGCTGTCCTTCTGGAAGTTTCTCCCATCTCCACAGAGGAACTCTGGAGCTCTGTCAGAGTGACCACCGGGTTCTTGGGCACCTCCCTGACCAAGGCCCTTCTCCCCCGATTGTTCAGTTTGGCCGGGCGGCCAGCTCTAGGAAGAGTCTTGGTGGTTTCAAACTTCTTCCATTTAAGTATGATGGAGGCCACTGTGTTCTTGGGGTCCTTCAATGCTGCAGACATTTTTTGGCACCCTTCCTCAGATCTGTGCCTCGTCACAATCCTGTCTCAGAGCTCTACGGACAATTTCTTTGACCTCAAGGCTTGGTTTTTGCTCTGACATGCACTGTCAACTGTGGGACCTTATATAGACAGGTGTGTGCCTTTCCAAATCATGTTCAATCAATTGAATTTACCACAGGTGGTCTCCAATCAAGTTGTAGAAACATCTCAAGGATGATCAATGGAAACAGGATGGGCCTGAGCTCAATTTCGAGTCTCATAGCAAAGGGTCTAAATACTTATGTAAATAAGGTATTTCTGTTTTTTATTTTTAATAAATTAGCAAAAATTGAGGAAAACATTTATTGGTTCAATTTTAGAATAAGGCTGTAACGTAACAAAATGTGGAAGACGTGAAGGGGTCTGAATACTTTCCGAATGCATATTATTAAAGCCATTTTTTGCAAAATGAATGAAAAACTCATGGCATTACTTTCTTCCAAATAGTAAAAGTGTGTAAACCATTACATAAAAAGATGCCAGTAAACAAACTTTATTTCTTCCAAATGAAAAGCCTCCTTAATGTCTCCATCCAGTGAGCACTTCTCTCCTTTAGTTTAAACGAACGCCCTCAATATTAAACAACACAGAGCAGAGCAGGAGAGGCCTAAAAAGAAGATTGACAAAGAAAAATACATGTATTTATCAAGTCATAAAAAGCCCAATTCCTGAAAAAAAACATATCAAGCCACTTCACTCGAGGTTATTTTAACAGCAGAGCCTAGGCCACTTAGCATGAGCTATGTTGTTCAAATAAAATGTGTGTTTATGGTGTTAACAAAAGTAGTATTGTCTATTGTCTTAACTTCATATGTTCATTCGGTACTGTATTACATACACAAAGGAGGTAAAAATTATCTCTAAAGAAGACTAAAAAAAAATTCCCTATCATTCTACCAGAGCTGAATAAAGAAACTATAAAGGCATGATAGTTTGTGTATATTTTTTGTTGATTGCTAACATGAACTGAGCATCGATAAAATTCAAAAGTAATCTATTGAGCTTTTGGACAACCCCCCTCCCACACCCCCCTTGTTCAGACAGAACAGCTACATGTGAACAGTCTGACAGTGACATACTGTTCACCACTGTTTCAGTAGATGTGTGGTGGTACTGAGACAGTGGGCTTGACTGGTACAATTCTCAAAGGAGACTGGCTTCCAACAAATGGAAAAACTCTCTTATCAAAGTTGTGATAAAGTCTGTATAAGGCTTTTTTGTTGATGAGGTCATATAAATTCATGTATCCTCTGTATATGTCCACAAATACCCTGATCCTTTCAGGTCTGGCTCTCACTTGCAGTTTTGTAGTCTCAGGATTTGATTTGGAGCTTACTTTGTATTTCCCATCCATGTGCCAGAGACAGCAGTCTGGCTGGTCCCCCGGCCCTTCCATTGCTCCATCGGTCAAACCCAGCCTCCAGAATCCATGGCCCCCAACAACCACGTCCCAGCTGTGCGCCCAGCTCGCATTTGAAGAAGTAAATCCCGGGCACGTCATCAGACTCCAAATATAATGGGTGGGCAATGTTGGGGTCCAGAACCACAGGAGCTGAGTGAAACTATCAGAGATATGCTGAATTAGAACCTTTGATTGTAATATAGTAATTCTAGCCTGGGTTGTATACTACGAAGCAAGCTAGATCTACTCAGGCTTTTATAAAGCTAGCCAGCTTCAGTTAGCTTCACATTCCAGGTCAGGCTTCATCCATGCTACGACGGCGGATAATGCTTGTCTGCCTGCCGCTAACTCTAGCACGCTTGTAACTGCGTATGCATGTCGCACAAGGCTAGTCGAACGCCGAACTCTTCATTGAGACAATGCTAAAACATAAATCCATGGGCGAGTCAGTGCCACATTTTCATTTGTGCCAAAATCAAAATGAAAGAAAAGTTATTACAAATGCATCAGACTATGGTGTGAAATGGGCTTGTAGAGGTGCCGCCTTAATTTTATTACTTATCGTTAACGCCGTCATTGGTGTACTTATTCATTCACAAGCACCTTTTCCCCCACTCCTATCGCTCCTTCTATCTGTGGAACAGCTTGTGGCGTTGTGGCCATAAACATATAATCCATACAAGGGTTTTGGAACCTCTAAACCTGTCAATTTGACTGTTAAACTCATGGGTACACTAGTGTTAAGTTGCATCAATTCAAATCTGGTATTAGGAACAAAAGAGGTCAATACGCGTCTTCTAAAATAGACTAGTATTTTAATTAATGCAAACCACTTCAATGGTAAATATGATGTTCGTATATATGGGTCCACTGAAATACCACGCAGGGCACTCAGGGAACTGATCCATTGTTCTAAGTTCTTCTTCAAATACTCTGACAGAGATAGTTCCCGCTCCCTGCTGGCCAATCAGAGTAGAGACTGATCGTTGGCGCACAGGCTGGTCCCAGACCCTTGGCGCTTCACTGTTGCACACTGTTGCCAGGCATAAGTTGTTATCATCACAACTTGTAGAGTCAGTACCTTTTTGCAGTACACGTCCTTGAGCGCGGTTTAACAAAGAGGCAGTGTGTATGTGTCTGTGAGAAATACAAGTCTGTCTCACCCTACTCCCTAACATTCCTCACATGAATCACAGCTTGTTATGTTAAACAATTTATACAGTACAAACCTATTATGTTTAATCATTAATGCATTCTTTCTAAGCTAGGCATCACATCCAGTTATAAGAAAATAGATCCCCACACTAGCAATGGCTGCCAGTCTTGACTTGAATGGGAACTGCCATTTATGGATTATATGTTTATGGTTGGATTGCCTTGCGCAAATTTCAAAATTCAATAGCTTGAAAAATGTACAGTTTGGAAAGCAAATACTGTCATTACTAAATGTGTCACGTGATACGTATTTTAACATTTTAAAAAATGTACACACATAAAAACATTGTATTAATAAAATATTGAATCAGTCGTCATCCTCATATGAAGGGGACGATGACATTATTTTCCAGAGGGAGGGTATCTGATTTTATTTTTCCTCAACTCGTGGCTCAGACACTTCCCACTGGGCAAAAACTGGCTAAATCAATGTTGTTTCCACGTCATTTCAACCCAAAAAATCTATGTGATGAAGTTGAATCAACATGGAAAACAGATTAGAGTGGCCTGCTCCAGAGCAGGTTAGTTCTGAAGGATTCATTGCCATAGAAATTTACCTGGCTAAAAGGTGAGCCTCTTTCATACGACCGGGTATCCCGAGTTGAACTCAGAGATGACCAATGTTACCTCTCTAACTCCTCAAACCCGGTATGTAGTATACCCCACTAGTCTCAGATCTGTTTGTGTGGTCTTGCCACCTCCTATGGCCATTGTCACACATGAAAACGATCGTAGGAATAAGCAAGACGGCAAACAGATAGAACAAGCTACAGTGCCGTTGTTTGATTAAATCTGTTAACCCTGCATTTTGCACAGTAAGATCATAAATTGATACTCACTACAGGTCGCAATCTCCTTCATTTTCCCCCACACTCTAAAGCACAGGTTTCCCAGGTGTTTGGCCACGTCAACCAGCTCTTCTTTGGCCACAGCCAGGCCTCCTGGGGCCACCTCTGGATCTGGTACAGCAGCACATCGGTCTCTGGAAGAACATTCTGGAGTCATGGCTGCTGTTGTTCAGAACCACAGAGGAGGGAGGGAGAGAAGAAGAGAGAGCGAGAGAGGTGGCAGTTCACTTACCTTGTTTTCGCTGTGGCTTTATACTCCTGCAGGTCAAAAGAGGAAATCAAATCAATCAACCACTACACATCAGTCAATCAATCATACCCACAAACAATGTTCCCTCTAAAAAAAAAAATGTGGCACCGAGAAAATGTCTGCTGAGCGTGAACTTGTACATTGTGAAAATTCTGTGCAACTTCCAGCGTTAACTGAGAACACTGAGGTTGTACCAACTTTAAGTTATAATTGTAGCCTATTGCATTACTTTAGTTTAAAATATACGTTTGTTTATTTAACAAATCTAGAACCCACTATAGGTTGGTGCTATTCCCTCAGCATAATAGCTAAAGCTACTTGCATCCCCTGGTCCCCGTAACGAAAAAGAATTATCGTTCTAGAATTCACCAACTATTTGCTTACACCACTGGTGTTAAGCAACCTATCGAATAAAGTAATAACAATTAGAATTTATCAAAGCACTGCCTTCCAGTCAAGTATTTAGACCTCTACTTGAAATCTTACAGCTCAATCTAACTCGCTGGACTGTCTCTATTTTTTTTTCTCTCGCTAACCAGAGCCATAAATTATTCTCTTTTGTCCTCAACTCAATTTTCACAGCTCTATCGCCATTTCAGTTCGCTATTCAATTTCTTTAACTGTTCTCTCTGATTAGGCCCTAATTAATCAAACAAATACTTGCTATCATTGATAAGCATACATTTAATGATATTCCTATCATTTGAACTATCTCTCACCCCTCCCCTTGCTCCTTCCTACACAACGGGGGAGGCGCGGGGACCTTGTAACATATTTTCATAGACCTTTCTAGAATAATTCTACTTAAGCTATCTAATTCAACCTTTCACATTTCTCAATCCACGTAGTAACCTAGGTCTATAGCCCCAATGCGAAAGCTTTACCCACTGTCCCTACCTGGGTTCGAACCAGGGACCCTCTACATACATTGCCAGTCACCCCACACATTCCGCGATCCATTCAATGTATATACTTCCAGTTCATAGAGCAAGTGACGTCACCAAATGAAAACCGCACTAGCTCTCACCTCATTCTAAGGTTGCTGGGGCCTCTTTCATTCCCCGCCAATAGATTAGGTAAGGCTATCAGTGGGTACTGGCCCCCTCCTACTCTCTCGCTCTCTCTCTCTCTCTCTCTCTCTCTCACTGCTTCTTTAAATTTACCCCTACGCGGTTCTCCCTCCTGTTTCCACTCCGAACAGGTTTTGTCCGTTTTTCGTTTTAACGTAATATTCGTCCGTTATTTAAAGTACGTTAGTCTATTTATTTAAATCAAATTATTCCCACCTAATTAGTTAAAGTCGGTGCATATTGTCACGGTTTCGGCCGAGGCTGCTCCTCCTCCTTGCTCGGGCAGGCTTCGGCGGTCGTCGTCCCCGGAGTACTAGCTGCCACCGTTGTATGTTTCATGTTCGTTTGGTTTTGTCTTGATGTTGTACACCTGTTTCCAGTTAGTGTTCATTAGTGTCCTATTTAGTTCTCGTTGTGTGTGTCAGGTGTTGTGTGTGATTGCGCTTCTGTTTGGTGTTCTGTGCTACGTGTTTCCCTCCGTTGTTTTGGAGAGGGTTTTTCGCACATGTTAGTGCGCCTTTTGTTTGACGCCTGTGTGTGCCTTTATTTCGCCTCCGGGCTTGTTGAGCTCGTGTACTAAGTGTATATTTCACTAAAGTCTTTTGGACTTAGTTTCTGCGTCCTGCGCTTGATTCCTGCACCACACCCACCTACAGCACCCGTGACACATATTTATATTTCAACGATAAACCAAATTATTTCAGTCTAATTATTCAGGGTCAAACATCAAACGTTAAATTAATGTGGCGTCAAACATAAAACATTTATATTTGGGAATTTAATCACATCAAGCCAATATCATGTTGTGTTGAACATCCAACGTTAAGTTGAATAATATATCAAATTTCAACTTAATTTCTTCTTTAAAACCAGTGTTATGTTATTTCAAACACCAACGTTACAGTTTAATTATATCAGTTCAATACATTTCAATTTAGTTATATTGACTATTCATTATCTTTACCTTTATATTCCCAATTTACTAACGGGTTATACGGTTTAAGCAGCTACAGACTTCTTTAACTCCTAATTAGTTTTCTATCAAGGTATACAGGCTTATTAATTTTAATAACCCGCATTCACTCTTTTATTTCATTTGCAATCACTCTTTTATTACACTGGGATCATTCGCACTCTCATTCATACAACACCCTATACTTTAAAGTGTCCCTCTGATCCTAGCCGTACCTAGCCCTCTGGTACGTGTCAGTGGAACAATACTCTATAATACCATGGTTTAACACTCACATTTACCATAAGTTTGCATGTCACACCATAGTGTTTTATGTAATTGATAATGATTCAGGTATTCAGTTACAATTTGGGTCACTTACATCAAACAGGTGTTTCACAAAATTAATTTGGATAAAGCCAATGTGCAGAACTTCAGTCATATAACAATAGGTGTCTGCTTACCTGTTTTTAGTAGTCCGGACTCTTTGTGAAACACACCGTCCAACGACAGCGATGTCCAATCGGCCGGACAATACCCAGCGAAGTCCCTCTACCAGATCACGTCGGCGGTCACCAATTGTTAAATTGCGTCAATTCAAATCTGGTATAGGAACAAAAAGAGGTCAATACACGTCTTCTAAGATAGACTAGTATTGTAATTAATGCAAACACTTGAATGGTAAATATGATGTTCGTATATACGGGCCCACTGAAAAACCACGCAGGGCAGACAGAGAACTGAGCTTTTGTTATAAGTTCTTCTTTAAATACTCTGACAGAGATAGTTCCCGCTCCCTGCGGGGCCTGTCAGAGTAGAGGCTGGGTGTGGTTTAAACTTACCCAACCTATCGATGGCGCACAGGCTGGTCCCAGCCCCTTGGCGCTTCACTGTTGCCAGGCATTAGTTGTTATCTTTACAACTTGTCTCGAGTCAGCAACCTCAGACATAGTTTGTCCTTCTTTGTAGCAGATCACATGTCCTTGAGCGGTTTAACAAAGAGGCTGTGTGTATGTGAGTCACAAGCCTGTCTCAGCCTACCCCCTAACGGTTCCTCACATTAATCACAGCTTGTTATGTTAAACAATCTATATCAGTACAGCACAAACCTATTATGTTTAATCATTAATGTATTCTTTCTAAGCTAGGCATCACATCTAGTTGTAAGAAAATAGATCCCCACACTACTTATCCCCTCCATCGTCTCTCGAATCCCTCTCATCTTCCATGAAACCTTGTGCTTCAAGACAGCAATCCTGGCTGCCTCCTCCTTTTTCAGGAACGGATGCAGCTTCTCAAACTCACACATTATCTGCAGTTCAGTGCGCCGGGCCTGGCTCTGGAGACAGGGGGACGTGAAGAGAACAGTTACTGCTGACTATAGTATTTTTATCTCACCACTACCATTATGGAGAATATAATCTCTCATGGACAGACGCACATAACATAGGATGGTATCGTAGCATCTGTAAACAGACTGTGGGATGTGACGACTAACAATAAACTTTGTTTCCGGTGCGCCAATTTTTTTGTCACTTGGACAAATTAGGATTTCGCAGTTGTTTGCATCTTTCGAATTTCGGAAGGGTAGGGGACATTTCCGTTTAGTGGGTGGAGACTTTGCTCGTCTCATTAGTATATTTTCTCATACATCTCCCCCAGAACCTAATGGAGCATCTGAAGCAATTATGTGAGATTTTTGATCTGGGTTTCCGAGATTAAGGAGAATACTATCCAGGGTCTTCGGATCAGTTTATCTTACAAATCAGTCAATTCAGGAAGTGATTTCAATGATGAAAAGTTTCTAACCTTAGCCAATTATGCTCAGGGATTGATGCCACGTTCAGGTCGTGTTTGGGAACTAGTAAATATGACCTTCTTACTGGGAAAAATGCATGTGAACGCCCTCCAACTTGTAATTATGACTAGGAAACTCGGGTATGAACTCTGGACCACGATTTTCCCCACATGCTGAACTCTGACGTCACGCACCACTGAAAATGGCAACACACATGGCCGCAATTTCGGCTGTCAATGGTGAGAATGGTTCTTGCGTTTCTTCCTAGCTCTGAGCATGTGAACATGTGAACACAAGTTGTTCCTCCAAAGTAGACAAGTCAGGGATTTTTCTGCAATTGAAATTCTTGGGCAGGCCGCCTAAGCGTTTTTTTCAGGTCGCCTAAGTCCAAACTGTAAAAAATAATAAATAATAATAACAATAATTTTGTATTCATTTTCAGGATGGATTTTTTGTTCTGTTAACTTAAACCAGATACAGTGAGGGAAAAAAAGTATTTGATCCCCTGCTGATTTTGTACGTTTGCCCACTGACAAATAAATGATCAGTCTATAATTTTAATGGTAGGTTTATTTGAACAGTGAGAGACAGAATAACAACAAAAAAATCCAGAAAAATGTATGTCAAAAATGTCATGAATTGATTTGCATTTTAATGAGGGAAAAAAGTATTTAACCCCTCTGCAAAACATGACTTAGTACTTGGTGGCAAAACCCTTGTTGGCAATCACAGAGGTCAGACATTTCTTGTAGTTGGCCACCAGGTTTGCACACATCTCAGGAGGGATTTTGTCCCACTCCTCTTTGCAGATCTTCTCCAAGTCATTAAGGTTTCGAGGCTGACGTTTGGCAACTCAAACCTTCAGCTCCCTCCACAGATTTTCTACGGGATTAAGGTCTAGAGACTGGCCAGGACCTTAATGTGCTTCTTCTTGAGCCACTCCTTTGTTGCCTTGGCCGTGTGTTTTGGGTCATTGTCATGCTGGAATACCCATCCACGACCCATTTTCAATGCCCTGGCTGAGGGAAGGAGGTTCTCACCCAAGATTTGACGGTACATGGCCCCGTCCATCGTCCCTTTGATGCTGTGAAGTTGTCCTGTCCCCTTAGCAGAAAAACAACCCCAAAGCATAATGTTTCCACCTCCATGTTTGACGGTGGGGATGGTGTTCTTGGGGTCATAGGCAGCATTCCTCCTCCAAACACGGCGAGTTGAGTTGATGCCAATGAGCTCCATTTTGGTCTCATCTGACCACAACACTTTCACCCAGTTCTCCTCTGAATCATTCAGATGTTCATTGGCAAACTTCAGACGGGCATGTATATGTGCTTTCTTGAGCAGGGGGACCTTGTGGGCGCCGCAGGATTTCAGTCCTTCAGTGTTACCAATTGTTTTCTTGGTGACTATGGTCCCAGCTGCCGTGAGATCATTGACAAGATCCTCCCGTGTAGTTCTGGGCTGATTCCTCACCGTTCTCATTATCATTGCAACTCCACGAGGTGAGATCTTGCATGCCGAGTGAGATTGACAGTTATTTTGTGTTTCTTCCATTTGCGAATAATCGCACCAACTGTTGTCACCTTCTCACCAAGCTGCTTGGCGATGGTCTTGTAGCCCATTCCAGCCTTGTGTAGGTCTACAATCTTGTCCCTGACATCCTTGGAGAGCTCTTTGGTCTTGGCCATGGTGGAGAGTTTGGAATCTGATTGATTGATTGCTTCTGTGGACAGGTGTCTTTTATACAGGTAACAAACTGAGATTAGGAGCACTCCCTTTAAGACACCTGGGAGCCAGAAATCTTTCTGATTGCGAGGGGGTCAAATACTTATTTCCCTCATCAAAATGCAAATCAATTTATAACATTTTCGACATGTGTTTTTCTGGATTTTGTTGTTGTTATTCTGTCTCTCACTGTTCAAATAAACCTACCATTAAAATTATAGACTGATCATTTCTTTGTCAGTGGGCAAACATACAAAATCAGCAGGGGATCAAATACTTTTTTCCCTCACTGTATATATAATAGGAACGCCTGAGTCTGAAGTATTTCTGTGTTTGGGTACCCCTCAAGATTTTTTGGTGATTTGCAAATTACTTTGACTTCGGTGAGGACCCTTAGGGAGGATCTCGTTACCAGGGCAGCCAGGAAGCTGAGGGTATATGTGTGAGTATTTATTGTATTCTAGGCCAGTTAAAGGCCTATCTTTTGGTTTCATTGTCAAGAGTCCAATTCTGTCTGGTATGGAATAGCTGTTGTCTTGTACTTGTCACTAAATTGCTTCCACTGTGATGACTGTAATGTTTTTGACTGACAGGCTCTGCAGAAGACTTACCAGAAGGGAGAAAGAGAGTGCTTTGGAAGCTCAGTACCAAGCCATGGAGAGAGCTGCTACCTTTGAGCACGACAGGGACAAAGTGAAATGGCAGTGTAAGGTTAAGATCATGTGCCTCCCCCTCCTTGTCCATGTGTTTATTTGGATCCCCTATAGCACATTACTCCCATGCTAATGCACAATAGAGCACATAAGAGATAATATTCAGCATTGTAATACCCTAGTATGGCATTCCATCTGGGATTTGCACCCGCAAACTTCAAATCTCAAAACTGTTACGGTTCATCTTTATGAAGCTTATCCTACTTTATCCTACTTCCTCCGCACATGTTTAAATAAGTACTGTACTTACAGTACTGTGTATCCACATATAACACATTTTCACATACAGTACTTTTTACCTGCATGCTTTCTATGCTCATTTGTACTTGGATTGTGTTTTCTTTCTATATTCTTATTGAATACTTTCGATAGCTGTTGCACTGTTAGCACGGAGAGCATTTCATTGTACTGTCTAGGCGACACTACGCTGTATCCTGTGTATTAAAATAAACTGTGATTTGATGTAAATGTCAGATCTTCCGGGAGACCAAAGAAAAGGAGATCCAGGAACTGGCTATAGCAGCTACAGGCTCATGGCATCATGGTGTACAACCCGGACGACTTGGATGACGATGACAACCATACCACCATCACAGGGAAAGGACAAAACCGACTGTGGCGACAAATGGTTAAAATCAGCGGGTGTCATTTTCTGTTAATTTCCAGAGAATTCTACGTGTTGATACACCACCGTTCATCGACATGCAGCAGGTCATCTAATGCGCACAGCCGACGTTCGTTATGGTGTGTATTGTCCTAGAAGACCAACCAATCATACCAAACCTGCAGAGCCACATAGGAATGAATATGGCAATTCCCGTATCCCGTATTTCAATGGAGTTAAATTGGGAAACGAATATTGCAATTGAAGTTATAAAAAAAGCCTGAATTGACATAATTTACCCTAATTGCTGAACAGTTTACTTAAAACTTGTCAAAGTGTCAACCAAGTAACACTTTAACAATCATCTAATTTCCTCTGACGTAAATTACTCAAAAAGCTGACGCAGTTGTCTGTATTTTGCCTGTCTCAAGCTGCAGGGACTCAGTGTGACTACTGGGGTGGTGGAGTATTAGGGAGTGAGCCCTCTATGGGCAACATGATGCAACTGCAGCAGCCCTTCAGAGAACCAGAGTTTGCCCACAGCTTGTGCGATGTTGAGGGCTGGTTTGCCAACGTCAGCAGAGGTAAGCATGGGTTTGGATCTTTACACGTGTATGTATTTGAGCCTTGGTGTCTCAGTTGGTTGTGAATCTATATGTGCTGTATGTGTTTTATGTATATGAACATGTGTGCTGTCTTTAGAAGATGAGAGCTATTGTTTAGGCCACGCCACACACACCTGTTACAGAATCATAGAGACAATGGCGTCATGTACTTGAACACAAGGACAGCGAGCGCTAACCCACACCATAGCCCTTGTTGAAAAGTATTTGGTAGAGGGTGTTTGTGTGTCCGTCCGTGTGTGTGTGTGTGTGTGTGTGCGTTCGTCCGTCTGTCTATGTGTGTTTATGTATGTGTGTGTCCGTCTGTGTGTGTGTGTGTGCGTGTGTGTTTGTGTGTGTGTATAATGTATGTGTGTGTGTGTGTGTGTTTCAGATGACTGTGGCCAGTCGGCTGCATGTGTTTCCTCACGTGTCCCAGGCGTTATGGAGCAACACGGTGCACTCCTACCTGATCTCTACACAGGAGACACAGGCTGAACTGGATATCTTCACCCAGGTACTGTACACCAGAGATGGAACTTAAAGGGATAGTTCGCTCAAATTCATTTGGGTGACCTATCTCTTTAAGGATATGGGGCACTGGCCAGCCTGCTTGGAATTCTACTAACGAAGGGTCCAAAATCTGTGCCATCATGCGATATTTCTACCTGAACATCTGTTTCCCTGAGGAGGGCGCAGCCTCCTATGCACTGGAATGCCGACAGGAGATTGAGAGGATCTCTGTGTCTGTGCTCCTCCTCAAATCCTCCATCACTAGGTCACTGTCTCTCACTCACATACACCTGAAATCATGAACACAGACAGTGGATGCTTCCCAAATGGCACCCTATTCCTGTATAGTGCACTTATTTGGACCAGAAACCTATGGGCCCTGGTCAAAAGTAGTGCACTATATAGGGAATAGTGTGCCATTTGGGTCGCAGGCAGAGCAACCTCTGTGTTTTTTTCTGTGGCTCCTTCTCTTCTTCACTACCACGTGGTGGTATTAAGTATGCCCCTGCCTCTGTCGCCAGTGAAGTGCTGCTGTTATAGGTTATAGTGTGTTACTCAGTGTGCCATACTGTGTGTGTGTGTGTGTGTGTAGTTGTGAGGTAGATGATGCGGAGGAGGCCTTTATGAAGAACCCAGATGGTCGTCCCCTGGTGCTTTACCTCAGGACCGTGGAGGCACCCTCTCAGCGGCCCCACCAGACAACCGCTGGAGAAGGTCAATGCTGCAGACAAGGCTGCCAAAGTCAAGGTAGCCAATGCGAGGAGGATTCGGGGGGCGTGCTGTGGGACCTGCATGATGAGCAGGCGCAAATCGAGGCCTATCAGCAAGCCTGTAGCTCTCAGTAGCTCTCAACTGGGCTTCCAGTTGAAAGTTCTCGCTCTCTCAGTCTCTACCTCTCTCCGTCATGCTCAGCAGGAAGGTATTTTATTCATATGATTGTGTGATTAAAGGGTTATTTTATTTAGCATCATCATCACAGTGCTCTATTTTGAAAACTCCACTGTTGACAGCCACCATTTTGGGGATTGTATTACCAGTATACAAACAAAATACAACAATATATGTTTTTGAGTAAAATATAACTTTAAATATCGAATCCACATTTTGTATTGTTGATGAAATGGAGGAGAGGAGTATCCGGCAGCGTGGTAAAAAAAAAATGGTAGTACATATTCTGGATGTTTTGTCACGCGTGCAATGAAAAAACAGTGTTTGTTGTTTGCAGTAACTTCTTTGTTGTTGTAATATCCCAAACGGACATGGCAGTTTCACCAATTAAGGATACTAGCTTTAAAGTGAAATATTCAAAATGATGACTCTCAGTACTATAGTGTAATAGTGTAACTTTAGTAATAACTCTTGCATGTGTGGGTGATGTCATGCTCTGTCCTCAGTACATAGATTGTCTGAATGACATGGTGGCAGCCGCTCCTCCCACCCCTCCACTGCCGCGAAAGTCTCCTGCTGTCCCAATGGTGAGAATTCATTAACATTAGACGACATAATCTTTTATAATAAATGCAGTTCTCAAAGATTTCTGTATGTTTAGCTCTATAGACTTTACAGTTGATAATCATTATGAAAGGGAATTCTTCCCCATCCAGGATTGAGCTGCAGCAGAAGCACTCCCCCAACCCTTTGTTCCTATACCATTTTGTGGTTCCTATACCATTTTGTGGGAGGGCCTCTTTCTACCAGCTCTGAGCCTGTACTCATCATCAAACAAATCACTGTCACGCTGCTGGAGCATTTCCGGTCCATCTCTGGGTTGTCCATGGATCCCTCCAAGATCCTAGAGGAGTTCCCTCGCTGGCTAGAGAGACTGTCTGCCAGACACCAAGGCAACATCATAATTGACTCCATTGACCAGATACAGGTACTAAACTACTATCACAGTAGTATATCAGAGATACGAACATGTCAGGAATGGAGTTCATTCGGAACACTGAAATTCACATCAAAAAACGCATCAACCCTTTATAGAATTATTGATGGCATATTTACATGGGTTTTCTAATAATGTATCCAGATACTATAAATATCGAATGTGTTTTTAGCACATGTAAGCAACATTTACGTTTGTCTGTAGCCACAGAAGTTGTCCATACAATATGTCCCCAAGTAGCTACATGTACCGGTTTTATATTATCAGTTGACAGGTCCGTTTGTTACTATGAGGTTTGTATCTTTGAGGTTCTATTGTATTTTCTCCCAGCAAGCAGAGAGGCACATGAAGTGGCTGATCGACCTCTTGCCGGTCAACGTCAAAGTGCTGGTGTCTGTCAACGTGGAGACCTGTCCTCAGGCCTGGAGGTAGGGTACACAACCTGTCAGTTAGTCCATACAAAAGACCCCAGATCAGTACTATGCCAACATATGTTATGCCTTTGTATTGCTTTTGTAGTGCCTATGTAATGCCTGGAAGGGTACACCTATGTAGAGTACACCTATGTAATATGTATCTACAGTATGTATTTTGGGCCTATGTAGTGCCTATGTAATGTCTATGTATTGTGCCCTATGTAGTGATTGTGTGATATGACTGTTGTTCTCCAGACTCCACCTGGACCATCTGAACCCCAGAGAGGTGAAGAGTGTCATCAACACAGAGTGCCTGGCAGCCAACGTCAAACTTTATAGCATTCCCAGAAAGCATGGATTATTGAGTCATTGTTAGTTTTACACTTAAGACATGACTCTGCCGTTGCGCTGTAGAATTTGGGAATTTTGTCTCTTGTATAATACATTCTACACATTAAGCATACATTTTCATTAACATTAGTTACGCTCCAACATTCCCTCCATCTTGTGCTAACATCAGTTATTTTTAAGTCTTGGTTCCAATAGTTGATATATATTTTTTTGCTCTCTGCAAGGTTTTGTATATCTTCCCTATCATATGAACATCCTTTTCTGACTCAAATATGATTACCTCAAGGTTGCTCTGATGTCCAAAATATTTCAAATCGAAATGTCATGATATATAACTTTTAAGTTGCATGTATTTGAAAATATCTACATTGGTCAGTCCAAAATTGCTTTTTAATTCTGTCATGGAAATAAATGTATTTCCTGTTACCAAGTCATTTACGGTTTCTGTGCCTTTAGTTTTCCATGTGGACAAATGTATCTGTGAAGTCTGAAAAGCTATCCAGGATTGTTCCATAGGGTTGTGTTTTTAGGGCGTGATATTGGTTCTTGTAGAATACGTTTAATTTTCTTCCATATTGTTATAGTGTTTTTACGGTATGAGTGAGTCGGAGGTGCTGGAGGTGTTTCCAGACCTGGGCCTGCCTGTCCTCTCCTCCCTTCTCTGTATCATAGGCCTGGGCTGTGGGCTCATCAGGTTCCAGCACCTACAGGTTAGCATGTTTGTGTCCTGCGTGTGTGAGCAATAGGCTCTCAAACTCTGAAACTAAATGAAACAATGTGAAATGTAAGTGAGAGGCTGGATAAGGCGGCAGGTAGTCTAGCAGTTAAGAATGTTGGGGCAGTAACCGAAAGGTCACTGGTTTGAATCCCTGAGCCGACTAGGTGAAAAATCGGTTGATGTGCCCTTGTGCAAGGCACTTAATCCTAATTGCTCCTGTAAATGTAATTATGGCTTTCTGTTAACACTGTCTGTGTGCTTTAGGCTTGGGAAGCTCATCCACTGCTTCAGTCAGCAACTCATGTCTGGCCAACCGCTAGTAACATGAACAACATAAATGTATGTTATCGCATTAGTTACATGACTTAACCTTCGACGACACACTGAGTGTTGGTGTGTGTTTGTGTATGTGTGTGTGTTCAGTCAGGACAGGGTGATGTGGCTACACCAACAGCAGGAGGACAGGGTCAAGCTGCAGCTCAGCCTCCTTAACCTGTTTGTCTCCCAGAACCTCTACAAGAGGTCCGACTTCTTCTATCTGACTGTTTGCCTATGTTTTTTGGTGTTGTCTGTCTAAGGGGTAGTATATTCTCCTATGTTTTTTGGTGTTGTCTGTCTAAGGGGTAGTATATTCTCCTATGTTTTTTGGTGTTGTCTGTCTAAGTGGTAGTATATTCTCCTATGTTTTTTGGTGTTGTCTGTCTAAGGGGTAGTATATTCTCCTATGTTTTTTGGTGTTGTCTGTCTAAGTGGTAGTATATTCTCCTATGTTTTTTGGTGTTGTCTGTCTAAGGGGTAGTATATTCTCCTATGTTTTTTGGTGTTGTCTGTCTAAGTGGTAGTATATTCTCCTATGTTTTTTGGTGTTGTCTGTCTAAGGGGTAGTATATTCTCCTATGTTTTTTGGTGTTGTCTGTCTAAGTGGTAGTATATTCTCCTATGTTTTTTGGTGTTGTCTGTCTAAGTGGTAGTATATTCTCCTATGTTTTTTGGTGTTGTCTGTCTAAGGGGTAGTATATTCTCCTATGTTTTTTGGTGTTGTCTGTCTAAGTGGTAGTATATTTTTCTATGTTTTTTGGTGTTGTCTGTCTAAGTGGTAGTATATTCTCCTATGTTTTTTGGTGTTGTCTGTCTAAGTGGTAGTATATTCTTGTCACACCCTGATCTGTTTCACCTGTCTTTGTGCTTCTCTCCACCCTCCACCTGGTGTCTCCCATCTTCCCCCATTATCCCCTGTGTATTTATACCTGCGTTTTCTGTCTGTTGCCAGTTCGTCTTGTCTCGTCAAGCCCAGTTTCTCTGGTCTCTAGTCCTCCCAGTTCCGACCATTTCTGCCTGCCCTGAGCCTGAGCCCGCCTGCCATACCATTCTGCCTGCCCTGACCCCGAGCTTGCCTGCCGCCCTGTACCTGTCGGACTCGGACCTGGTTATGAACCTCTGCCTGTCCTCGACCTGCCCTTTGCCTGCCTCCTTTAATAAATCTTCTGTCTTCTGTGTCTGCATCTGGGTCATATCCTAAGTCGTGTTAGTACGAACTGGCCATGACTGACCCAGCAGACTCGGACCAGCTCCACAACGCTGTCTACTCCCAAGGAGCCACCACAAGGAGTTATGGACCTTATGGAATGACTCCAGAACTTGGCAGAACGCCACGACCGCGCTTTCAATGTATTGCTGGAGCAATTCCGCTGATATTCTACTAGGCAGCAAGCCTCTACGGTAACCCCACAGACACCCAGTAACCCCGCTACCAGCGGCGCTTCTCCCCAGCCTATCCCGGCTTCCCGAGAACCCTGCTTACCTCCTCCAGAGCGCTACGCTGGAGATCTAGGAACCTGCCAAGCGTTTCTCTTGCAGTGCTCCCTCATCTTCGAGCTGCAACCCTCTTCGTTTCCCTCGGATCGCTCGAAGATAGCGTATCTTATAACGCTGATGTCCGGGAGGGCTCTCGCCTGGGCGATAGCGGTGTGGGAGCAACAATCCACCGTTTGCCTCAGTCTGGAGGAGTTTGTGGCGGAGGTTAGGAAGGTGTTAGGTTCTCCATTGTCCGAGAGTGAGGCTGCTCGGAAGCTACTCCAACTGCGTCAACTCCTGTAGTGTGGCAGACTACGCGGTAGATTTTAGCACGTTGGCCGCTGAGAGTGCCTAGAAACCGGAATCTCTTTTCGACACGTTCCTTCATGGATTATCGGAGGAGGTTAAAGACGAGCTTACAGCCCGGGAGCTTCCCATGGTCCTCAACTCCCTCATCGCCTTGACCTTATGGATCGATGGGCGGCTACGGGAACGTGGGAGGGAGAGGTGGTCTGACTCAAATGATGTCAATTATCCTATCAGAAGCTTCTAAAGCCATGACATCATTTTCTGGAATTTTCCAAGCTGTTTAAAGGCACAGTCAACTTAGTGTATGTAAACTTCTGACCCACTGGAATTGTGATACAGTGAATTATAAATGAACTAATCTGTCTGTAAACAATTGTTGGAAAAATTACTTGGGTCATGCACAAAGTAGATGTCTTAACCGACTTGCCAAAACGATAGTTTGCTAACAAGACATTTGTGGAGTGGTTGAAAAACGAGTTTAATGACTCCAACCTAAGTGTATGTACATTTCCGACTTCAACTGTATACAGTCGTGGTCAAAAGTTTTGAGAATGACACAAATACTAATTTTCACAACCTCTGCTGCCTCAGTTTTGATTATGGCAATTTGCATATAGTCCAGAATGTCATGAAGAGTGATCAGATGAATTGCAATTAATTGCAAAGTCCCTCTTTGCCATGAAAATGAACTTAATCCCCCAAAAAACATTTCCACTGCATTTCAACCCTGCCACAAAAGGACCAGCTGCCATGTCAGTGATTCTCTTGTTAACACAGGTGAGAGTGTTGACGAAGACAAGGCTGGAGATCACTCTGTCATGCTGATTGAGTTAGAATAAGAGACTGGAAGCTTTAAAAGGAGGGTGGTGCTTGAAATCATTGTTCTTCCTCTGTTAACCATGGTTACCTGCAAGGAAACACGTGCCGTCATCATTGCTTTGCACAAAAAGGGCTTCACAGGCAAGGATATTGCTGCTAGTAAGATTGCACCTAAATCAACCATTTATCGGATCATCAAGAACTTCAAGGAGAGAGGTTCAATTGTTGTGAAGAATGCGTCAGGGCGCCCAAGAATGTCCAGCAAGCGCCAGGACCGTCTCTTAAAGTTGATTCAGCTGTGGGATCAGGGCACCACCAGTGCAGAGCTTGCTCAGGAATGGCAGCAGGCAGGTGTGAGTGCATCTGCACGCACAGTGAGACAAAGACTTTTGGAGGATGGCCTGGTGTCAAGAAGGGCAGCAAAGAAGCCACTTTTCTGCAGGAAAAACATCAGGGACAGACTGATATTCTGCAAAAGGTACAGGGATTGGACTGCTGAGGACTGGGGTAAAGTCATTTTCTCTGATGAATCCCCTTTCCGATTGTTTGGGGCATCCGGAAAACACCTTGTCCGGAGAAGACAAGGTGAGCGCTACTATGAGTCCTGCGTCATGCCAACAGTAAAGCATCCTGAGACCATTCATGTGTGGGGTTGCTTCTCAGCCAAGGGAGTGGGCTCACTCACAATTTTACCAAAGAACACAGCCATGAATAAAGAATGGTACCAACACATACTCCGAGAGCAACTTCTCCCAACCATCCAAGAACAGTTTGGTGACGACCAATGCCTTTTCCAGCATGATGGAGCACCTTGCCATAAGGCAAAAGTGTTAACTAAGTGGCTTGGGGAACAAAACATCGAAATGATGGGTCCATGGCCAGGAAACTCCCCAGACCTTAATCCCATTGAGAACTTGTGGTCGATCCTCAAGAGGCGGGTGGACAAACAAAAACCCACAAATTCTGACAAACTCCAAGCATTGATTATGCAAGAATGGGCTGCCATCAGTCAGGATGTGTTCCAGAAGTTAATTGACAGCATGCCAGGGCCGATTGCAGAGGTCTTGAAAAAGAAGGGTCAACACTGCAAATATTGACTATTTGCATAAACTAAATGTAATTGTCAATAAAAGCCTTTGATACTTATGGAATGCTTGTAATTATACTTATACACTATACCATAGTAACATCTGACAAAAATATCTCATAACACTGAAGCAGCGAACTTTGTGAAGACCAATACTTGTGTCATTCTCAAACATTTTGACCACGAATGTATATATATTTGCGAGAACGAAAACATATGGGGGATTGGAAGTGATGCAGACATTTACATTAATGGAAGTTACAATCTATCTGCAATATTAAAGCTGATCTACCCCCCCCCCCCCCCCCCCCCCCCCCCAAAAAAAAAAAAAAAACACAAAGTATATATAAAATAAACAATTAAGGACCCTCTCGCTGCAGGGAGTATTCGTCCATCTGCCTCCCAAGCCGGCGCAGGGTCCTTCTTATTGGAGAAGAACGACAAAACCGTAGGCAGTGTATCGACTACCGGGGCCTTAATGACATCACGGTTAAAAAACGTTACCCTCTACCACTCATCTCCTCGGCTTTCGAACCTCTTCAGAGAGCGACCTTCTCAAAGTTGGACCTTCGAAACGCCTACCATATGGTTCGGATATGGTTCGGATACAAGTGGAAGACAGCCTTTAACACGGCTAGCGGGCATTATGAGTACTTGGTTATGCCATTCGCTGTGTTCCAGGCCCTGGTCAACGATGTGCTCCAGGACATGCTGAACCGGTGCATGTTTGTCTACCTCGATGACATCCTTGTGTTTTCCCGTTCAGCTCAAGAGCACATCATCCAAGTCCGACAGGTCCTTCAGCGTCTCCTGGAGAACCAGCTTTTCGTCAAAGCGGAGAAGTGTGAATTCCATCGCTCCACCATCTCCTTCCTAGGATACGTCATCGCTGCAGGACACATACAGATGAATCCAGACAAGGTGAGAGTGGTGGTGGATCAGCCTCAACCCACATCCCGAGTGCAGCAGCAACGTTTCCTGGGATTTGCTAACTTCGACCACCGCTTCATCTGGGGTTACAGCACCCTGGCTTCCCCCTCTCAGCACTCACCTCTCCCAAGGTTCCATTCACGTGGTCTCCAGCAGCTGACCAGGCGTTCTCGGACCTCAAACATCGATTCACTACAGCCCCAATCTTAATCCATCCGGACCCATCCCGTCAGTTTGTGGTGGAGGTCGGTGCCTTTGATGTCGGAGTGGGGGCCGTCCTGTCCCAACGTTCTGCCCCGGACCAAAAGCTGCACCCCTGCGTTTTCCTCTCCCATCGTCTTACCCCTGCTGAGAGGAACTATGTTGTGGGAAATCGAGAACTCCTCGGCGTCAAGATGGTGTTGGAGGAGTGGAGGCATGTCCCGGAGCCTCACCACCGAGAGGTCCAAGGTTGCCAAGGTTATTTCCCTGTTGACCGGGTGGGCATTGGAATGGGCTACGGCCGTCTGGGAGAAAGGAGAGGAGGAGCTGGGTTCCTATGGGAGGTTCATGGCTCTGTTCAGAGGAGTCTTCGATCATCCACCAGAGGGCAGAAAGGAGGGTGATCGCCTACTCCAACTACGGCAGGAGGACCAGACCGCTGCGGAGTACGCCCTCACCTTTCGTACAGTGGCAGCATCCAGCGGATGGAATGAGCCGGCGCTCCGCACCTTATTCAGAGGAGGATTGCTTGAGGAGGTCCAGACGGAGCTGGCATGCCGAGATGACACCCTCTCATTGGACGCACTCATCGTGATGGCTATCCGTCTGGATAACCTCCTTCGGCAGCGTCGGCACTCCCATCGCCTCTCTCCCTCCTTCGTTGACCGATCTGAATCAGAGCCTGAACCCATGGAGGTAGGAGCCAGACCGAAGCCCCTGTGGTGGATGAGTGGTTCAGGCTCTCCGCCCACGTGAGGTTAGGGATGTCGCCCACGTGAGGCTCCAATGCGCCGTCCGGCGCCAGAAGGAGCAGGCGGACCTCCACCGCAGTGTGGCACCCGTTTTCCATCCTGGTGATTGCGTCTGGCTCTCCACCAGGAACCCCATTGGGGGGGGGGGGGGGGGGGGGGGCGGTACTGTCACGTCCACTCCCGCTTCCTCTCTCCAGCGTTCGACGTCACCGGTCTACTAACCACCGGTCCTGGCAACCCATCCTTGCGCATAGCTGGCAACTTTCATTATGCACACTTGCGCCTCATTAGGCACACCTGGACTTCATCACCTCTCTGATTACTTCCCCTTTATATAACACTCCATTGTTATCACCCACCAGGCAATATTGTTTATGTTTCCATGTTTAGATGCTTTTATTGTTTTGTATCGTTCAATGTTATTTGTCATTAAACTCACTAACTGCACTTGGTTCCTGACTCCCTGCGTCTACGTTACAAAAACACAGGGGTTGATTGTTGACTTCAGGAAACATAGGAGGGAACATGCCCCGATCCACATCAACGGGACTGCAGTAGAGAGAGTTAGCATTTTTAAGGTCATCAGCGTCCACATCACCGAGGACTTGACATGGACCAACAACACCACCACTCTTGTCAAGTGGCTGCAACAGCACCTGTACTTCCCCGGGTCCTCTCCAAATTCTACCGCTGCACCATTGAGAGCTTCCTGACCGGTTGCATCACGGCCTGGTATGGAATTGATCCATCCAAGACTGCCGGGTGTTGAAGATGGCCCAGTACATCACTGGGACCGTGCTTCCACCCATCCAGGACGTCTACTCGAAACGGTGCCTGAGGAAACCATGCAGCATCATCAAGGACCCCACACAGACCCAGCCATGAGCTGTTCACTCCCTTACCGTCGGGCAGACGGTATCGGAGCATAAGGTCTGATACTAACAGGCTCAGAGACAGTTTCTATCTACAAGCCATCAGACTGCTGAACACTTGAACTGGACTGACCACCTGCACTGACTCTCCACACCTTAGCACATAAAGCACTCACACACACACCCACACAGATATACACTCATCCACACACACACACACACACACACACACACACGCAGATACACACAAATATACTCTCATGCTACACACACATCACAACTGCTGCTACATGACTCTTTTTATGATTGCTAAATACTGCACATTTTAAACACTTTCCCCCAAATCCCCCCTTCCCCGAAACACGTGTAAATATTCAACTATAAATTGTGCCTTCCTGTATTATACTTATGCTAAAATGTTAATTATGTTCTTCTGAGCCATTTACTTTCCGTTCGTATTCTTATCTTTTATTATTTATTATTGTTGTTGCAATGTCGAGAAGGAACCTGCAAGTAAGCATTTCGTTGGACGGTGTATACCATGTGTTTCCCGTACATACGACTAATAAAACTTGAAACGTGTTCCTAGGGGCAATTTCTCGTAGTTGCTGGCATACTAGCAGTATGTGGGCAAAGACAAGAGCTCCATGGCCACTGAGTAATTTGACTCTCTGAAGCACTACGAGAAGAGCTGTGAGAGCGGGGACAGCATTACCAGACTGGCCAACCTGTATGAAACACTGGACCGCTTCCTCAAAGACAAAGTCAGGTACGTGCAAACGAAGTGGTTAGTAAATTGCTGCTGGTCCACCCAGTACAGACCTATTCTTTGTAGCTGTCCCATTATGGTATCTGTGAGTGCATGGGAAGCGCCATTGAGGTCATCTCCATTTTGAAGTAGTTAATTTTCTTCAACTACTTCTAACTACTTCAACTACTTCTACTGCCACCTGGAGTGTGTTATTTGAACAGGTACAAAATCAAGGTTGGCAATTTACTGCCACCTGCAGTTATGTAATGTTTGCTCACAAATATTATTAATTGGCTGATCCCTACTGATGACCTGGATGGAATGTTGTGATCCTTCCTTAACCCATATGAAGTCCCACGCAGTTAACTACTTCAAAAGGGTGAATGTCCTCAATGGCGCTACCTATGCTAAAACCGTCTTCTGGGCACTACAGACTTCTATCATTCTCTATGGTACAGACCGATTGATTTGAATGACGATTTCGTTCATTCTATTTATATGGGTATTACTGCAGACATACTGTATAGGAGATTAGGGGCAATATTACACCACTCAGTCATACAGTGTAATTCATGTTTATATACACTGAGTGTACAAAACATTATGACCACCTGCTCTTTCCATGACATAGACTGACCAGCAATGTTCCCTCTAAACTGTGCGCTTGCGCGCCACGCACCTCCTTCAGGACTGTGGCTCAGAAGAAATGCCAGGCTGAGCAGAGATGCAAGAGATTGAACTTCACTGAGTTCTGCCCATTAGTTTTCAGTATATAGATCAGTGGCGGCTCCTGAAAAAATTCTCAGGGGGGGCAATTTTTCTGATGATTTAGGTGACCTACACACATTTTTAAAAAGATATGTCCAGCAACAACATGAAGACAGGGGCAGCATATAAGTCAATACCAGAAGCATTTATTGACTGATCTCAAAAGTGTTGGCTTACAAAAGCAAAATAAGTTATCACAGTAAAAATAATCAAGGGTGTTCTTTCACATTCCTCAACACTGCATAAACAATATGCATTTCCATAAAACACCTCATCTAATTGTGCCACAAAGTTGACAAGTCCAAGAAAAATACCACGGTTAGTGGAGCCCTCAGTTTCATCTTTGCCTCGCAAAGATAACTCAAACACTCAAAAACTTCACACACTGGATTAGCCGGCTGAGGATGTGGCGGTTCTTGCTAACCTCATCGTTGTGGCGGCGGACAGCTAGCCTGTATCCCTCATCCAGTTGAGTGGCAATGTTCACTCTCCCCAAAGCAGACAATCTCAAACAGCTATCCATGTGGGTCTTTGACAGCTCATGTTTCTTAATCTTTTCTGAAAGATGGTACATGTCCGTTACACCAGTCGCTGTCCAAGCGGTGCTGTCTGCCGTGCCGCCTTCAGGGTGAAAGAGTAAGCAGGGGTAGCAGAAGACTGCATTAGCTACATCGCAGCCTGCTAGCCAGGTTTTTCGTTCGTACCAATTTTTGGAAAATCCTCGGGTGTAGGACTTTCCCCCTTTAGTAGAAACCTGTTGAATTATTAAATTTGGTCTGGGAGGTCCTAATTGTTTCGTTGCCAATTTATCTTGATTTGTTCGCCGACAAAAAGGAACTTCTTTCAAAGAGACAATCGAGTTGCACTGAACGCTAGCCATCTTGACAGTAGTACGTGAATTGATTGACGCTGCTACCCGCTCTTTTCTTAGTTACGTTCATGGTTATGTTACGTATGACGAAAGCGCGTAAGTGCAAGCCCTCCCGGAACCCATAGAGATTGTATTGAAAGCTCTGATATTTGAAAAAAAAAGATTTTACATGAGAGTCTATGAGAGACTTCTGGGGCGATTTTCAACCTGACTGAAATCGCCCCAAAAGGGGCGGGGCCATTTGAAGCACGACTTTAGCCTGATTGGACATTTAGTGGCAGATCAGACGTCTAGATTAGAACACTGATAACTACTGTTGCCGTGATATAATTGATTAGAAAAAAAATCCCTTCCTTTTCCCGTTTGGCAGTGCGTCGCCCATATCGCCCTAATGAACACACCGCCCCTATAGATCAACGTTTTTTCTTTGATCGAATTTACATTATAAAATGGGGGGGTCGAGCCCTGAATGCTGAGCTGATTGGCTGACAGCCGTGGTATACCACAGATATGACAAAACGTTTATTTTTAATGCTCTAAATATGTTGGAAACCAGTTTATAAAAGCAATAAGGCACCTCGGGGGTTTGTGATATATGGCCAACATACCACACCTCCTCGGGCCTTATTGATTAATTATAACAGCCAGTTTTCTATGCAACAAACCAAAACAAATTTAACTTTGCAAGATTGAGTCTGTGATTTTGTTGTAGGCAGAGCCAGAGCACAACGGAGTATATTTCTATCGGCGGGGGTGGCACACGAGCGGTCTTTCAATCATCTGCGAGAGAATGCTCTATTTAAAATCAGCACAGATCAGAGCGCAGACCCGCGCGTGTGCACATTTGTTGATATTCTTTGCTAGTTAGCGAGTTATTATCCCAGTTATAGATAAATTAGGATACGTCAGCAATGGGGAGTTAATGCTTCCTACATTTCAAGGCTACATTTCAAGCTGTCTTTGAAAAGCCAGTCAGGTAGCTTATGTCTTAATAAAAAGGGGCGGTGTTGTATTTTGAGACATGCTTGAATATGTAAAAAAGCCAATATGCAGATTGATAGCCTACATTGTCTAATTCTCTGTATAGTAATAATAATTCATTGTATTTTGTAAAGGGGTTTCTTGCATGATACAACACAATAAAATGCAATTTACAGTCACCTATTTGGCCAATGGTGTTACAGACCAAGTAAAAAATAATTAATGTCAAGCCCTTCATAATGTAAAAACGTTTTTTCAAGTATCATGCAATTTAGGTCTGCATTGAACACCACATATAGGCTAATGTAGGCTGTATCATAAAAATCAAAAGCTATTTCCATGTGAAAATGTTATGGGATTTGTGCCATTGTTTTTGTTGGTAGGCCTACATTATGCTCAAACAGCCACAATAGCCTATAGGCTACTGTCTAAAACTGGTACAGCCTCAGTACTGTAAACGCGTGCTGGAAGTTGAAAAAATTCTCACAACGTTCAAGTTTCCGCTCACAAGACCTAAAATATGCTCAGCGCCCCAAAACATTTGACCAGGTGAATCCAGGTGAAAGCTATGATCCCTTATTGATGTCACTTGTTCAATCCACTTCAATCAGTGTAGATGATCAGGAGGAGACAGGTTACAAAAATGATTTTTAAGCCTTGAGACAATTGAGACATGGATTGTGTATGTGTGCCATTCAGAGAGTGAATGGGCAAGACAAAATATTTAAGTGCCTTTGAATGGGGTATGGTAGTAGGTGCCAGGCGCACCGGTTTGTGTCAAGAACTGCAACACTGCTGTTTTTTTTACGCTCAACAGTTTCCCGTGTGTATCAAGAATGGTTCACCACCACCCAAAGGACATCTAGCCAACTTAACACAACCGTGGGAAGCATTGGAGAACATGGGCCAGCATCCTTGTGGAATGCTTTCGACACCTTGTAGAGTCCATGCCCCAACGAATTGAGGCTATTCTGAGGGCAAAAGGGGGGACTCAATATTAGAAAGGTGTTCTTAATGTTTTGTGTATATTGTCATGCTGTCAAATCAAATCAAATCAAATCAAATTTTATTGGCCACATGCGCCGAATACAACAGGTGCAGACATTACAGTGAAATGCTTACTTACAGCCCTTAACCAACAGTGCATTTATTTTTAACAAAAAAGTTAAAATAAAACCAACAAAAAAAGTGTTGAGAAAAAAAGAGCAGAAGTAAAATAAAATAACAGTAAGGAGGCTATATATACAGGGGGGTACCGGTGCAGAGTCAATGTGCGGGGGGGCACCGGCTAGTTGAGGTAGTTGAAGTAATATGTACATGTGGGCAGAGTTAAAGTGACTATGCATAAATAATTAACAGAGTAGCAGCAGCGTAAAAGGATGGGGTGGGGGGGCAGTGCAAATAGTCCGGGTAGCCATGATTAGCTGTTCAGGAGTCTTATGGCTTGGGGGTAGAAGCTGTTGAGAAGTCTTTTGGACCTAGACTTGGCACTCAGGTACCGCTTGCCGTGCGGTAGCAGAGAGAACAGTCTATGACTAGGGTGGCTGGAGTCTTTGACAATTTTGAGGGCTTTCCTCTGACACCGCCTGGTATAGAGGTCCTGGATGGCAGGAAGCTTGGCCCCAGTGATGTACTGGGCCGTACGCACTACCCTCTGTAGTGCCTTGGGGGGAGGGATGTAAAACGGCAGCCATCTTCTCCGGCGCTGTTCTGTCCAAGTACTACATGATAAATGTCTGTCTGTCTGTCTGTCTGCCCATCCATGTTTCTCCAGGCGGTAGCCCCCTTACAGAGGTCTCTGGAGATCTGGGAGACGGCCCTGGACCCGGACCACCCCAGTGTGGCCCTGTCGCTGCACCAGCTGGCCGGGGTTTATGTCCAGTGGAGGAAGTATGGCAACACAGAGCAGTTCTGCAAGCAGGCCCTGGAGATAAGTGAGAAGGCATATGGCTTGGACCACGTCTGTGTTGCACGGGAACTGGACTCCCTGGCCATTCTCTACCAGAAACAGAACAAGTGTGTGTGTGTGTTTTTGGGGTCGTGTGTGTGTGTGTGTGTGTGTGTGGCAGGGTTTCCGCCAGGAAAATTTGGCGCCAGACAAGTGACCGGAATATTTTGATTTATCTGACATTTGATAGATTTACTGGTCATCCATATGCATTGATTGCATAACCCATTAGGCCGTCCACCCACACAGCCAGTTCCATCAATAAACGAGGGATATTGGCCAAATACGACACATTTATGTGTCCTTAAAAAGCATCTATAACTAATTACAAAAACACTATTCCTTGTGTTTCGATGTGGAGCATATGCACAACTTTATAGCCTTTATTGGTTTTTACTTTCCTAAAACAATAATTTTCCACCTACAGGTTCAGCTGTCAGAGATTTGATCACTAAATGCATCAGGGCATTGCATAGGCCTTTAGGCTTAGGTGTCCACTGTATAATATTAATATTTAAAATATATATATATAAAGGAAGAGAAGCTGGGCCTAGCTCTAGAGAGAGAGAGATGTCTACTGCGTCTGCTATACAGATTGGCTATAGGCGTACAGAAGGATGCTAATTCGTAAATGTTCTAGTAGAATATATTTTTTAAAGATAAGCATTATATTGTTATAGTATAGGAGTAACTCTGGCAGGCCTAAAACATTCTTCCACACCTCTAGTTCAACTGCCGGAGACATTTGTAGCGCCGGTGCGCACTGCCTTTATACCATAGGCCTGCAGTATAATAGGTTAACAGCCACACCACTCCAAACCTTCACAAAAGTTTCTAAACTTTATTCGGGTAATATCAGAAGTAAGTGAAGCCATTCTTTATAGGGAAAATACGAGCAGGATATTATATTTCGGCAAACACAACATTACAGTTGGAACTTCATTTGGCCAAAGGAAATGGCTCAACAGAATGAAAGAAAACACTTGCGAGCTGGCTTAAACCTTCATAAACATTTTTGAACAGGCTTTATTGCAGAAATTACCAAGAAAGGATAATGCCTACCGTACACCCAATACATGACAGCAATAGGGTGATGATATTTATTTTACAACAGGCCTACTTATAACCTATCTTAAACTAAATAAGGCGCACACAATTAAAAAGACAGATTTAACTTAATTTAGCCAAAGAAAATGTCTCAACAGAATGAAACAAAACACGTTTTGCATATTTAAAGAACTGGTTTAGATTAATAAATAGGCCTACAATAACAACAATGATATACAATAATAATAATGATAAAACAAATGTTTATAAATACAATAAATAAATTAAGTTCCAATAAATTAAGTTCCAAAATTCCATCCTACTTTGAATAGCGAGTTGCACAGTAGCCTGCATTTGGCCTTGCGAATATTCTTCTCATCTTTGTCCACTACAATATTAAAACTTGTCCATAGAGAGGACATTCCCCTTGTAGTAGGGCTCCAGACTAACATTTTCCCCTAAGTTTTTCAATTGGTGGCACCAGCCATGATTTGGTCGCCCCAATTTCTTTATTGCGGCATCAAGCAATATAAATAATGAGTAGGCCTATCATCTTATAACGTCATTCACAGTGCTTTATTAAAAGGTGTAATAGACTACTGAGATGGTATTTGTCACGCCCTGACTCTGAGGACTCTTATTTGTTGAGTCAGGGTGTGATTTTCCTTGTTGTGTATGTTCCTATGTGTTATTTTCCAGGTTTGGATCTAGTATGTATAGATATATGTTGGCCTGTGTGGTTCCCAATCAGAGGCAGCTGTTGCTCGTTGTCTCTGGATTGGGGGACCACTTACTTGGCACTAGTGGGTTGTGGGATCTTGTTCCGTGTTGTGTTGTGTTGGGTTTGGCAAATGCGTTGCGTGCGTTTGCGGTTGCATTGCGATGTGATGTCACATGTGGGCAATGGTGGTCATGGGAGGAGATATTCGTGAAAGGGAAAGGGCCATGGGCGAAGGTAAATGCCCAGGCAGGAGAGGAGAACGGCGCCAAACCATGCCGACGACGGACACCCGAGAGGCAATCCCAAAAAAAATTTTGGGGGGGGCACACGGCGTGGACGACGAGGCAGCAGGAGGCAGCGACAGGGCGGATCTGCAGGTTAGGAGAGGAAGCCACCAGGTTACGGGGGCTATTGGTTCAGAAGGAGCAGGAGTTATACAGTCAGAGGGAAGAGCTACAGGAGGCTAAAAGGGAGAAGGAAGGTGTAGAGGCACGGCGAGAGGAGCTGGTTAGGCAGCAGAAGGAGCGGGGGTTTATAAAGGAACCCAGTCCTGCTCCTCGCACCAAGCAAGTGTTGCATGTCGCCAGTCCGGTCCGGCCCGTTCCTGCTCCCCGCACTAAGCCAGTGGTGCGTGTTCCCAGTACGGCCCGACCCGTTCCTGCTCCCCGCACTAAGCCAGTGGTGTGTGTTCCCAGTATGGTCCGGCCCGTTCCTGCTCCTCGCATCAAGCCAGTGGTGCGCGTCGCCAGCCCGGTCCGGCCTGTTCCTGTCCCTCGCACCAAACCAGTGGTGCGCGTCGCCAGCCCGGCCCGGTCTGTTCCTGCCCCTCGCAACAAGTCAGTGGTGTGCGTCGCCAGCCCGGGCCCGGCCTGTTCCTGCCCCTCGCACCAAGCCGGTGGTGCGCTTCGCCAGCCCGGCCCGGCCTGTTCCTGCCCCTCGCACCAAACCAGTGGTGCGTGTCGCCAGCCCGGTCCGGCCTGTTCCTGTCCCTCGCACCAAACCAGTGTTGCGCGTCGCCAGCCCGGCCCGGCCTGGTTCCTGCCCCTCGCAAACAAGTCAGTGGTGTGCGTTCGCCAGCCCGGCCCGGCCTGTTCCTGCTCCTTGCACCAAGCCAGTGGTGCGCGTCGCCAGCCCGGTCCCGGCCCTCTTCCATGCCCCTCGCACCAAACCAGTGGTGCGCGTCGCCAGCCCGGTCCGGCCTGTTCCTGCCCCTCGCACCAAGCCAGTGGTGCGGCGTCGCCAGCCCGGTCCGGCCTGTTCCTGCTCTCGCACCAAGCCCAGTGGTGCGCGTCGCCATCCCGGCCCGGCCTGTTCCTGCCCCTCGCACCAAACCAGTGGGTGCGCGTCGCCAGCCCGGTCCGGCCTGTTCCTGTCCCTCGCACCAAGCCAGTGGTGCGCGTCGCCATCCCGGTCCGGCCTGTTCCTGTCCCTCTCGCACCAAGCCAGTGGTGCGCGTCGCCAGCCCGGTCCGGCCTGGTCCGGTCAGCTGCTCCACTCCGGAGCCAGAGTAGTCCGCTCCACCGGTGCCTGATCCTGCTCCGGTTAGCTGCTCCACTCTGGAGCCAGAGCAATCTGCTCCATCGGGGTCTAGTCCAGCTCCGGTCAGTGGATCCACTCCGGAGCCAGAGCAGTCCGCTCCACCGGTGCCTGATCCAGCTCCGGTCAGCGGCTCCACACCGGAGCCAGAGCAGTCCGCTCCACCGGTGCCTGATCCAGCTCCGGTCAGCGGCTCCACTCCGGAGCCAGAGCAGTTCGCTCCACCGTCGTCGGGTCCAGCTCCAGTCAGCGGTTCCAGTCCAGACCCAGACGTCAGCCCCTCTCCAGGTTCGGGGTCTCCCACACCAGGGTCCAGACATGGCTTGGTACTTCGTGGGAGAAAGGAGAGGGGAAGCAGCGCGCCGAGGTCCAGACCAGACCAGGGGCGCAACAGGGAGGTGGAGAGTAAGTGGTGGTCACGCCCTGAGCCGGATACGCCTCCGAGGCGGAATGCCCACCCGGCCCCTACCCTGTTATGTTTATGTTGTGCGGTAGGAGTCCGCACCTTTGGGGGGGGGGGTACTGTCACGCCCTGACTCTGAGGACTCTTATTTGTTGAGTCAGGGTGTGATTTTCCTTGTTGTGTATGTTCCTATGTGTTATTTTCTAGGTTTGGATCTAGTATGTATAGATCTGTTGGCCTGTGTGGTTCCCAATCAGAGGCAGCTGTTGCTCGTTGTCTCTGATTGGGGACCATACTTAGGTAGCCTATTGGCACTAGTGGGTTGTGGGATCTTGTTCCGTGTTAAGGTATGTTGTGTTGTGCTGCCTTGGACTTCACGTATCGTTTGTGTATTGTTTTGTCGTTGTGTTTCTTCGTAAATAAACATGTATGCATATCACGCTGCGCCTTGGTCCATCCCGTCTATAAACGAACGTGTTACTGCCCCTCGCACCAAGCCGGTGGTGCGCTTCGCCAGCCCGGCCCGGCCTGTTCCTGCCCCTCGCACCAAACCAGTGGTGCGCGTCGCCAGCCCGGTCCGGCCTGTTCCTGTCCCTCGCACCAAACCAGTGGTGCGCGTCGCCAGCCCGGCCCGGCCTGTTCCTGCCCCTCGCAACAAGTCAGTGGTGTGCGTCGCCAGCCCGGCCCGGCCTGTTCCTGCTCCTCGCACCAAGCCAGTGGTGCGCGTCACCAGCCCGGTCCGGCCTGTTCCTGTCCCTCGCACCAAACCAGTGGTGCGCGTCGCCAGCCCGGCCCGGCCTGTTCCTGCCCCTCGCAACAAGTCAGTGGTGTGCGTCGCCAGCCCGGCCCGGCCTGTTCCTGCTCCTCGCACCAAGCCAGTGGTGCGCGTCACCAGCCCGGTCCGGCCTGTTCCATGCCCCTCGCACCAAACCAGTGGTGCGCGTCGCCAGCCCGGTCCGGCCTGTTCCTGTCCCTCGCACCAAGCCAGTGGTGCGCGTCGCCAGCCCGGTCCGGCCTGTTCCTGCTCTCGCACCAAGCCAGTGGTGCGCGTCGCCAGCCCGGCCCGGCCTGTTCCTGCCCCTCGCACCAAACCAGTGGTGCGCGTCGCCAGCCCGGTCCGGCCTGTTCCTGTCCCTCGCACCAAGCCAGTGGTGCGCGTCGCCATCCCGGTCCGGCCTGTTCCTGCCCCTCGCACCAAGCCAGTGGTGCGCGTCGCCAGCCCGGTCCGGCCTGTTCCTGCTCTCGCACCAAGCCAGTGGTGCGCGTCGCCAGCCCGGCCCGGCCTGTTCCTGCCCCTCGCACCAAACCAGTGGTGCGCGTCGCCAGCCCGGTCCGGCCTGTTCCTGTCCCTCGCACCAAGCCAGTGGTGCGCGTCGCCATCCCGGTCCGGCCTGTTCCTGTCCCTCGCACCAAGCCAGTGGTGCGCGTCGCCAGCCCGGTCCGGCCTGTTCCTGCTCCTCGAACCAAGCCAGTGGTGCGTGTGTCCAGTCCGGCACGGCCCGTGCCTGTCCCACCGGTGCCTGGTCCGGTCAGCTGCTCCACTCCGGAGCCAGAGTAGTCCGCTCCACCGGTGCCTGATCCTGCTCCGGTTAGCTGCTCCACTCTGGAGCCAGAGCAATCTGCTCCATCGGGGTCTAGTCCAGCTCCGGTCAGTGGATCCACTCCGGAGCCAGAGCAGTCCGCTCCACCGGTGCCTGATCCAGCTCCGGTCAGCGGCTCCACACCGGAGCCAGAGCAGTCCGCTCCACCGGTGCCTGATCCAGCTCCGGTCAGCGGCTCCACTCCGGAGCCAGAGCAGTTCGCTCCACCGTCGTCAGGTCCAGCTCCAGTCAGCGGTTCCAGTCCAGACCCAGACGTCAGCCCCTCTCCAGGTTCGGGGTCTCCCACACCAGGGTCCAGACATGGCTTGGTACTTCGTGGGAGGAAGGAGAGGGGAAGCAGCGCGCCGAGGTCCAGACCAGACCAGGGGCCAACAGGGAGGTGGAGAGTAAGTGGTGGTCACGCCCTGAGCCGGATCCGCCTCCGAGGCGGAATGCCCACCCGGCCCCTACCCTGTTATGTTTATGTTGTGCGGTCGGAGTCCGCACCTTTGGGGGGGGGGTACTGTCACGCCCTGACTCTGAGGACTCTTATTTGTTGAGTCAGGGTGTGATTTTCCTTGTTGTGTATGTTCCTATGTGTTATTTTCTAGGTTTGGATCTAGTATGTATAGATCTGTTGGCCTGTGTGGTTCCCAATCAGAGGCAGCTGTTGCTCGTTGTCTCTGATTGGGGACCATACTTAGGTAGCCTATTGGCACTAGTGGGTTGTGGGATCTTGTTCCGTGTTAAGGTATGTTGTGTTGTGCTGCCTTGGACTTCACGTATCGTTTGTTTATTGTTTTGTCGTTGTGTTTCTTCGTAAATAAACATGTATGCAAATCACGCTGCGCCTTGGTCCATCCCGTCTATAAACGAACGTGTTCCTGCCCCTCGCACCAAGCCGGTGGTGCGCTTCGCCAGCCCGGCCCGGCCTGTTCCTGCCCCTCGCACCAAACCAGTGGTGCGCGTCGCCAGCCCGATCCGGCCTGTTCCTGCCCCTCGCACCAAGCCAGTGGTGCGCGTCGCCAGCCCGGTCCGGCCTGTTCCTGCTCTCGCACCAAGCCAGTGGTGCGCGTCGCCAGCCCGGCCCGGCCTGTTCCTGCCCCTCGCACCAAACCAGTGGTGCGCGTCGCCAGCCCGGTCCGGCCTGTTCCTGTCCCTCGCACCAAGCCAGTGGTGCGCGTCGCCATCCCGGTCCGGCCTGTTCCTGTCCCTCGCACCAAGCCAATGGTGCGCGTCGCCAGCCCGGTCCGGCCTGTTCCTGCTCCTCGAACCAAGCCAGTGGTGCGTGTGTCCAGTCCGGCACGGCCCGTGCCTGTCCCACCGGTGCCTGGTCCGGTCAGCTGCTCCACTCCGGAGCCAGAGTAGTCCGCTCCACCGGTGCCTGATCCTGCTCCGGTTAGCTGCTCCACTCTGGAGCCAGAGCAATCTGCTCCATCGGGGTCTAGTCCAGCTCCGGTCAGTGGATCCACTCCGGAGCCAGAGCAGTCCGCTCCACCGGTGCCTGATCCAGCTCCGGTCAGCGGCTCCACACCGGAGCCAGAGCAGTCCGCTCCACCGGTGCCTGATCCAGCTCCGGTCAGCGGCTCCACTCCGGAGCCAGAGCAGTTCGCTCCACCGTCGTCAGGTCCAGCTCCAGTCAGCGGTTCCAGTCCAGACCCAGACGTCAGCCCCTCTCCAGGTTCGGGGTCTCCCACACCAGGGTCCAGACATGGCTTGGTACTTCGTGGGAGGAAGGAGAGGGGAAGCAGCGCGCCGAGGTCCAGACCAGACCAGGGGCGCAACAGGGAGGTGGAGAGTAAGTGGTGGTCACGCCCTGAGCCGGATCCGCCTCCGAGGCGGAATGCCCACCCGGCCCCTACCCTGTTATGTTTATGTTGTGCGGTCGGAGTCCGCACCTTTGGGGGGGGGGTACTGTCACGCCCTGACTCTGAGGATTCTTATTTGTTGAGTCAGGGTGTGATTTTCCTTGTTGTGTATGTTCCTATGTGTTATTTTCTAGGTTTGGATCTAGTATGTATAGATCTGTTGGCCTGTGTGGTTCCCAATCAGAGGCAGCTGTTGCTCGTTGTCTCTGATTGGGGACCATACTTAGGTAGCCTATTGGCACTAGTGGGTTGTGGGATCTTGTTCCGTGTTAAGGTATGTTGTGTTGTGCTGCCTTGGACTTCACGTATCGTTTGTTTATTGTTTTGTCGTTGTGTTTCTTCGTAAATAAACATGTATGCATATCACGCTGCGCCTTGGTCCATCCCGTCTATAAACGAACGTGACAGTATTGAAGAAATACGTTATTTCAACATCTTTTCATGTTGTGATTTAAAATATGCTTATGTGCAAAATGTGCACCGTAATCCAGTGATTGTCATGCACTTTGGGTAGACAATTATGCTATTGTTATATTTTACTGTTAAACTAGGGCTCCTGAATTTTCAGATTTTTGTTGTTCAATAGAGATGAATTTGCCTACATCTTTATGTGCACTAATATCATAGGCACATTTATTTGGGGCTAATTCACCACATGAGGAAGTGAAAACTCAAAACACATTAGCTAGATCACTAACTCTAAAGATAATACCCATTCATAGTAGCCATGTATTAATCTAATAGTACATTTAATGTCTTCTTTTTTTTGCAGTAGCCTAGCACCCAATTAGACCTATGCACTCAAAGCCATAGCAAATATCTTATTTGTAAAATAGTTGCTTTTGAGCTCAAAATAGGGGTTGAACAATTAAAAATATATCTACAGAAATCTGAGAACATCCTCTCTCCATGTATCTAACAGGATAGCTGTGTTTTCCCAGCAATTGGATTTTCAAATGTTATACAATCAGAACACTTTTCTTTCTCCAGGAGCATTTTTTTCCCCCCGGGAAAGGAGAGAGAGAGAGAGAGAGAGAGAGAGAGAGAGATAGAGGCTTGTTTGACACAGCAGCAGGCCCCAGTGAAACAAGTACAGGGGCTGGCAGGCAGACACTTTAATTACAGGAATCATGAGGATAATGTACTTTACTGTTTGACCAAATCATGGTCTTAGCCTCCTTGAAAATAGGATGTTTTGAGTGAGGTTAATGAATGTGCAGCACCGAGGCGACCAATACATTTTTTTACTCGCACAGCCAAGTCACTTATAGACATACTCTCTAACTTACGTTTTACTTAAATTAAAAAGTCCCCCATGTTCCCAATCAACAGTAGCCTAGGCCAAGGCTCCTCTCTCGCTTTCTATCCTCTCCTAAGCAGCAGGGCAGCCCCGGACAATTTGACCAACTACAATTTTATTTATCGGCTTTTCATTTATTTTATCGGCCAAAATCCGGCAATTACTGGCTAATAGAAACACTGGTGTGTGGGTGGATGGGTCAATGGGTTTCAAGTCAAGTTGTCATCTCTGCATGCTGTATTATAAGACATAATGCTTTGTGATTGACGAGTCATCTGTTAACAGGTATGAGCAAGCCAAAAAACGGAGGAAGAGGTCTGTGAGGATTTGCCAGAAGACTGCCCACCAGAAAGGCCATATGGTGAGGACACATGAGAGCACTGTGCCGCTCTCTTTCTGCAGTAAGGCTGTGGTGTGTGTGTGTGGGTGGGTGGGTAATGTGTATGGGAAATTCCACAATAACCGAGTGATGCTGAGACTCAGACTTTTCACTTAAAATGTAGTGGAAATTGTTAAAAGTAGTCCTTGTGCATAGAGTTGTATTGTTTGTTTGACTTTGCAATTATTGGTTTTTGTTTGACATACATTATTAAGTGAAAATCTGAGTCTCAGCATCTCTCTGTCACCGTGGAATTGCCGTATACATTAATAGTGAATTGACTGTGTCTATCTCTGCAGTATGGCTTCAGTCTGTGTGTGCGTGTGTGCGTGTGTGCATGTGTGAGTGGGTTGTGTAATGTGTATGTTTTAACAATGAATTGACTGTGTGTGTCTCTTTTTCTGTGCAGTATGGCTTCACTCTGCTGCCTCGGCGAGCCCTCCACCCAGAGCAGCTGACTCTGGGTAAAGACACAGCAGACTGTAGCCTTCAACGAGTCCTCCACTACCTCCAGAACAACCTGGAGTGAGTCAGAAACACACACACACGTACCACTGTACATCCACAACAGTATGTGATTGTTATGATGTTAGATCAGAGAATTTGGTGACAACTTTCTTCAACCCTCAAAATTACATCTGGGTCGTATTCGATAGGTACCAAGCGGAAGAAAATGGACTGAAACAGGGAGGAACTACCTAAACTCGTCCAATAAGAAACAGTTGTTTTGCTACGTATTTCTATGGTGTGCACTAATCAATACAACCCTGTTGTTACATTTCCCACTGGGCACAGACGTCAATTCACCGTCTATTCCACGTTGTTTCAACATCATTTCATTGAAATTACTTGGAAACAAGGTTGATTCAACCAGTGTGTGCCCAGTGGGTTTATTGTCACATCCCAACTAGCACATTTGGTTCCTTGGAAGTTGTGGGAACGTGCATTTTTGGTTTCCCATTGGTTCTGGGAACGAAGACATACGTTTCCTGACCGGTAAAACTGTACGTTTTTTAAATGTTCTGAGAACAGTAGTGAAAATTACACCTGCTCTGGGAAAGAAAATTATTTGGTTGCAGGGAGGTTCTGAGAACGTTTTACTATGGTTCCCTGAAAGTTTTCCTAGGAGGTTTTATTAACCTTCTGAGAATGGAAATAATAGGTTATTTGAATAGGTAATTAAATAATGTTCTGAGAACATGTTTCAATAAGACTTTAATTTAGATTGGGTTAACTGTTTTGAACTTCAAGCACAGACAGGACACATGGGCAAGCAGCCCAATTCAGATATTTTTTTCACTAATTGGTCTTTTGACCAATCAGATCAGCTCTGAAAAAGATCTGAGGTGAAAAGATCTGATGTGATTGGTCAAAAGACCAAGTAGTGAAAAAAAGATCCGAATTGGGCTGCCTGTGTAACATGGAAATTCATTTGCTGAGGCATTAATCATGCAAACACATTTCTTTTTTATTGTGTCATGGCATCAGTGAGATTCAAACCTATGATCTTATATTCTCTATCCATGGAGTTAGTCCACTGCGCCACCAGGATGGAGCTAGCATGCCATGTTTCTTTTACATATACAAAGGTGCTCATTTTAGTCTATTCAAACAGACCCCATTTCAAAGGAAACAATCACTCATTAAGATTAAGACTTATCAAGAAATAGGATAGAGAGTTTTGTTGACGCTGAGAATGGAATGTATATGTTTTTAAATAACATACTTTGGATGTTATTTGAACATTAATAATGTTTTCTTGTGGTTTTTATGGAAACTTTTCTTAATGTTCTGAGAACATTATTTAAATACAACCATGAGGAAATCTGCAGAAAACGTTATGCTGAAGTACTGAAATTCCCACAGAAGTTTTCTTAATGTTCTCAGAACAATTTGAGAACATGACTTTAAATAGAACCATGAGGAAACCTGTAGGAAATGTTATGCTGAAATTCCCACTTAAGAAACATATGTTGTCTCCAATGCTTCCCACAGTTGTGTCAAGTTGGCTGGATGTGCTTTGGGTGGTCGACCATTTTTGATACACACAGGAAACTGTTGAGCGTGAAAAACCCAGCAGCGTTGCAGATCTTGACACAAACCGGTGCGCCTTGCACCTACTACCATACCCCGTTCAAAGGCACTTAAATATTTTGTCTTGCCCATTCACCCTCTGAATGGCACACATACACAATCATTGTGTAAGACAATGTAAAGGAAAAAAGGGAATACCATAAACTACAATCAACTGCATCCTGTATTCTGGCTAATAAATACTTTATTGAAACAAAGTGTGTACAGAGAGTCAGTCGGTACAGTTTCAGCAGAGAAAGTTTCAGTTACAGGTATATCAGTTTAAACAGCTGAGAGTATGACATGGAGTAGCACTGGTCCATAGCGCCACAACGAGTTGCAGAGGCCACTTGTTGTCATCGCAGTACAGACCAGAGCAGATACATTTAAGGCAGGTTTGTCATGCAGAGAAATGATGGGCCTCATTCACCATCATTCAAAATGTTTTAGAAGGATGAAATGCATTAACAATTTAATTAATTAATTAGCATTCTATACGGTAGGAATAGTTGGTCCGAGGCTGCATCCATAACTGCAATGATTGATTACTTATTCAATTGCGAGTGTTACAACAGTATTTCCTCGTGGTCAACATGTGACACAAGCATAATGAATTATATAGCTAACATCTGTATGTACCTGGTACATTACATCATGCAAAAGTTAATTTAATATAATTACATACAAATTAGAGGCAGCATAAGGTATTTCAGCCTCCAGTTTGTGCTCTCCGATGCTGAAATTCAAATTGAATTACAACAGCTATATGTTTCCATATTGAACAGGCTTTACACTAGTAAATTCCTACCCTTGGGGAATATGAAGATCATCATCAAAAGCAGCACTTGAGCTCATTAACCATGCATTGCATTCCCTTTAATGTCGACGGAGCAGAAGTACATGTATTAGGTAGTATTGATACTGTAGTACGTATAGTGGGTATGAAAAATCGTGCTTTATTTAAGAATAAAGATACAGTATGCCCCCTGCAATGGAGCTTTGCATGGTGTCAATGCTTCGTTATTGAAGGTGGTAGGTTCTTTGCGATGTTGCTGAGATAAGCGATGCATGACGATGATGATGGTTGTCTGATAGTAGAGGTGTCTTCCTGGTCCCGGTTACATCTTTCTCATCTGGGCCATCAGCTCTTCTAGACTCTGTTCGGTTTCCTCCACCGTCTCCCCTCCTGATGCCCCGGTCTCCTGGAAAAGAGGACAGAAGTCATTATTAGTCAAAACTTGATTGAGATGCCTCCTTGAGGTGTACCGGTTACTTTCACCGGCCCAGAAATAGAGACTGGTGACTTGGCTTGTCTGTACCATACAGAGTACCTTATTTACCGGAACAAACTTTGCCTATGTAGGCATCACAGGAGCCTGCTGATGGGAGAACGGCTCATAATAATGTCTGGAACGGAGTAAATGGAATGGCATCAAACACATGGAAACCATGCGTTTGATGTATTTGATACAATTCCACTTATTCCACTCCAACCATTACTACGATCCCGTTCTCCCCAATTAAGGTGCCACCAGCCTCCTGTGATAGGCGTTATGACCCCCTTCCCCCCTTATTGAAGCAGTGGTTAGGAGGTCTGCATAGTGGCTGGGAGACCTGGGTTCGAGATCCTCAAGGGGCGATGCATTGTTGCGGTAATTTTAAAAAAAAGAACATAGTCGTATTCTTATGAGGACTGTATGGTACTGACCTTCTCAGGGATGGTGTAGGCCACAGTGATGCCTTCTGGGAGGTCAGGGACGGGGCCTGAGGCCGCATGAAGTTCCTCTTCCGTCTGCTCCGACACCAGCTCAATACCTGACAGAGCAACATAGGTCAGTAATGGTACCTAGACAGCATCACTTACTATGGACAATACATTGAGGCAATATCAACGCTCTAGTTAACTCACCCCAGTCGTTCTCCTCGTGAACCACTTCCTCCTCCACCACCTCCTCTACAACCTTTTTGGGTCGCTCTGCCTCTTTTTTCTGTGGGCCACAAAGCACACACACACACACCACTGAATTACAACTGTACCCGGTCATGTACACACCCCAGGTCATGATGGGTGAAGTAGAGCGACAGAGAAAGAAAAAGGAGGAAAGGGTCTCCTTGGTCAGTCACCTTATAGTCATCCTGCTGTTTCCTGCAGTGGCGGTCATCGCATGTGGGGTTGGCCTTCATGGCCATAGTGGGGAAGAAGTCCTGCATGGCGTTGTAGCCCAGGTAATGGCTGACTGTGCCAAACTTCAACAGGTACCTGAGGACCATGAACCACTGTTAGGATATCTTCATAGGAAACCCTGTTATGGGTATTTGTGATGGGCTATGATCAGGGTCGTAGTCATTAGGGCACACCGTAGCAAAATGCTTCTCAACAGAAAACAGTGTTGCTTATTGGACAAGTTCAGATAGTGCCTCTGTTTCAGTCTGTTTTCTTCCGTGTGGTGCCTAATGAATATGACCCAGGTCTCATTTACAAACTAATGTAATCCAGATCTTACTTGAGGACGTTTTGGACCAGGATCCCTGCCACCACACCCATGGTGGTGGGTAGGCTGGCAGCACACACCCCCTCCCTCTTCAGGGTCTTCTCATCAATGTTGGCCGCCACCACCAGGGGAGGAGCACACTGTCACAGGGACAATCAAAGCTTGTGTTAGGAATGAGTTAACAGCCATCCATTTATATTAAAGGGACACTCCGGTACTTTTGTATACTTTCAGTAGTTCTGAAAGTAGTGCCCACGAAAATGGAGTACTATATCACATATGTGCAGATATGTGTACCACGTCATTGCACTCTCTCTTTCGCTCTGCAGTGTGTGATACTTGCTAGCTGTCACTCAAGTCACCAAAGTACCAGAACATGTCTTTAAGTTGAAAAAATTATATTGCAAATGGTACCCTATTTCCTATATAGTGCACTACTTTTAACCAGAGCAATATTGGCCCTGGTCAAAATGATTTTTTAGCCCTGGACAAAATAGGGAATAGGGTGGCATTTGGGACACATCCTAAGTGTGTGTTGTGACGTACTGCGAAGCAGGCCGTCTCCCCCGGGATGATGAGCTGGATGTGTCCAGACACAGCGTTCTCACTCACACCTGACTCCATCCAGATCTGACCCAGCTCGTTACACGCCTAGGCAGCAAGAAGATGACCAACATACATAATCTGATCTTCACCAACACAATAATGTATGTTTTATTGTCAGGGAATGAGGGATATATATTAGTACTGACTGTGTTGATGGCCATCCGGGCCTCAAAGTTGTCTACACAACTCAGTATCAGGTCTACGGCCTTTCCTTCTTGAAGCGACCCATAACTGAGACAACACAGAGTACTTATAAACAGAATGACCATGTAGCGAACATGTGGACATTTCAGAAGTTATTTGTGTTATGATAGATCATGAAAGTTTAACCAAAAGAATCCCCCTTTTCTAGATTATTGTTGTGATGTGTTTTCACTTCAGAGTTGTCCTCATCATGGAAAGTAACGCATCCAATGTCATACTGTAATGCAATGACGTTTTCGAATCAACTTGAAAGTCAGAGAATGGAGAGGCAACACTGTCATGCTGTATGGAACAGCAGTGGAGCAATTCAATACTGAAAATGCTCTGTAGAAATGACCACACAAGCAGTATTATACGTCACTTATGAGATAGGCGACGACAAGTTCTCACCTTATGCGATCCATGAAATGTGCAAAATTTTCCATGGTGGTGATGTTGTAGTTGTGGGTCTCAAACTGCACATCTGGGTTAATATTCCTGTTGACAGAATTAAAACATATGTAAGCACCTTATAGTGACATGACATAATATGACAGACCAGTGGTTTAGCAGGACACAATGTTGTGGAATGTTCAGATAGAAATATATGACGTAGAACTGTTAAATTCCACACAGTTTGTGCGTGCGTTCCTGTGTGTGTCGGGGGGGGGGTTGTGTGTTTTTACAGATCATAGTGTGTGAGGATGTGCCCAGACAGACAACCCCATCAGGACTGCTGCTGTTCCTCATTCAGACTGACTCTAATTGTGTTTACTCTGCCTGGACATGGACTTCGCCAAATCATACCAGAATCTCTGTTTGGGTTCATTGTGAGTGAATTTCTGACTTCAGATTGTTCTCACGTATTATTGTTAACAAAGGAAAACTTGTGTGGATGAAACTCCACTGGTCGAGAGTAGGGCTGTGGCAGTCATGAAATGTTGTCAGTCGGTGATTGTCAAGCAAATAACTGCTGGTCTCTTAACATAAACACGTTTAGCATCTCCTGGCTTCCACGCGTAGCCTACAAGCCACTGATGCAGACCTTTGGAACATCTACATTTTAAAAAGTCGAATAAATCCACGTAATATAGCCTACACGTTCATAATAAATCCATGATTTATTTTAGACAGGTCTAAAGAAACATTATATGAAGAAAATGTAGTCTATTTCAGAAGAACAGAATAGCATACTCTGAGTTGTCCTTATGTTAGGTCCTGATCTGGCTATGCCAAATGGCTGTGTGCTACACTAGTTCATTTAGCAGACAAGATTTGCTCAGCATTCCATGGCATTATTTTATAGTATGAAGAATACAATTGAACAAATCTGATTAAAATGGAAAGGATATTTTCTTCAAACGATTTGAGGGAGTGCGCACATACGGCTATTCTGTGTGGATGGTTAAAGAAACAGATATTCCTATATGCTTAATTTAGAGTTATTTATGTAACTTTAGTTGTGATACAAAGGCTGGGCTATATGTTTTGATTTTTAATACATTGTAAGGCTGCATGATGCGACTAATGATGATTTGAAAAAAGTTGCTTGAAAGGCAGGAGCTCTGCTTTGTTTTTTGCGCAGGCTGTACACACTTCATCAGTCACGCATTCACAATTTGACAAGCACTTGATAATGCCTCAAATTTCACGGCGGCATCCCCTTTGTGTGGCCGTAATGCACCCTAACAAAATCCATGCCTTTTGCGGCCAGTGGACGTTGTTCCTTTCTCCCTAAGTGCTGAGCGCTCCGAATCACATGGCCCTCTATCACGTGATCAGGTCTTTCTCACAGGCTACAAGTGAAGACAGACACATTGGGGATGCAACTGCGCACGTCCTTATCCAATTTCTGAGGTGCATATTGAAGGTATTGGAAGAACTGTCCACATTTACTTTTCGCCGGCCAACAAGATGAGTAGCCTAACGAACAGCAAAAGCACTAGCCAATGTCAATCTACTATCCCACGTAGTACAAAAGTCGACCCATTCTATTCTGTGCGAGAAATAAATATTCCAAACATAGTCTGGGACAGTTGTGGGATGCGATAGATCCCAAATTAATAAAACCACTATCATCAAAAAAACATTTTTATGCAATGTGGCTGACGCAACAGATCAGAACGTTTAGCTTAAAATGTTGATAAACTATTAGGCTATTTCTTCACATTATAATCGCAGCAATGTGCACATGGCAGTAGGCTATAAGCACAAATGTTCCATTAGTGGGAAAACACCATTATCAAAAGTGACCGCAAATGCAATTATGCATGCAATGCTTTTATTATAAAGGTGCATTTTTATGGTGAAAATTATCTTCCCCAAACTTGAAACTCAGGCGCTGCTTATGTATGCCAGTTAGGATCTACACCCCTTGTAAAGCAGATTAATGAGCTTAATTTTAAGTTATTTGGCCACTTTAGTTGTGATACAAACCTTATCAAAACATATAGGCCTATGGGCTAGGCTACATGAGGTGTGTGACTATGATTCTAAAAAGTCACACAAAAAAAGGAATTGTTTCTTATGCTGGGCATCATTCACAAGTGATAATATATAATTCACAAGTGATAGGCTAATATTGTCACCCATCAGACTATTCTTGATTTAATCTTGTCTTTATATATACTAAATAATGTGTGACATTTCTTTTGATTTAGAATGGATTTGCATTGATGTCAAGAGTGATTAGAGGGACAATAGAGTGCTGAGTACCAGACAGTTAGCAAGTTTGGTAGGCTACTAATGACCAGCAGCAGCATCAGAGCTTGGAGAAGCCTAATTACAGTGACTAAACGCTCAAGTGGAATTTGGCTGCCTTCGTGACTCGTGACCGCCGGTGTGGCGGTAACACGGTCATCACAACAGCCCTACATAGGACCAACATCTCTGACATGTAGAATGGGGAATCATGTCGGGTCTATTCATGACATTTTTATCTGCAACGTTCCACGTTTGCCTACTGAACGTGGCCCCTCAGGTCACTGTACCTGAGTGTATGTTCAGCTGCCTCTACTTTGCTGAGGCCAGCCTGGTGAGGCTGGAAGAACAGCCTGTTCATATTGGCCAGCTCCACTTTGTCATAGTCAAACAGGATGAGCTGTACAAAGAGAAGACACAACAAGGCAGAATGATGCAATGTATGTTGAATTGATGGACATTGTCCATCGGAAACATAAGGTTGAAACAAATGATATAAAGATATGTTGATGTAGTAATGTTAACTTTGTATTACCTTACCAATGCCACATCTTGTGAGCATTTCTGCAGTCACACTTCCAACTCCTCCAACACCCACCACAGCTACAGTGAACGTCCGGATTTTCTGTTTAACAGTAGAATAGAAATGAATGCCATTTTATTGTCATATTAGATCTATGTAGGATTTAAAATAACGTAAATTCAGGAATCCCCCAACAGGGATTTCTAGAAAACCTCGAAACTTTGGGGAAATTGTGCAACCATAGATGTGTATCAGATAACAATATTACATACAATTGTATCTTACCTCGTAATCTTCAACAATGCCCATTCGCTTCAAAGCCATCAGACGACTGCAAGGTAAGAACATGTTGAGGTAAGCAGTTTACACCATATGCCGGTATGTGGTCCTTATTTCTGGGGTGTCTCTTCTTATGCATTCACGATCACGAATGACTCAATTCGCGGCAGTTAGATTTTGACAGCTACCATACCTGTAAGGGTTTGAATCCACTACTTCTGCACTCATTTTGTCGATCCTTGGTCTGTGATGAGGTTGGTTGTTGTCGGCAGGTTCCTCGGCACACATCGCCGTACATCGCTTTTGCTTACACTTGATCAACTCATTCTCCAGCTCCCTCACTCGCAGCTTCAGTTCTTCGACTGAGGTCATGTTTCTATAAGGAATAAGGCACACTACTCCGTTGTTCAAATGTAAAATGCCTAGATTTCCAAACCTTGACAATTACCTAAAGATTACAAGCGATGGATGATGGGCTAGTACACGTCTACACAGTTCGAATCAGCTGGCAATCAGTGTTTCTGTAAATACAATCCGGGCGGAAACAAGCGGCGGCGAGTAAAAAGCGTCCTATAAATACATGATCTCTACTGCATCTGAAAATTCTACCATCGCTCAGTACGTGCCATCAGCAAATATGTGCTTTCACCGATCTGTGAAATGAGCTCAGTCACTCTTTGCAGCGACGTTTTACAGAAAAAGTCTGCATGCGCAAGGTTTGATCTGTAAAACACGGATGCTCACCTCTGTCGACTAAAACGAAACAATTCGACTATCCATATTGTACGAGATTTGTTAATTCATTCAACTTTATTACTTTGACCTTTGCTTTTACAAATAATTAATCCAGACTGAAATATGGAAGACCAAACAACAACTCCTGTTCGGGAGCAGCACAGGTTCAACACTGTCAATCTTCAGCGATATCTGGCTGGAAAGGCACGAGGGGTGTCCAACAATGACAGGTTCACTGTCAGACAATACAGGTATGCTCACCTTTTATCTAAAGCGTTCCAGTTCCATATAAATGTGCATGCTTCATAAAATGTAGTGAGACACTGTCCATGCCTTCCGTGTCTGCTCATTTCAGTGCTGGACAGTCCAACCCCACCTTCCTTATCCAGACACCTTCTGACAGCTATGTGCTGAGAAAGAAACCGCCTGGAATGCTTCTGCCAGGGGCTCACAAGGTAGTTATGCTGCAAAACCTTCTCGATAGTTTGCAAATGAGCAAGAACACTAGTAAAATGCACTGTGCTCTTTGACACAGTTGTAGTTGTTTAGCTGTATTATTTTTCTCCAGTAGAGGGAGACAAAGTTTCAAGTTACAAGTACAGTGAAATGCCTTGTAAGCTCTAAACCCAACAATGCAGTGATCAATATCAATGTAGTACTAAAAAATAACATAAGGTAGAACAAAAACACAAGATAAATACAAATAAGAAGAACACGAGAAAGTAAGAAGCTATATACAGGGACAGTTTAAAACCATATTTCCAATGTGCAGGGATAGGCTACTTGAGTGGTAGAGGTAGATATGTATAGGTTAAGGTGACTAGGCATCAGGATAAATATATGTGTGTTGGAGTGTTAGTGTGCGTATATGTATAGTCCTGTGAGTGTGCATGGAGACAGTGCAAAAATAAATACATAAATACAAGTGTCAACTCAGATAGTCCATGTAGCAATTTTGCTAGCTATTTAGCAGTCTTATGATTTGGGGATAGAAGCTGTTCAGGAGCCTGTTGGTGTCAGACTTGATGCACGGATACCGCTTGCCGTGCGGAAGCAGAGAGAACAGTCTATAGCTTGGGTGCCTGGAGTGTTTAATGGTTTTGTCAATGCTTGGGATAGACTAGAGAATGTAATAATAATAACCCAACAAAATGCTTTTGATTTGATACATTTTGTCATGTATGCATGACTTTTATTTCTTTGGAAGGGTAGACATTCGTGACGGCCCGTCCCAACCGAGGCTTATGTCGAAAAATCCAAAATGTTTTTTATTTATTTTTATTACCAACATTTCGATTCAGAGCTCCAAAATGGCATGTCATACACTATATGCATGTGAAAGTTATGCTGCTTTAAAAGTTGATACATTTGTTATCCCACTTAGGGAGACAAGTTAGAGAAAATGCCCTTGAAAGATTGTGTTGTGCTAGAGAGCTCTTCTTTGTTTACGCCCCCATTCAGCATCATATATAAATGCATGGCCAACCATCAGCATGGTCAACCACTCCATTATCTCAGCCAATTATGGCTAGCCAGGAAGGATCCTGTCTTTCCCCCTATATTTTTAATTTTTTTATTTAACCTTTATTTAACCAGGTAAGCCAGTTGAGAACAAGTTCTCATTTACAACTATATAGCTCAGTGCTTTCTCCTTGGCTAAACTAGGCTAATAATTTAACATTTGTATGCATATTTACAGATCCCATACATGTTTGTAATTAAGGCACATGAAAATTCACATGTTCAAGAAGGCATTTCTGCAAAATGGCCCTACTGTGAAGTAGGAACTAGCATCATCCGCCCCCGTTGAGCTGACGTGTCACATGTCTGTTTTCTGTGTGTGAGGTGGACAGAGAGTATCGGGTGCAGAAGGCCCTGTTCTCTGCTGGGTTCCCAGTACCCCGGCCACTACTACACTGCACTGACACAGGGCTGATCGGAACTGAGTTCTACCTGATGGAGCATGTACAGGTAGGTCAATGCTGCGCAGTGCACAAACTCACACCATCTGTGTGAGCCTTTATATGCACTTTTGAGCTCTAGTATGAATTACACACAAACTTTCACTCTGTTATGTCTGGCTGATGAGTATTATGTTTGTGTACTCCTGAGCCGTTTGGTCAGATGTCATTGCATTCCCCTTTCTGTGTGGTGTAGGGGCGTATATTCCGGGACTTGAGGCTCCCAGGGGTGAGTGCAGCGGAGAGGGCAGCACTGTATGTGTCTGCAGTGGAGGTTCTGGCCCGTCTTCACTCCTTGGACCTAACCACCATGGACCTAGAGGGGTACGGGAGAGGGCCTGGATACTGCAAGAGACAGGTAAAAGATAGATATCCTCCACTTATTCCCATTCCATGTTATTCCTTTCCCTTTCCAATCCCATTTGCATCCCACTTTGGTCTTGAAATATAATTTTCACTTTGACCGTTTATTAATCAAAAGGTGTCTACCTGGACAAAGCAATACAGAGCAGCTGCCCACAAAGAAATCCCAGTTATGGATAAGCTCTCTGATTGGCTGTTGAGCAACCTGCCGACCAATGACAATGAAGTGGCCCTTGTCCATGGGGACTTTCGAGTGGACAACCTGATATTCCATCCTACTGAGGTAGAAGCATGACATGACATGAACCTTACATTAAACAGTAATAATACTGTAATAAATAATTGCATTTTATAGCACCTTTCTAAAGGTGTTTTTCATTGTATATGAGACTAATGTGGTAGAGGAAATGAATGACTGAAGTGTGCATATCTAATAGACAAATGTAATCTTTCTCTCTAGGCTCGTGTGGTGGCTGTGTTGGACTGGGAGCTCTCCACCACGGGCCAGCCAATGGCAGACCTGGCCTACTTCCTGATGCCCAACTATTGGCCCAGCAGCATGAGCCTCCTCAGCAACATGGGCAGCCTGAGGGGTGTGGAGGGTATGACCTCTGAACTCTTATATCTGACACTGTTAAAGATGCGGCAGGCAGAACTAACACAGATCTAGGATCTGCTTACAAGCTCTAAACCCTAACTTAAACCATTAAGCAAGAACTCTGGAAACAGACCTTAGATTCGTTTCTAGGGGCAATGTAGTCCTACTCTGTTCTCTACAGCTTGGATTTTATGTGGCCTAATTTGATTTTCATCTGTCAGAAAATGATTCTGCTTGGTGTAATGCTATTGAGTAACTCTCTCTTTTTCTCTGTCTATTTATTTCTAAATGGCCAGGTATACCTTCTCCTGAGGACCTGATCTCCATCTACTGCCGCTGCCGGGAGATCCCATCTTCTCTGCCTCAGCTCAATTTCTACCTGGCCCTCTCTGTCTTTAAGATGGCAGGGATCGCTCAGGTTAGTCTCTCTCTCTCTCTCTCTGTGTCTCTCTCTCTCTCTCTCTCTCTCTCTCTCTCTCTCTCTGTCTCACACACACACACACAAACACAAACAATACGATAAGATAAGATCAGTGGTGGAAAAGGTACCCAATTGTTATACTTGAGTAAAAGTAAAGATACCTTAATAGAAAATGACTCAAGTGAAAGTCAGCCAGTAAAATACTACTTGAGTAAAATTCTGTAAGTATTTGGTTTTAAACATACTTAGGTATCAAATGTAATTGCTAAAATGTACTTAAGTATCAAAAGTAAAAGTATAAATCATTTCAAATTCCTTATATTAAGCAAACCACACAGCACCATTTTCTAGTTTTTTTAAATTTACGGATAGCCAGGGGCACACTCCAACACTCAGACATCTTTACAAATGAAGCATTTGTGTTTAGTGAGTCTGCCAGATCAGAGGCAGTAGGGATGACCAGGGATGTTCTTTTGATAAGTGTGTGAATTTGACAATTTTCCTGTCCTGTTAAGTATTCAGTATTTTTGGGTGTCAGTGAAAATGTATGGAGTAAAAAGTAAATTATTTTCTTTAGGAATGTAGTGAAGTAAAAGTAAAAGTTGTCAAAAATATAAATAGTAAAGTAAAGTACTAATATCCCCAACAAACTACTTATTAGTACTTAAGTACTTATTTTTACTTAAGCACTTTACACCATAATATGCACCTTTTCAGTGATAGCACATGTTCCTGAATGCACATGATGGCCATTGAAATGCCAGATGGACTGGTGTAAATGAAGGAACACACACACAAACACACACACACACAGTGTTGCATTTTTTGATGCTCTCTCTCTGTATCTCTCAACTTGTCATCTCTTTGGCACTGTTCAGCTGAAGAGGCAGCTAATGAGCTCAAACTATTCCCAGGTCCACAGTCTCATCTCATCAATCTCATCAAGACAGACACACACACACATACACATACACACACACACACACACACACTTTGTCTTGTCTGCTTTCATTATCTTTATTCTGTACCAAAGCAGACTGCTGTGGTATGATCTGTAAAAAAAAAAATCCTCAATCAGCTTTCATCTATCTCTGATGCCATTTTCCCTCTTTCGTGCTGATAACACTATCTTACTGATAGAGGACTTCTGAGGACTGAGATAGTTTAGAGAAATGTCTCTGCTCACAGAGGATCTTGTCTCTGCTCACAGAGGATCTTGTCTCTGTGTGTCTGTTTGTATGTCTGTAACTCCTTCCCTCTCTCTCTCTCGCTCCTCTCTTTCTCTTTCTCTCTCTGTTATAGGGGGTCTATGCGCGCCACCTCCTGGGCAATGCCAGTGCTCCCAATGCTGCCCAGTTTGGCCAGAGTGTGGAGCTGTTGGCCCAGGTTGGGCTGCAGATTGCAGAGAGGTTAACATGATACTAAAACTACAGTCTATCATCTCATAATAAATAGTGCCTGTGTGTATAATAACTGAAATGGTATGTTTGTGTGTGTCTGCCTGTTTGTAGCCCCTCCAGGTCGGTCCATGCTGATGCCAGACTGTTCCTCCAGACGGCTAAAGGCCAGGCTGTCCACCGGCAGGTCACAGAGTTCATGAAACAACACGTGCTTCCTGCTCAGCAGGTCAGTTCAAAGGTCAGAGGTCAAGAGCAGAGAAGACAGTCGGAGGAACTCCTCATTACTGGGTTGTATGAGTCAGAGTGGCGGTCAGGGTAATGAGGTACAGAGAGTGCTGGAGGGAGCGAGCTAAGTGCACTCACACTTACATCCGTCAACAAACACACACATTGTTCACATACCTCATAAAGAGCATCTGGGACGTATTAAATGGAAACAACAATGGATACAAGACAAGAGCTTGTACAAGAGCTGATGATTCCATATCCTCATTGAGTCTGTCTCTTCTGTAGTCATTATACATTTCTGTCTGAGTGTACTGTATTGTAAAGTTGCAACCTCCTGAATTAGTCCACAGTTTGTATATTCACCAGTGAATGACTCTGACTGTTTTCCCCCCAGGAAGTGGCAGAGTACTACTCTAAACACGCCCACTCGCCCCAGAGATGGCACACTCCCCAGGTGATAGAGGATCTGAAGGTAAGGAAGGACACGAGGGGGTGATGTTGGTGTTCTTTGATGTCAGCTCTTGTAGAGTGTTTGAGGAGTAAGTTGAAGTTGCCCCTAGACATTGATCTTGGGTCAGTATTGCATTTTCCCCATTTAATGCTTAAGGTTAGGATTGGGGAGGAGAAGCTGATCCTAGATCTGTACCTAGGGGAAACTTCACCCTGGAGCGGTGTTTGAGTTCAGAGGTAATTTAAGATATCCCCCCTAGGTGAAGGCCAGAGAGGCGGGGCTGTGGAACCTCTTCCTACCAGCAGTCAGCGGTCTCAGTCAGCTAGACTATGCCCACATCGCAGAGGAGACGGGACGATGCCTCTATGCCCCCGACATCTTCAACTGCCAGGCCCCTGGTAAGGCATGGTCACCACTGATGAAGCCTGTTGAAGTTACTGTTTGATAGTGTACTAAGTTTTAGACTAAGTTTTTCGCTGATGCACAACCAGGTAGATGATTTTTGTGTTCATAACCATTCATGACTGATAAATTAATCTAATCTAATGATGTGAAAACATACTGGTAATCACGTTTCATATTAATGTAATTATTCTGTCATAAATTAAGTTATGATGAGTTACAGTGGGGAGAACAAGTATTTGATACACTGCCGATTTTGCAAGTTTTCCTACTTACAAAGCATGTAGAGGTCTGTAATTTTTATCATATGTACACTTCATCTGTGAGAGACGGAATCTAAAACAAAAATCCAGACAATCACATTGTATGATTTTAAGTAATTAATTTGCATTTTATTGCATGACATAAATATTGATCACCTACCAACCAGTAAGAATTCCGGCTCTCAAAGACCTGTAGTTTTTCTTTAAGAAGCCCCCTGTTCTCCACTCATTACCTGTATTAACTGCACTTGTTTGAACTCGTTACCTGTATAAAATACACCTGTCCACACACTCAATCAAACAGACTACAACCTCTCCACATGGCCAAGACCAGAGAGCTGTGTAAGGACATCATGGATACAATTGTAGACCTGCACAAGGCTGGGATGGGCTACAGGACAATAGGCAAGCAGCTTGGTGAGAAGGCAACAACTGTTGGGCCATTATTAGAAAATGAAAGAAGTTCAAGATGACGGTCAATCACCTCGGTCTGGGGCTCCATGCAAGATCTGTCCTCGTGGGGCATCAATGATCATGAGGAAGGTGAGGGATCAGCCCAGAACTACACGGCAGGACTGGTCAATGACCTGAAGAGAGCTGGGACCACAGTCTCAAAGAAAACCATTAGTAAACACACTACGCCGTCATGGATTAAAATCCTGCAGTGCACGCAAGGCCCCCCTGCTCAAGCCAGTGCATGTCCAGGCCCGTCTGAAGTTGCCAATGACCATCGGGATGATCCAGAGGAGGAATGGGAGAAGGTCATGTGGTCTGATGAGACAAAAATAGAGCTTTTTGGTCTAAACTCCACTTGCCGTGTTTGGAGGAAGAAGAGGATGAGTACAACCCAAGAACACCATCCCAACCATGAAGCATAGAGGTGGAATCATCATATTTGGGATACTTTTCTGCAAAGGGGACAGGATGACTGCACCGTATTTAGGGGAGGATGGATGGAGCCATGTATCGCGAGATCTTGGCCAACAACCTCCTTCCCTCAGTAAGAGCATTGAAGATGGGTCTTGGCTGGGTCTTACAGCATGACAACGACCCGAAACACACAGCCAGGGCAACTAAGGAGTGGCTCTGTAAGAAGCATCTCAAGGTCTGGAGTGGCCTAGCCAGTCTCAGACCTGAACCAATAGAACATCTTTGGAGGGAGCTGAAAGTCCGTATGCCCAGCGACAGCCCGAAACCTGAGGATCTGGAGAAGGTCTGTATGGAGGAGTGGGCCAAAATCCCTGCTGCAGTGTGTGCAAACCTGGTCAAGACCTACAGGAAACGTATTTCTTTTTGGGCTTAGTTGTGGTCAAGTTGCAGTGTACAAATTATTATAATTGGGTACCCCTGCGAGTTGCATTGTCTTTGTGATGTGATGGTGTCATTGGATACTTCCTAGATCTATGGTTGTGTTTGCCCCTACAGACACAGGGAACATGGAGGTCCTCCACATGTTTGGTACTGAGGAGCAGAAGAGAGAGTGGCTCCAGCCCCTGCTCAGTGGACAGATCCGCTCCTGCTTCTGTATGACAGGTACACTCTCAGCCCCAGAGCCATGCATTAATATATGGCTACACTATATCCCTACTATGTAATACTGTATCTCTATATACGGCTCCACTTCATCCTAATCATGTCAGTTCATGTAGCACAATAAGATATGACATAATGGAGTGCATTTATAAAGTACCTCAAATCGCATTACATGATATGGTGATAACTCTGCCCTTGTACCACAAATATGTACTCTAATAGCTTCCACCTGCGTAAATCTACTTGTTAAATTCACTCACTCGATCTTCTTTTTAATTACGTTTTGAGTTATAATGTCGACAGGAGGCTGGAAAAGCCCACTTACTCCAAAATAGACCAGTGACATGCTTAAATGGTCGCTTTCTTGTGCCAGTATGTTCACCACACAAAAAGGCAAACTCAGCTTCATCATTCATTGAATCAGATGGCTCATTCATCACAAAAACAACTGATATTGCCAACTACTTTAATGATTTTTTCATTGGCAAGATCAGCAAACTTAGGCATGACATGCCAGCAATAAACGCTGACACTACACACCCAAGTATATCTGACCAAATCCAAGTATATCTGACCAAATTTTGAATTCCGTAAAGTGAGTGTGGAAGAGGTGAAATAATGATTGTTGTCTATCAACAATGACAAGCCACCGGGGTCTGACAACTTGGATGGAAAATTACTGAGGATAATAGTGGACGATATTGCCACTCCTATTTGCCATATCTTCAATTTAAGCCTACTAGAAAGTGTGTGCCCTCAGGCCTGGAGGGAAGCAAAAGTCATTCCACTACCTAAGAATAGTAAAGCCCCCTTTACTGGCTCAAATAGCCGACCCATCAGCATGTTACCAACCGTTAGTAAAGTTTTGGAAAAAATTGACAACAGACTTTCAGCATGCTTATAGGGAAGGACATTCAACAAGCACAGCACTTACACAAATGACTGATGATTGGCTGAGAGAAATTGATGACAAAAACTGTTTTGTTAGACTTTGTCACGAACATTGAGAGACGGGTCAGACCAAGGTGCAGCGTGAAAAGCGTACATGTTTATTAACTAAATAAACATACAACAAAACAAGAAACAACGTAACGTGAAGTCCTCAGGCTATACACATACAAGCCTAAACGGAACAAGATCCCACAACTAAGGTAGGCAACATGGCTACCTAAGTATGATCCCCAATCAGAGACAACGAGCGACAGCTCTCTGATTGGGAATCACACCCGGCCAAACATAGAAATACAACCTAGATCTGCAACATAGAAATAGACTAACATAGATCTCAAATAGAAATTAACACCCTGACTCAACAAACAAGAGTTCCATAGGTCAGGGCGTGACAGACTTCAGTGCAGCTTTTGACATTATCGATCATAGTCTGCTGCTGGAAAAACGTATGTGTTCTGTTAGACAGGGAACGCTTCATCCACAATATAGCAGGGGATGTAAAGCCATAACACATACGTTTTTCCAGCAGCAGACTATGATCGATAATGTCAAAAGGGTTTTCTTTAATAGAAGCCTCCAACACAATCCAGGAAGAATTAGGAATTCCCCAGGGCAGCTGTCTAGGCCCCTTACTTTTTAAAATCTTTACTAACGACATGCCACTGGCTTTGAGTAAAGCCAGTGTGTCTATGTGTGCGGATGACTCAACACTATACACGTCAGCTACTACAGCGACTGAAATGACAGCAACACTTAACAAAGAGCTGCAGTTAGTTTCAGAATGGGTGGCAAGGAATAAGTTAGTCCTAAATATTTCAAAAACGAAAAGCATTGTATTTGGGACAAATCATTCCCTAAACCCTAAACCTCAACTAAAACTTGTAGTAAATAATGTGGAAATTGAGCAAGTTGAGGTGACTAAACTGCTTGGAGTAACCCTGGATTGTAAGCTGTCATGGTCAAAACATAATGATACAACAGTAGCGAGGATGGGGAGAAGTCTGTCCATAATAAAGCGCTGCTCTACCTTCTTAACAGCACTATCAACAAGGCAGGTCCTACAGGCTCTAGTTTTGTCACACCTGGACTACTGTTCACTCGTGTGGTCAGGTGCCACAAAAAAGGATTTAGGAAAATTGCAATTGGCTCAGAACAGGGCAGCACCGCTGGCCCTTGGATGTACACAGAGAGCAAACATTAATAATATGCATGTCAATCTCTCCTGGCTCAAAGTGGAGGAGAGATTTACTTTATCACTACTTGTATTTGTGAGAGGTATTGACATGTTGAAAGCACCGAGCTGTCTGTTTAAACGACTAGCACGCAGCTCAGACACCCATGCATACCCCACAAGACATGCCACCAGAGGTCTCTTCATGGTCCCCTAGTCCAGAATATAATATGGGAGGTGCACAGTACTACATAGAGCCATGACTACATGGAAGTTTATTCCACATCAGGTAACTGATGCAAGCAGTATAATCAGATTTAAAAAAACAGATAAAAATACACCTTACGGAACAGAGGGGACTGTGAAGCAACACAAACATAGGCACAGACACATGCGTACACACACATTATAACATATGCGCTATACACACACATACACATGGATTTTGTGTTGTAGAGGAGTAGGGGCCTGAGGGCACACCATTTTGCCAGACCCCAGGAAGAGTAGCTGCTGCCTTTGCTAATGGGGATCCATAATAAATACAAATACACATGACCCTTTGGAAAGTACACTCTTAGAAAAAAAGGTGCTAAGTAGAACCGTACAGGGTTCTTCTTCTTTATCCCCATAGGGGAACCCTTCTATCTATAACCCTCTATGTAGGGTTCTTCAAAGAACCCCTTGTACAGTGAGGGAAAAAAGTATTTGATCCCCTGCTGATTTTGTACGTTTGCCCCATGAAAAGACATGATCAGTCTATAATTTTAATGGTAGGTTTATTTGAACAGTGAGAGACAGAATAACAACAACAAAATCCAGAAAAACGCATGTCAAAAATTTTATAAATTGATCTGCATTTTAATGAGGGAAATAAGTATTTGACCCCTCTGCAAAACATGACTTAGTACTTGGTGGCAAAACCCTTGTTGGCAATCACAGAGGTCAGACATTTCTTGTGCAAACCTGGTGGTCAACTACACATCTCAGCAGGGATTTTGTCCCACTCCTCTTTGCAGATCTTCTCCAAGTCATTAAGGTTTTGAGGCTGACGTTTGGCAACTCGAACCTTCAGTTCCCTCCACAGATTTTCTATGGGATTAAGGTCTGGAGACTGGCTAGGCCACTCCAGGACCTTAATGTGCCTCTTCTTGAGCCACTCCTTTGTTGCCTTGGCCGTGTGTTTTGGGTCATTGTCATGCAGGAATACCCATCCATGACCCATTTTCAATGCCCTGACTGAGGGAAGGAGGTTCTCACCCAAGATTTGACGGTACATGGCCCCGTCCATCGTCTCTTTGATGCGGTGAAGTTGTCCTGTCCCCTTAGCAGAAAAACACCCCCAAAGCATAATGTTTCCACCTCCATGTTTGACGGTGAGGATGGTGTTTTACATTTACATTTACGTCATTTAGCAGACACTCTTATCCAGAGCGACTTACAAATTGGTGCATTCACCTTATAGCCAGTGGGATAAACCACTTTATAATATGTTTTTTTTGTTGTTTTTTTGGGGGGGGGGGGGGGGGGGTAGAAGGATTACTTTATCCTATCCCAGGTTTTCCTTAAAGAGGTGGGGTTTCAAGTGTCTCCGGAAGGTGGTGAGTGACTCCGCTGTCCTGGCGTCGTGAGGGAGCTTGTTCCACCATTGGGGTGCCAGAGCAGCGAACAGTTTTGACTGGGCTGAGCGGGAACTGTGCTTCCGCAAAGGTAGGGGGGCCAGCAGGCCAGAGGTGGATGAACGCAATGCCCTTGTTTGGGTGTAGGGACTGATCAGAGCCTGAAGGTACAGAGGTGCCGTTCCCCTCACAGCTCCGTAGGCAAGCACCATGGTCTTGTAGCAGATGCGAGCTTCAACTGGAAGCCAGTGGAGTGTGCGGAGGAGTGGGGTGACGTGAGAGAACTTGGGAAGGTTGAACACCAGACGGGCTGCAGCATTCTGGATGAGTTGTAGGGGTTTAATGGCACAGACAGGGAGCCCAGCCAACAGCGAGTTGCAGTAATCCAGACGGGAGATGACAAGTGCCTGGATTAGGACCTGTGCCGCTTCCTGTGTAAGGCAGGGTCGTACTCTGTGAATGTTGTAGAGCATGAACCTACAGGATCGGGTCACCGCCTTGATGTTAGCGGAGAACGACAGGGTGTTGTCCAGGGTCACGCCAAGGCTCTTTGCACTCTGGGAGGAGGACACAACAGAGTTGTCAACCGTGATGGCGAGATCATGGAACGGGCAGTCCTTCCCCGGGAGGAAGAGCAGCTCCGTCTTGCCGAGGTTCAGCTTGAGGTGGTGATCCGTCATCCACACTGATATGTCTGCCAGACATGCAGAGATGCGATTCGCCACCTGGTTATCAGAAGGGGGAAAGGAGAAGATTAGTTGTGTGTTGTCTGCGTAGCAATGATAGGAGAGGCCATGTGAGGATATGACAGAGCCAAGTGACTTGGTGTATAGCGAGAATAGGAGAGGGCCTAGAACTGAGCCCTGGGGGACACCAGTGGTGAGAGCACGTGGTGCGGAGACAGATTCTCGCCACGCCACTTGGTAGGAGCAACCTGTCAGGTAGGACGCAATCCAGGAGTGAGCCGCGCCGGAGATGCCCAACTCAGAGAGGGTGGAGAGGAGGATCTGATGGTTCACAGTATCAAAGGCAGCAGACAGGTCTAGAAAGACAAGAGCAGAGGAGAGAGAGTTAGCTTTAGCAGTGCGGAGAGCCTCCGTGACACAGAGAAGAGCAGTCTCAGTTGAATGACCAGTCTTGAAACATGACTGGTTTGGATCAAGAAGGTCATTCTGAGAGAGATAGCAAGAGAGTTGGCTAAAGACGGCACGCTCAAGAGTTTTGGAGAGAAAAGAAAGAAGGGATACTGGTCTGTAGTTGTTGACATCGGAGGGATCGAGTGTAGGTTGTAGGGGTGCAACTCTCTCTCTCTTGAAGACGGAAGGGACATAGCCAGCGGTCAAGGATGAGTTGATGAGCGAGGTGAGGTAAGACAGAAGGTCTCCGGAAATGGTCTGGAGAAGAGAGGAGGGGATATTGTCAAGCGGGCAGGTTGTTGGGCGGCCGGCCGACACAAGTCGCAAGATTTCATCTGGAGAGAGATAGGAGAAAGTAGTCAAAGCATAGGGTAGGGCAGTGTGAGCAGTACCAGCAGTGTCATTTGAGAGGAGAACAAACGAGGATTGGATGTCGTCAACCTTCTTTTCAAAATGGTTGACAAAGTCATCCACAGAGAGGGGGGGGGGGGGGATTCAGCAGGGAGGAGAAGGTGGCAAAGAGCTTCCTAGGGTTAGAGGCAGATGCTTGGAATTTAGAGTGGTAGAAAGTGGCTTTAGCAGCAGAAACAGAGGAAGAAAATGTAGAGAGGAGGGAGTGAAAAGATGCCAGGTCCGCAGGGAGTCTAGTTTTCCTCCATTTCCACTCGGTTGCCCGGAGCCCTGTTCTGTGTGCTCGCAATGAGTCGTCAAGCCACGGAGCAGGAAGGGAGGACCGAGCCGGCCGGGAGGATAGGGGACATAGAGAGTCAAAGGATGCAGAAAGGGAGGAGAGGAGGGTTGAGGAGGCAGAATCAGGAGATTGGAGGGAGAAGGATTGAGCAGAGGGAAGAGATGATAGGATGGAAGAGGAGAGAGTAGCGGGAGAGAGAGAGCGAAGGTTGCGACGGCGCATTACCATCTGAGTAGAGGAGTGAGTAGTGTTGGAGGAGAGCGAGAAAGAAAAGGATACAAAGTAGTGGTCGGAGACATGGAGGGGAGTTGCAGTGAGATTAGTAGAAGAACAGCATCTAGTAAAGATGAGGTCAAGCTTATTGCCTGCCTTGTTAGTAGGGGGGGACGGTGAGAGGGTGAGGTCAAAAGAGGAGAGGAGTGGAAAGAAGGAGGCAGATAGAAATGAGTCAAAGGTAGACGTAGGGAGGTTAAAGTCACCTAGAACTGTGAGATGTCAGCCATCCTCAGGAAAGGAACTTATCAAGGCGTCAAGCTCATTGATGAACTCTCCAAGGGAACCTGGAGGGCGATAAATGATAAAGATGTTAAGCTTGAATGGGCTAGTGACTGTGACAGCATGGAATTCAAATGAGGAGATTGACAGATGGGTCAGGGGAAAAAGAGAGAATGTCAACTTGGGAGAGATGAGGATTCCTGTGCCACCACCCCGCTGACCAGATGCTCTCTGGGTATGCGAGAACACATGGTCAGACGAGGAGAGAGCAGTAGAAGTAGCAGTGTTTTCAGTGGTAATCCATGTTTCCGTCAGTGCCAAGAAGTCGAGGGACTGGAGGGTAGCATAGGCTGAGATGAACTCTGCCTTGTTGGCCGCAGAACGGCAGTTCCAGAGGCTGCCGGAGACCTGGGTCGTGTGTGCAGGGACCACCAGGTTAGAGAGGCAGCAGCCACGTGGTGTGAGGCGTTTGTATAGCCTGTGCGGAGAGGAGAGAACAGGGATAGACAGACACATAGTTGACAGGCTACAGAAAATGGCTACAATAATGCAAAGGAGATCGGAATGAAATGAACTAAACATCTGGGAAAGCGAGAGCACCTCCCTCACTTACGTTTCACTGAAACACCCAAATATAACTCTCCCAACTTCCACCTCAGAAACTATAATTGTTGTAAACTACAGCGGTTCAATGTTTTCTAGGAATAAACTAACTTAGTTTATTCAGCTAGCTAACTTGGTACAGTATTATTCCGTGAAAACCGTCCAGGGCACCTAGTCCTATGACGCCATAGCCAACTAGCATGCCAGGCTCCAATAACACGGTTTAGCACCAATACTCGGCCACAACAAACCACCAGTGTGTCAACACGCCAAGCAGATAATTCGTGTCCGTGTCTAACATTGTGGGTTAGTCCCGACAGCTTGAGCGAGTCCGTTGTCAACTTATTCAGCCAGTTAGTTAGCTAGAATAGTTAGCATACTAGCTAGCCATTGCTTTCTGCCAACCAAAAAACGGCACGAACACACAGAGAGAGCCAAGCTAACGTTAACTCTGTAGAGCACGGCGCTTGTAACGCCAAGGTAGTGGTTTCGATCCCGGGACCACCCATACACAAAAAAAATGTATGCACGCATGACTGTAAGTCGCTTTGGATAAAAGCGTCTGCTAAATGGCATATTATATTATATATTATTATTATATTATATTATATATTATAACTAGTCACCCATGTCCCGAATTCCCTTGAACGACTCTGGTTACCAGTATGTAAAAAACTAAACACAGATGTAGGTTATAACTTACCCCTAGCAGCTACTGTTAGCTAGCCAAGTGCAAAGCTAGCCACGGAATCGACTCAGCCAGTTGGCGTCTGTTCGCTAGGTCGTTCCAGCTATTGTTTATGACACCATTTGTATAAAACCACCACACCCTGTGCAGTGTGTATGTTTTTTCTTCTTCTCATCGCCTCTAACCCTCTGTTCTTGGAGTCATAGGCAGCATTCCTCCTCCTCCAAACACGGTGAGGTGAGTTGATGCCAAATAGCTCGATTTTGGTCTCATCTGACCACAAAACTTTCACCCAGTTCCCCTCTGAATCATTCAGATGTTCATTGGCAAACTTCAGACGGCCCTGTGTGTGTGCTTTCTTGAGCAGGGGGACCTTGCGGGCGCTGCAGGATTTCAGTCCTTCACGGCGTAGTGTGTTACCAATTGTTTTCTTGGTGGCTATGGTCCCAGCTGCCTTGAGATCATTGACAAGATCCTCCGTGTAGTTCTGGGCTGATTCCTCACCGTTCTCATGATCATTGCAACTCCACGAGGTGAGAGCTTGCATGGAGCCCCAGGCCGAGGGAGATTGACAGTTCTTTTATGTTTCTTCCATTTGCGAATAATCGCACCAACTGTTGGTCACCTTCTCACCAAGCTGCTTGGCGATGGTCTTGTAGCCCATTACAGCCTTGTGTAGGTCTACAATCTTGTCCCTGACATCCTTGGAGAGCTCTTTGGTCTTGGCCATGGTGGAGAGTCTGGAATCTGATTGATTGATTGCTTCTGTGGACAGGTGTCTTTTATACAGGTAACAAGATGAGATTAGGAACACTCCATTTAAGAGTGTGCTCCTAATCTCAGCTCGTTACCTGTATAAAAGACACCTGGGAGCCAGAAATCTTTCTGATTGAGAAGGGGTCAAATAACTATTTCCCTCATTAAAATGCAAATCAATTTCTAACATTTTTGACATGCGGTTTTCTGGATTTTTTTGTTGTTGTTATTCTGTCTCTCACTGTTCAAATAACCCTACCATTAAAATTATAGACTGATAATTTCTTTGTCAGTGGGCAAACGTACAAAATCAGAAGGGGATCAAATACTTTTTTCCCTCACTGTATATGATTCTGCCTAAAACCCTCTATGAAGGGTTCTACCAAGAACCATTTTATCATCTAAAGGTTCTTCCTAGAACCACCTATGAAGGGTTCTACCGAGAACCCTTTTATCTTTGGAGGGTTCTTCCTTGAACCCTCTATGAACAATTCCACCAGCATTATTAGCCTTTAAAATGTTATTATTGATGACAATACATTAAATATATCATAAGGCCTTTGAGGGCCTAGTTATACCCTAACATAGTGGTGTTAGGAATCTCCTGGTTACAGGCCACATCAGGCCTGCAGGTAACATACACTACTGGTCAAAAGTTTTAGAACACCTACTTATTCAATGGTTTTTCTTTATTTTTTACTATTTTCTACATTGTAGAATAATAGTGATATATGAAAACTATGAAAAAACACAAATGGAATCATGTATTAACCAAACAAAAATGTTAAACAAATCAAAATATATTTTATTTTATTTTTATGAAACAGCCACCCTTTGCCTTGATGACAGCTTTGCACACTCTTGGCATTCTCTCAACCAGCTTCACATGGAATGCTTTTCCAACAGTCTTAAGGACTTCTCACATATGCTGAGCACTTGTTGGCGGCTTTTCCTTCACTCTGCGGTCCGACTCATCCCAAACCGTCTCAATTGGATTTATAAAAAAATATATAAAAAAATTAAGGTTGGGTGATTGTGGAGGCCAGGTCATCTGATGCAGCACTCCATCACTCTCCTTCTTGGTAAAATAGCCCTTACACAGCCTGGAGGTGTGTTGGGTCATTGTCCTGTTGAAAAACAAATGATAGTCCCACTAAGCCCAGACCAGATGGGATGGCGTATCGCTGCAGAATTCTGTGGTAGCCATGCTGGTTAAGTGTGCCTTGAATTCTAAATAAATCACAGACAGCGTCACCAGCAAAGCACCCCCACACCATAACACCTCCTCCTCCATGCTTTACGGTGGGAAATACACATGCGGAGATCATCCGTTCACCCACACCCCGTCTCACAAAGACACGCCGGTTGGAACCAAAAATCTCAAATTTGGACTCCAGACCAAAGGACACATTTCTTCCAGTCTAATGTCCATTGCTCGTGTTTCTTGGCCCAAGCAAGTCTATTCTTATTATTGGTGTCCTTTAGTAGTGGTTTCTTTGCAGCACTTCGACCATGAAGGCCTGATTCACACAGTCTCCTCTGAACAGTTGATTTTGAAATGTGTCTGTTACTTGAACTCTGTGAAGCATTTATTTGGGCTGCAGTTTCTGAGGCTGGTAACTCTAATGAACTTATCCTCTGCATCTAAGCTGTCAAGGCAAAGGGTGGCTATTTTAAGAATCTCAAATATAAAATATATTTTGATATGTTTAACACTTTTTTGGTTACTACATGATTCCATATGTTATTTCATAGTTTTGATGTCTTCACTAATATTCTAGAATGTAAAAAATAGTAAAAACCCTTTAATGAGTAGGTACTACCTACAGTATATATATATATATATATATATATATATATATATATATTTCCTTTATTATTTTCCACTAACCCTACCACCCCTCCCCTAATTGGAGAAAACGAATGAACAACAACACTTACTCTTTTACTTCCAGCTTATACACACTATATACCTTTTACGGACACAATCTATTTTACAATAGTTATATTTTGTTTGTTTTTAGTCCTTCCTCTACCCTCAACCTCTCCCATCTATTTCTGAAGTCCATCCAGTTTGAATTTTATTTTCCATATATTTTTAACTGTGCTGTTTCACAAAAGTTCTGAACCTATATACATTTTACAGACCCAGTATATTTTACATTTGTTATCTTGTTGTTATTAGTTGTTGTTATTAGTCTCACCCTTCAGCTCCATTCAACTCCTCCCATCTATCTCTTAACACCATCCATGGCTTTCTATTTGCCATATATTTTTCAACTGTGCCTTGATGCTTCACAAAAGTTCTGAACCTTTCTATTCTCATAGTTTCTACAGATTGTAAATTAAAGATAAACATTTTTCCTAAAGTATTATTATATTATTGATCGATTGACCATGACTTTTCAAATCACCCAGTATTGCTATCTGCAGCGTTAGCTCCAGGTAAATGTTGCAATTCTTCAGCTATTCCTGTACCTGTGACCGAAAACAAGCTACATATCAAAATAAATGATCTAATGACTCCGTCTCTTTGCAGTAAAATCTGCAGAGCTGGGAAGGTTGTATCCCCCATATATATAACATTATATTGGTTGCAAGAATTTTGTAGAATAACTTAAATTGAAAAATTCTAAGTTTTGAATACGGTGTTGTTTTGCGTATCAGTTCATAAACCATGTGCCATGGAATCGGTACTCTAAAATCTCTTCACAACTATTTTGCAATCTATATGGCACAGGTGTAAATTTGTTGGTCCTTAAATTAAACTGGTATATATTTTTTTTTAATCACCATTTTCTTTAACCAATTTTGGTCTTTAATGCAGGGCCTACAGACAAGTTCCTTACTTTTTCCACCTTCCACTTGCCTCTTCCATATTTGCGGTAATTGCTGCAATTAGTTGGTTGTAATTTTAACATAACTCCAACAGGCCTACAGTGGGGGAAAAAAGTATTTAGTCAGCCACCAATTGTGCAAGTTCTCCCACTTAAAAAGATGAGAGAGGCCTGTAATTTTCATCATAGGTACACGTCAACTATGACAGACAAAATGAGAATTTTTTTCTCCAGAAAATCACATTGTAGGATTTTTTATGAATTTATTTGCAAATTATGGTGGAAAATAAGTATTTGGTCAATAACAAAAGTTTCTCAGTACTTTGTTATATACCCTTTGTTGGCAATGACACAGGTCAAACGTTTTCTGTAAGTCTTCACAAGGTTTTCACACACTGTTGCTGGTATTTTGGCCCATTCCTCCATGCAGATCTCCTCTAGAGCAGTGATGTTTTGGGGCTGTCGCTGGGCAACACGGACTTTCAACTCCCTCCAAAGATTTTCTATGGGGTTGAGATCTGGAGACTGGCTAGGCCACTCCAGGACCTTGAAATGCTTCTTACGAAGCCACTCCTTCGTTGCCCGGGCGGTGTGTTTGGGATCATTGTCATGCTGAAAGGCCCAGCCACGTTTCATCTTCAATGCCCTTGCTGATGGAAGGAGGTTTTCACTCAAAATCTCACGATACATGGCCCCATTCATTCTTTCCTTTACACGGATCAGTCGTCCTGGTCCCTTTGCAGAAAAACAGCCCCAAAGTATGATGTTTCCACCCCCATGCTTCACAGTAGGTATGGTGTTCTTTGGATGCAACTCAGCATTCTTTGTCCTCCAAACACGACGAGTTGAGTTTTTACCAAAAAGTTCTATTTTGGTTTCATCTGACCATATGACATTCTCCCAATCCTCTTCTGGATCATCCAAATGCACTCTAGCAAACTTCAGACGGGCCTGGACATGTACTAGCTTAAGCGGGGGACACGTCTGGCACTGCAGGATTTGAGTCCCTGGCGGCGTAGTGTGTTACTGATGGTAGGCTTTGTTACTTTGGTCCCAGCTCTCTGCAGGTCATTCACTAGGTCCCCCCGTGTGGTTCTGGGATTTTTGCTCACCGTTCTTGTGATCATTTTGACCCCACAGGGTGAGATCTTGCGTGGAGCCCCAGATCGAGGGAGATTATCAGTGGTCTTGTATGTCTTCCATTTCCTAATATTTGCTCCCACAGTTGATTTCTTCAAACCAAGCTGCTTACCTATTGAAGATTCAGTCTTCCCAGCCTGGTGCAGGTCTACAATTTTGTTTCTGGTGTCCTTTGACAGCTCTTTGGTCTTGGCCATAGTGGAGTTTGGAGTGTGACTGTTTGAGGTTGTGGACAGGTGTCTTTTATACTGATAACAAGTTCAAACAGGTGCCATTAATACAGGTAACGAGTGGAGGACAGAGGAGCCTCTTAAATAAGAAGTTACAGGTCTGTGAGAGCCAGAAATCTTGCTTGTTTGTAGGTGACCAAATACTTATTTTCCACCATAATCTGCAAATAAATTCATAAAAAATCCTACAATGTGATTTTCTGGAATTTTTTTCCTCAATTTGTCTGTCATAGTTGACGTGTACCTATGATGAAAATTACAGGCCTCTCTCATCTTTTTAAGTGGGAGAACTTGCACAATTGGTGGCTGACTAAATACTTTTTTCCCCCACTGTATTTACGATATAATTTACAAAGATTATACCTTTTTATTTATTTTTATTGAAAAATTCTGTGTTTCTTTTATCAATTAGTATATTTGAGTTTAACCACAATATTTGTTGTATTATATGTTCCGTCTTTTCTGGTGGATTAAATTGAAATTGCAACCAACTTCCTATGGCTTGTTTTAAAAACAACTATATTTTGGAGATTATTTTGTTTTCAAATAACCGAAAGTGAGGGATTGTAATCTGAATAAAGGGAAAAAGGCCATTCTTGAACATTGGGTGAGACATTCTTACTAATTTGCTAGAGAACCAGTTTGGATTTAAGTATAACTTTTGTATGACTGACGCCTTTAGTGAGAGGTCTAATGCTTTAATATTTAATCATTTCTGCCCTCCGAATTCATATTCATTATATAAATAGGCCCTTTTCATTTTGTCTGGCTTGCCATTTCAAATAAAATTGAATATCTTTTGGTCATATTATTTAAAAAACTGTTCGATAGGTGAAGGCAAGGCCATAAGTAAATAGGTAAACTGGGATATGACTAAAGATTTAATCAGGGGGATTTTTCCACAAATAGACAGGTATTTTCCTTTCCATGGTAGCAAGATCTTATCTGTTTTTGCTAACTTTCTATTAACATTTATTGGAGTGAGATCATTTCTTTCTTTCGGGATATGTATACCGAGTATGTCCACATCCTCGTCAGACCATTTTATTGGTAAAGTACACGGTAATGTAAAAGTTGTATTTTTTAGTGATCCAATACGCAATATAGTACACATCATAATTTGGTTTTAATCCAGAGAGGTGAGGCTGTGGAGGGATCGAAATTGTGGATTTAAAAGAAAACAACATGAATCATCAGCGTACAATGACACGTTTGTTTTTAAGCCCTGGACTTCTAACCCCTTACAATTATTGTTGGATCTGATTTTACAGCTAACATTTCGATGGCAATAATAAATAGATATGCCGACAGAGGACCACCTTGTTTTACTCCTCTTGACAGTTTAAAACTTTCTGAAGTAAACATTATTTATTATTTTACACATAGGGTTACTATACATAACTTTAACCCATTTTATAAGAGATTCTCCAAAATTGAAATATTCCTGGCATTTATATATAAACTCCAGTCGTACTTTATCAAAGGCCTTTTCAAAGTCAGCTATGAATACCAGGCCTGGTTTCCCAGATTTTTCATAGTGTTGTATTGTTTCCAGTACTTATATTATCTCCAATGTATCGTACATCTAAAAAACCTGTCTGATTAGGATGAATAATATCCAACACTACCTTTTTAATTCTATGTGCTAAGCATTTTGCTATATTTTTTGCATCACAACACTGAAGTGTAAGAGGCCTCCAAATCTTTTAATGGACTGGATCTTTATATTTACCACTTGGATCCTGTTTCAGTAATAATGAAATCAGACCTTCTTGTTGAGTGTCTGATAATCTACCATTTATATAGGAGGGGTTAAAACATGCTAATAACGATCCGCTGAGTATATAAAAAAATGATTCTTATACCTCCACTGGTATGCCATCCAGCCCTGGAGTTTTCCCGGACTTAAAGGCTTTAATTGCATCAAGAAGTTCCTCCTCTGTAATTTGGCCTTCACATGAGTCTTTCTGTATGGCTGTTAATTTTACATTATTAATAGAAATAAAATCCATACAATTAGCTTCGGTTAGTGGAGATGGAGGAGACTGAAATGAAAACATATGCTTAACGTACTTTACTTGCTCTTTCAAAACATAATTTGGTGAATCATGGGAGACTCCGTCATTTGTAACAATTAGTACATTCTTTTTGGTAGCATTTCTATGTTGAAAATGAAAAAAGAATTTGGTGCATTTTCCCCCATATTCCAGTTCGCTTTATATTTATTATATATTACACTTGATCTTTCTTGAATAAGTTCCTCCATTTCTTTTAGTTTTTCCTCTAACTTATTCTGAGCCTCTATAGTACAGTTATTATTGAATTATCTCTGGCCCCCTCCCAGTTAGGGGAAGTGACGAGCTCTACAGCAGAGTCTCAGCACTTAATCGCTGGTTGAAAACTGTTTTCTGCCCCTCCCAAAATATAACATTTGTGGATAATTGGCCCTCTTTCTGGGACTCACCCACAAACAGGACCAAGCCTGACCTGCTGAGGAGTGACGGACTCCATCCTAGCTGGAGGGGTGCTCTCCTCTTATCTACCAACATAGATAGGGGCTCTAACTCCTCTAGCCCCACAGTGAAATAGGGTGCAGGCCAGGCAGCAGGCTGTTAGCCAACCTGCCAGCTTAGTGGAGTCTGCCATAGCACAGTCAGTGTAGTCAGCTCAGCCATACCCATTGAGACTGTGTCTGTGCCTCGACCTAGGTTGGGCAAAACTAAACATGGCGGTGTTCACCCTAGCAATCTTATTAGGATAAAGACCTCCTCCATTCCTGCCATTATTGAAAGAGATCGTGATACCTCACATCTCAAAATAGGGTTACTTAATGTTAGATCCCTCACTTCAAAGGCAGTCATAGTCAATGAACTAATCACTGATCATAATCTTGATGTGATTGGCCTGACTGAAACATGGCTTAAGCCTGATGAATTTGCTGTGTTAAATGAGGCCTCACCTCCTGGTTACACTAGTGACCATATTCCCCGTGCATCCCGCAAAGGCGGAGGTGTTGCTAACATTTACGATAGCAAATTTCAATTTACAAAAAAAAATATGGCGTTTTCATCTTTTGAGCTTCTAGTCATGAAATCTATGCAGCCTACTCAATCACTTTTTATAGCTACTGTTTACAGGCCTCCTGGGCCATATACAGCGTTCCTCTCTGAGTTTCCTGAATTCCTATCAGACCTTGTAGTCATAGCAGATCATATTCTAATTTTTGGTGATTTTAATATTCACATGGAGAAGTCCACAGACCCACTCCAAAAGTCTTTCGGAGCCATTATCGACTCAGTGGGTTTTGTCCAACATGTCTCTGGACCTACTCACTGCCACAGTCATACTCTGGACCTAGTTTTGTCCCATGGAATAAATGTTGTAGATCTTAATGTTTTTCCACAAAATCCTGGACTATCGGACCACCATTTTATTACATTTGCAATCGCAACAAATAATCTGCTCAGACCCCAACCAAGGAGCATCAAAAGTTGTGCTATAAATTCTCAAACAACACAAAAATTCATTGATGCCCTTCCAGACTCCTTCTGCCTACCCAAGGACGTCAGAGGACAAAAATCAGTTAACCACTTAACTGAGGAACTCAATTTAACCTTGCGCAATACCCTAGATGCAGTTGCACCCCTAAAAACGAAAAACATTTGTCATAAGAAACTAGCTCCCTGGTATACAGAAAATACCCGAGCTTTGAAGCAAGCTTCCAGGAAATTGGAACGGAAATGGCGCCACAACCAAACTGGAAGTCTTCCGACTAGCTTGGAAAGACAGTACCCGTGCAGTACCGAAGAGCCCTCACTGCTGCTCGATCATCCTACTTTTCCAACTTAATCGAGGAAAATAAGAACAATCCAAAATTTATTTTTGATACTGTTGCAAAGCTAACTAAAAAGCAGCATTCCCCAAGAGAGGATGGCTTTCACCTTCAGCAGTGATAAATTCATGAACTTCTTTGAGGAAAAGATCATGACCATTAGAAAGCAAATTACGGACTCCTCTTTGAATCTGCGTATTCCTCCAAGGCTTAGCTGTCCTGGATCTGCACAGCTCTGCGAGGGCCTGGGATCGGGAGAGACACTTAAGTGTTTTAGTACTATATCTCTTGACACAATGATGAAAATAATCATGGCCTCTAAACCTTCAAGCTGCATACTGGATCCTATTCCTACTAAACTGCTGAAGGAGCTGCTTCCTGTGCTTGGCCCTCCTATGTTGAACATAATAAACAGCTCTCTATCCACCGGATGTGTACCAAACTCACTAAAAGTGGCAGTGATAAAGCCTCTCTTGAAAAAGCCAAACCTTGACCCGGAAAATATAAAAAACTATCGGCCTATATCGAATCTTCCATTCCTCTCAAAAATTTTTGAAAAAGCTGTTGCGCAGCAACTCACTGCCTTTCTGAAGACAAACAATATATACGAAATGCTTCAGTCTGGTTTTAGACCCCATCATAGCACTGAGACTGCACTTGTGAAGGTGGTAAATGACCTTTTAAATGGCGTCAGACCGAGGCTCTGCATCTGTCCTCGTGCTACTAGACCTTAGTGCTGCCTTTGACACCATCGATCACCACATTCTTTTGGAGAGACTGGAAACCCCAAATTGGTCTACACGGACAAGTTCTGGCCTGGTTTAGATCCTACCTGTCGGAAAGATATCAGTTTGTCTCTGTGAATGGTCTGTCCTCCGACAAATCAACTGTACATTTCGGTGTTCCTCAAGGTTCCGTTTTAGGACCACTATTGTTTTCACTATATATTTTACCTCTTGGGGATGTTATTCGAAAACATAATGTTAACTTTCACTGCTATGCGGATGACACACAGCTGTACATTTCAATGAAACATGGTGAAGCCCCAAAATTGCCCTCGCTAGAAGCCTGTGTTTCAGACATAAGGAAGTGGATGGCTGAAAACTTTTTACTTTTAAAACTCGGACAAAACAGAGATGCTTGTTCTAGGTCCCAATAAACAAAGAGATCTTCTGTTAAATCTGACAATTCATCTTGATGGTTGTAAAGTCGTCTCAAATAAAACTGTGAAGGACCTCGGCGTTACTCTTGACCCTGATCTCTCTTTTGACGAACATATCAAGACTGTTTCAAGGACAGCTTTTTTCCATCTACGTAACATTGCAAAAATCAGAAATTTGCTGTCCAAAAATGATGCAGAAAAAGTAATCCATGCATTTGTTACTTCTAGGTTAGACTACTGCAATGCTCTATTTTCCGGCTACCCGGATAAAGCACTAAATAAACTTCAGTTAGTGCTAAATACGGCTGCTAGAATCCTGACTAGAACCAAGAAATTTGATCATATTACTCCAGTGCTAGCTTCCCTACACTGGCTTCCTGTTAAGGCAAGGGCTGATTTCAAGGTTTTATTGTTAACCTATAAAGCGTTACATGGGCTTGCTCCTACCTATCTTTCCGAGTTGGTCCTGCCGTACATACCAATACGTACGCTACGGTCACAAGACGCAGGCCTCCTAATTGTCCCTAGAATTTCTAAGCAAACGCGGGAGGCAGGGCTTTCTCCTATAGATCTCCATTTTTATGGAACAGTCTGCCTACCCATGTGAGAGACGCAGACTCGGTCTCAACCTTTAAGTCTTTACTGAAGACTTATCTCTTCAGTAGGTCATATGATTGAGTGTAGTCTGGCCCAGGAGTGGTGAAGGTGAACGGAAAGGGCTGGAGCAACGAACAGCCCTTGCTGTCTCTGCCAGGCCGGTTTCCCTCTCCACTGGGGTTCTCTGCCTCTAACCCTGTTGCAGGGGCTGAGTCACTGGGCTTGCTGGTGCTCTTTCATGCCGTCCCTGGGAGGGGTGCGTCACTTGAGTGGGTTGAGTTACTGACGTGATCTTCCTGTCTGGGTTGGCGCCCCCCCCTTGGTTTGTGCTGTGGTGGAGACCTCTTGGGCTATACTCGGCCTTGTCTCAGGATTGTAAGTTGGTGGTTGGGGATATCCCTCTAGTGGTGCGGGGGCTGTGCTTTGGCGGAGTGTGGTGGGGTTATATCCTTCCTGTTTGGCCCTGTCCGGGGGTTTCTTCTTCGGATGGGGCCACAGTGTCTCCGGACCGCTCCTGTCGCAGCCTCCAGTATTTATGCTGCAGTAGTTTATGTGTCGGGGGGGCTGGGGTTAGTTGGTTATACCTGGAGTACTTCTCCTGTCTTATCCAGTGTCCTGTGTGAATTTAAGTATGCTCTCTCTAATTCTCTCATTCTCTCTTTCTCTCTGAGAACCTGAGCCGCCCTAGGACCATACGTCAGGACTAACCGGGCATGATGACACCTTGCTGTCCCCAGTCCGCCTGGCCTTGCTGCTATTCCAGTTTCAACTGTTCTGCCTGCGGCTACGAAACCCCTACCTGTCCCAGACCTGCTGTTTTCAACTCTTAATGATCGGCTATGAAAAGCCAACTGAGAGACCTGAGCCCTAGGACCATACGTCGGGACTACCGGCCGTGGTGACTCCTTGCTGTCCCCAGTCCCGCCTGGCCTTGCTGCTATTCCAGTTTCAACTGTTCTGCCTGCGTTATGGAACCCCTACCTGTCCCAGACCTGCTGTTTTCAACTCTTAATGATCGGCTATGAAAAGCCAACTGAGATATATTCCTGATTATTATTTGACCATGCTTGTCACTTATGAACATTTTTTGAACATCTTGGCATGGTTCTGTTATAATCTCCACCCGGCACAGCCAGAAGAGGACTGGCCACCCCCCTCATAGCCTGGTTTCCTCTCTAGTTTTCTTCCTAGGTTTTTTCGCCTTTCTAGGGAGTTTTTTCCTAGCCACCGTGCTCTCACCATGCATTACTAGCTGTTTGTGGGGTTTTAGGCTGGGTTTCCTGTACAGCACTTCGAGATATTAGCTGATGTAAGAAGGGCTATATAAAATAAAATTGATTGATTGATTGATTGATTTCTATCTGTACTGTTAGTCCTTCCATTTCCTTTGGTTAATATGGACTCTTTTGACCTAAATTGCTTTTGTTTCAGAGATGAGTACTGAATTGCATGGCCTCTAAAGGCACATTTAAAATGTCCCATACAATAAGGGGATCTGCTGTACCTATGTTTATTTGGAAAAGGTCAGTTATAAATAGTTCTGTCCTAGTTAAAAACAATATCATCCAATTTCCAATACAGTGGGGAAAAAAAGTATTTAGTCAAGCCACCAATTGTGCAAGTTCTCCCACTTAAAAAGATGAGAGAGGCCTGTATTTTCATCATAGGTACACGTCAACTATGACAGCAAAATGAGAAAAGAAATTCCAGAAAATCACATTGTAGGATTTTTTATGAATTTATTGGCATATGATGGTGGAAAATAAGTATTTGGTCATAACAAAAGTTTCTCAATACTTTGTTATATACCCTTTGTTGGCAATGACACAGGTCAAACGTTTTTCTGTAAGTCTTCACAAGGTTTTCACACACATGTTGCTGGTATTTTGGCCCATTCCTCCATGCAGATCTCCTCTAGAGCAGTGATGTTTTGGGGCTGTCGCTGGGCAACACAGACCTTTCAACTCCCTCCAAAGATTTTCTATGGGGTTTGAGATCTGGAGACTGGCTAGGCCACTCCAGGACCTTGAAATGCTTCTTACGAAGCCACTCCTTCGTTGCCCGGCGGTGTGTTTGGGATCATTGTCATGCTGAAAGACCCAGCCACGTTTCCATCTTCAATGCCCTTGCTGATGGAAGGAGGATTTCACTCAAAATCTCACGATACATGGCCCCATTCATTCTTTCCTTTACACGGATTAGTCGTCCTGGTCCCTTTGCAGAAAAACAGCCCCAAAGCATGAATGTTTTCCAACACCCATGCTTCACAGTAGGTATGGTGTTCTTTGGATGCAACTCAGCATTCTTTGTCCTCCAAACATGACGAGTTTGAGTTTTTTACCAAAAAGTTATATTTTGGTTTCATCTGACCAGTATGACATTCTCCCAATCCTCTTCTGGATCATCCAAATGCACTTCAGACGGGCCTGGAACATGTACTGGCTTAAGCAGGGGGACACGTCTGTCACTGCAGGATTTGAGTCCCTGGCGGCGTAGTGTGTTACTGATGGTAGGCTTTGTTACTGTTGGTCCCAGCTCTCTCTGCAGGTCATTCACTAGGTCCCCCCCCGTGTGGTCCTGGGATTTTTGCTCAACCGTTCTTGTGATCATTTTGACCCCACGGGGTGAGATCTTGCGTGGAGCCCCAGATCGAGGGAGATTATCAGTGGTCTTGTATGTCTTCCATTTCCTAATAATTGCTCCCACAGTTGATTTCTTCAAACCAAGCTGCTTACCTATTGCAGATTCAGTCTTCCCAGCCTGGTGCAGGTCTAACAATTTTGTTTCTGGTGTCCTTTGACAGCTCTTTGGTCTTGGCCATTGTGGAGTTTGGAGTGTGACTGTTTGAGGTTGTGGACAGGTGTATTTTATACTGATAACAAGTTCAAACAGGTGCCATTAATACAGGTAACGAGTGGAGGACAAGGAGCCTCTTAAAGAAATAAGTTACAGGTCTGTGAGAGCCAGAAATCTTGCTTGTTTGTAGGTGACCAAATACTTATTTTCCACCATAATTTGCAAATAAATTCATAAAAAATCCTACAATGTGATTTCTGGATTTTTTTTCCCTCATTTGTCTGTCATAGTTGACGTGTACCTATGATGAAAATTACAGGCCTCTCTCGTCTTTTTAAGTGGGAGAAACTTGCACAATTGGTGGCTGACTAATACTTTTTTCCCCCCCTGTATGTATATGGGTAAGTGGACTAATGCAACAGGAGAATGCTATTCATTGACTACAGCTCAGCGTTCAACACCATAGTGCCCCTCAAAGCTCATCACTAAGCTAAGGATCCTGGGACTAAAACACCTCCCTCTTGCAACTGGATCCTGGACTTCCTGACGGGGCCGCCCCCAGGTGGTAAGGGTAGGTAACAACACATCTGCCACGCTGATCCTCAACACGGGGCCCCTCAGGGGTGCGTGCTCAGTCCCCCTCCTGTACTCCCCTGTTTCACCCATGGACTTGCATGGCCAGGCACGACTCCAACACCATCATTAAGGTTGCCGACGACACAACAGTGGTAGGCCTGATCAACCGACAACGATGAGACAGCCTATAGGGAGGAGGTCAAAGACCTGGCCGTGTGGTGGCAGGATAACAACCTCTCCCTCAACATGACCAAGACAAAGGAGATGATTGTTGACTACAGGAAAAAAAAGAGGACTGAGTCACGCCCCCATTCTCATCGACGGGGCTGTAGTGGAACAGGTTGAGAGCTTCAAGTTCCTTGGTGTCCACATCACCAACAAACTATCATGGTCCAAACACACCAAGACAGTCGTGAAGAGGGCACGACAAAGCTTATTCCCCCTCAGGAGAACCTAAAAGATTTGGCATGGGTCCTCATATCCTCAAAAAAAGTAAACAGATTGCAACCATCGAGAGCATTCTTACTGGTTGCCAAAAAATCACAATCCCAAAAAAACAAACATCACCGCCGGGTAAGGGCAACTGCTTGGCCTTGGACTGCTCGGCCTCCGCCGGAGTGTATGGCAACTGAACTGCTCTGCTCGTCCTCCTCCGCTCCCTCAGGCACTACAGAGGGGTAGGGCGTAGCCCAGTACCTCACTGGGCCAAGCTCGCCTTGCAATCCGAATGACCTCTATACCATGCGGTGTCAGAGGAAGGCCCCCGCAAATTGTCAACAGGACCCAGCCAGACCCTAGTCATATACTGTTCTCTCTGCTACCGCACGGCAAAGCACACCCCAACGGTACCGGAGTGCCAGTCTACAAAAGGCTTCTCAACTCAAAACACCCAGCTGTCACCTACCCCCCCCACCCACCACCACCCCAAGCCATAAGACTAAGGACCCTTAACATCTATCATGCTAACCCCGTACTATTTTTATTATTAAAATACCTTACCCCCACAACCACCGCACCCTTTTACTTAACCAATTATTATAGTAATAACTTAAAATAAAAATACCCCCCCCCATCTTCTTACGTACGTTTACCGCTTAACGCGGCTGCTACTTGCGCTGCTACCACTACCTGTTAATTATTTATTCATAGTCACTTTAAAACTCTACTTAAACTAAACCTCTACACCCACATGTACATAATTTACCTGCAACTACCCGATACCTCAATAGTAGCCGGTGCCGGGCCCCTCAACTATCTCGGTGCCCCACTCAACTAGACCGGTGGCCAACTCAACTACCACTATTACCATTACTCTCTCAACTACGCTCACACTATCCTTGCCCCGCCACATTGACTCTCTGGCAAGCAACCGTTACCACCAACCCGCCACCCCCCACCTACCGCTACCCCCACCCCCCCCCCACCTACCCCCCACCTACCAACCCCCCCCCCCCCCCCCCCCGTCGCCCTACCCTCCCCCACCCCTGTACATCTCCGCCTTTCCCTACTGTTTATTTTATTTTACTTCTGCTCTTTTTTTTCTCACACTTTTTTGTTGTTGTTGTTTTATTTTAACTTTCCTATGGAGAAATAAATGCAAGTTTTGTTAAGGGCTTGTACGTAAGGCATTTACGGTAATGTCCTACAAACACTTACACCTGTTTGTATCGCGTCCCTATTGGCAAATAAAATTTGATTTGATTTATATTGCTTGTAGGGTAATAAATAAATGATACTTATACCCTACGTATATATTTTCAAAGAAGTGTGGAGATCTATTATTTGGACGCGTAATAGGTTAATTGAGGCCTATCTGTTTGAGGTCCATAACATTTAAAAATCATCCATCTCCTTGAGGATCTGTTTGGACAATTTGCAAACAGACATTCATTCGGGTGCATCAAAATTACTTACTGGTTAACAATAATATCATCACAATCAACCCCAATCAATCATCAACCCCTTTTTTAATTTAATTTCTTTGGCCCATGGGAGAAATAATCTTTTATCAACCCCCCCAGTCCTTTTTCCCATTTCCTTTTTCCCACACACTTCAATCACCTGCATCGAAAATTGTTGATTGGTTTCCTGTAAACAATAGATATTATATTATTTATATTTATCCAGGTAATACCAATACTTGATCGTCTTTTTCTTATTATCTGGCTAAGCTTTTTACAATTATACTTGGCTTACTTACAAAAAACGTTCGTAGGATGTTAAAAAGTTCTAGGTAGAACCCTTTGCTACAAACCCTTTTCTTTTTTCCAAAAAGGTAGTTCTTCTGATCGAAATGGTTTCTTGGTAGAAACCCTATCCTCCCTCCGCAAAGAACCCTTTTTTGAACCCTTTTTTTCTAGCAATGTAATAATCCCTGTTATCATTGCTGGTGTGGGGTGCTGGTCCTCCGCCATGGACGACCCCACCTGAGGGGAGGTTGTATATTTACTCGGAGCATGTACAGGAGGGCTCTAGTAGAAGAATATCCTCCATAAAGACACAACTGAACACTCAGGAGCGAGGCCTGTGGGACCAACACCATGAGTCATAATGTTGAGAATGAACCCAATTTCCTCCTGTGTGTTACCTATTACAGAGAAATAGTATGGCATCACACATGGCAAAACCCTAATATCCTATACTGTGCACTACTTTTGACCAGGGTCCTAAGGCTCGGTATTTTGTCCCGTTTGAGATTAAATTGAAATTGCAACCAACTTCCTATGGCTTGTTTTAAAAACAACTATATTTTGGAGATGATTTTGTTTTCAAATAACCGAAAGTGAGGGATTGTAATCTGAATAAAGGGAAAAAGGCCATTCTTGAACATTGGGTGAGACATTCTTACTAATTTGCTAGAGAACCAGTTTGGATTTAAGTATAACTTTTGTATGACTGACACCTTTAGTGAGAGTGTAATGCTTTAATATTAATCATTTCCTGCCCTCCGAATTCATATTCATTATATAAATAGGCCCTTTTCATTTTGTCTGGCTTGCCATTTCAAATAAAATTGAATATCTTTTGCTCATATTATTTAAAAAACTGTTCGCTAGGTGAAGGCAAGGCCATAAGCAAATAGGTAAACTGGGATATGACTAAAGATTTAATCAGGGGGATTTTTCCACAAATAGACAGGTATTTTCCTTTCCATGGTAGCAAGATCTTATCTATTTTTGCTAACTTTCTATTAACATTTATTGGAATGAGATCATTTCTTTCTTTCGGGATATGTATACCGAGTATGTCCACATCCTCGTCAGACCATTTTATTGGTAAGGTACACGGTAATGTAAAAGTTGTATTTTTTAGTGATCCAATACGCAATATAGTACACTTATCATAATTTGGTTTTAATCCAGAGAGGTGAGGCTGTGGAGGGATCGAAATTGTGGATTTAAAAGAAAACAACATGAATCATCAGCGTACAATGACACATTTGTTTTTAAGCCCTGGACTTCTAACCCCTTACAATTATTGTTGGATCTGATTTTACAGCTAACATTTCGATGGCAATAATAAATAGATATGCCGATAGAGGACCACCTTGTTTTACTCCTCTTGACAGTTTAAAACTTTCTGACGTAAACATTATTTATTATTTTACACATAGGGTTACTATACATAACTTTAACCCATTTTATAAGAGATTCTCCAAAATTGTATATAAACTCCAGTCGTACTTTATCAAAGGCCTTTTCAAAGTCAGCTATGAATACCAGGCCTGGTTTCCCAGATTTTTCATAGTGTTGTATTGTTTCCAGTACTTATATTATCTCCAATGTATCATACATCTAAAAAACCTGTCTGATTAGGATGAATAATATCCAACACTACCTTTTTAATTCTATGTGCTAAGCATTTTGCTATATTTTTTGCATCACAACACTGAAGTGTAAGAGGCCTCCAAATCTTTTAATGGACTGGATCTTTATATTTACCACTTGGATCCTGTTTCAGTAATAATGAAATCAGACCTTCTTGTTGAGTGTCTGATAATCTACCATTTATATAGGAGGGGTTAAAACATGCTAATAACGATCCGCTGAGTATATAAAAAAAGGATTCTTATACCTCCACTGGTATGCCATCCAGCCCTGGAGTTTTCCCGGACTTAAAGGCTTTAATTGCATCAAGAAGTTCCTCCTCTGTAATTTGGCCTTCACATGAGTCTTTCTGTATGGCTGTTAATTTTACATTATTAATAGAAATAAAATCCATACAATTAGCTTCGGTTAGTGGAGGTGGAGGAGACTGAAATGAAAACATATGCTTAACGTACTTTACTTGCTCTTTCAAAACATAATTTGGTGAATCATGGGAGACTCCGTCATTTGTAACAATTAGTACATTCTTTTTGGTAGCATTTCTATGTTGAAAATGAAAAAAGAATTTGGTTCATTTTCCCCCATATTCCAGTTCGCTTTATATTTATTATATATTACACTTGATCTTTCTTGAATAAGTTCCTCCATTTCTTTTAGTTTTTCCTCTAACTTATTCTGAGCCTCTATAGTACAGTTATTATTGCTATCTATCTGTACTGTTAGTCCTTCCATTTCCTTTGTTAATATGGACTCTTTTGACCTAAATTGCTTTTGTTTCAGAGATGAGTACTGAATTGCATGGCCTCTAAAGGCACATTTAAAAGTGTCCCATACAATAAGGGGATCTGCTGTACCTATGTTATGTTGGAAAAGGTCAGTTATAAATAGTTCTGTCCTAGTTAAAAACAATATCATCCAATTTCCAATATATATGCCAATTATGTGATGGTCCGACCGCATTTTGTCCCCTATCAACACTTTTTAAACTTTTGGTGCCAGAGAGAATGACATAAGAAAGTAATCAAGACGACTAGCTTGATTGAGCTTCCACCATGTATATCTCACTCGGTCAGGATATTTAAGCCTCCATATATCCACTAGTTCCAATATAACCATGACATTCGTGATTTCCTTAAGTGCATGAGGGTGATAGTTTGTAGTGTGATTTCCTTTACGGCCCATAGAGGTATTTAAAACCGTATTATAATCTCCCACCATAATAATGGACAAGAGGAACACCTACGTGAGAATGCTATTCATTGACTACAGCTCAGCGTTCAACACCATAGTGCCCTCAAAGCTCATCACTAAGCTAAGGATCCTGGGACTAAACACCTCCCTCTGCAACTGGATCCTGGACTTCCTGACGGGCCGCCCCCAGGTGGTAAGGGTAGGTAACAACACATCTGCCACGCTGAACCTCAACACGGGGGCCTCTCAGGGGTGCGTGCTCAGTCCCCTCCTGTACTCCCTGTTCACCCATGACTGCATGGCCAGGCACGACTCCAACACCATCATTAAGGTTGCCGACGACACAACAGTGGTAGGCCTGATCACCGACAACGATGAGACAGCCTATAGGGAGGAGGTCAAAGACCTGGCCGTGTGGTGGCAGGATAACAACCTCTCCCTCAACATGACCAAGACAAAGGAGATGATTGTGGACTACAGGAAAAAAAAGAGGACTGAGCACGCCCCCATTCTCATCGACGGGGCTGTAGTGGAACAGGTTGAGAGCTTCAAGTTCCTTGGTGTCCACATCACCAACAAACTATCATGGTCCAAACACACCAAGACAGTCGTGAAGAAGGCACGACAAAGCTTATTCCCCCTCAGGAGACTAAAAAGATTTGGAATGGGTCCTCAGATCCTCAAAAAGTTAAACAGTTGCACCATCGAGAGCATTCTGACTGGTTGCATCACCGCCTGGTATGGCAACTGCTCGGCCTCCGACCGCAAGGCACTACAGAGGGTAGTGCGTATGGCCCAGTACATCACTGGGGCCAAGCTACCTGCCATCCAGGACCTCTATACCAGGCGTTGTCAGAGGAAGGCCCTCAAAATTGTCAAAGACTCCAGCCACCCTAGTCATAGACTGTTCTCTCTGCTACCGCACGGCAAGCGGTACCGGAGCGCCAAGTCTAGGTCCAAAAGGCTTCTCAACAGCTTGTACCCCCAAGCCATAAGACTCCTGAACAGCTAATCATGGCTACCCGGACTATTTGCACCCCCACCCCATCTTCTTACGCTGCTGCTACTCTGTTAATTATTTATGCATAGTCACTTTAACTCTACCCACATGTACATATTACCTCAACTACCTCAACTAGCCGGTGCCCCCGCACATTGACTCTGCACCGGTACCCCCCTGTATATAGCCTCCCTACTGTTATTTTATTTTACTTCTGCTCTTTTTTTCTCAACACTTTTTTGTTGTTGTTGTTTTATTTTACTTTTCTATTGAGAAATAAATGCATTTTTGGTTAAGGGCTGTAAGTAAGCATTTCACGATAATGTCTACACCTGTTGTATTCAGCGCATGTGGCAAATAAAATTTGATTTGATTTATATTGCTTGTAGGGTATAAATAAATACTTATACCCTACGTATATATTTTCAAAGAAGTGTGGATCATCATTATTTGGACCGTATAGGTTAATGAGCCATATCTGTTTATGGTCCAATAACATTTAAAATCATCCATCTACCTTGAGGATCTGTTTGGACAATTTGCACATTCGGATCAAAATTACTGTTAATTAATATCATCACCCCTTTTTAATTTCTTTGCCCATGGGAGAAATATATTTATCACCCCCAGTCCTTTTTCCACACAACTTCATCTAAAATTGTTGATTGAGTTTCCTGTAAACAATAGATATTATAATATTTATATTTTATCCAGGTAAATACTGATCGTCTTTTCTTATTATCTGCTAAGCTTTTACAATTATAACTGGCTTACTTACAAAAACGATTCTTAGGATGTTAAAGGTTCTAGGTAGAACCCTTTGCCTTACAAATAACCCTTGTCTTCCAAAAAGGGTTCTTCTGATCGAAATGGTTCTTGGTAGAACCCTATCCCTCCGCAAAGAACCCTTTTGGAACCCTTTTTTCTAAGCATGTAATATCCCTGTTAGCATGCTTGTGGTGGTGCTGCCTCCTCTCAGACGACCCCACCTGAGGGGAGGTTGTATATTTATCTCAGCATGTACAGGCTCTGAGTAGAGATATCTCCATAAAGACACTGAACACTCAGAGTGAGGCCTGTGGGACAACACCATGAGTCAGAATGTTGAGAATGAGCCAATTTCCTCTGTTTGTTACCAATTACAGAGAAATAGAATGCATCACAAATGGCACCCTATATCCTATACTGTGCACTACTTTTGACCAGGGTCCCTAAGGCTCTGGTAGAGCTCTGGTCAAAAATAGTTCACTAAGTGGGGAATAGAGTGCCATTTGGGACACAGCAATAGTAATTTAATGATGTCAGAAGGGACGATAGTGGGCGTTAGGTTCCCTTGTGTTCCTGCAAATACAGATGTTGTTTTCGAGGTGTTTGTGTATGTCATCGGTTTGGTTGATTTAGGATGAGCTTCCCACTCCTGTGAACACATTGCTGGGAATTTACTGTGCATAGAGATACACGCGCATACACAGAGAGAGAGTATGTTCCTGCTGTGTTAAACACTACCCAGTGATCTCTGTGTGGGTGGGTGGATGGTTAGTGTTTCCTGTCCACAGACTTTAGGAAAGGGTTAACACGCACATTACCATGCTTTTCCCGTTTTTGGTGCAGTTACAGGCCCAAAGTTGACATAGTAGAAAAACATAGACTGTACCAATAACTCATTTTTACCTCTGCCATTTTACCCTGTCAACAGAGCCTGATGTGGCCTCCAGTGACGCCACCAACATGGAGTGTACCCTTCAGAGGGACCAAGACCATCACATCATCCACGGGAGGAAGTGGTGGAGCAGTGGTGCGTAAACCTACTTGTTATTTCATGAACTTATTTTTAATTCTGTTTTGATTTATAATTCCAGCTGGAGACTGGGAAAGCAGGGATGCCTATCCAATATTCACTTATGCCAAAATAGACCATTAACACGCTTAAATGAGTCGCGAATGAAAAAAGATTGAAGCTCTCTCTCTCTCTCTCTCTCTCTCTCTCTCTCTCTCTCTCTCTCTCTCTCTCTCTCTCTCTCTCTCTCTCTCTCTCTCTCTCTCTCTCTCTCTCTCTCTCTCTCTCTCTCTCTCTCTTCTGTTTGCATGCCACCAAAGCAGAAAGGCCTGAAGTGTATAAGCTTAATTGTGACTCCTTCCGTGCTATTTGAACAATGCTCTAAGTGCCTGAGAGCAGTTACCACCCAAAAGCAGCACTTCTTTTCATCTCTCTACCCAAACAGACTAATGAGGTAAACCCCAGAGTGGGAACATTTTACCCTCTGAGCCACACATGGCTAACAGAACTCATTCTTGGAACGAAGACATGAGTCATAGAACAAGCAAACACTGAAAGGACCATGTTAAACATTGTGTCTTGTGCATCTATGTGCTTTAAGTGCTTTTAAAAGGCCAATTAAGGATTGCGTGACTGTTTATTTCATATATTGACTCAGTTTGTATATAGTGGATGAAGAGGTTTATTTGTGGGATCTTTGACAAAGGTGCAGATACGAGTGACTCACCGGCCAAACAGTATCTCCACCCTATAAGCCAGGGATCATCAACAAACTCAGCAACAAAAGACTGCGTTTATTTTCAGCAAACTTAACATGTGTAAATATTTGTACAGTGAGGGAAAAAAGTTTTTGATCCCCTGCTGTTTTGTACATTTGCCCACTGACAAAGAAATGATCAGTCAATAATTTTAATGGTAGGGTTATTTGAACAGTGAGAGACAGAATAACAACAAAAAAATCCAAGAAAACGCATGTCAAAAATGTTATAAATTGATTTGCATTTTAATGAGGGAAATAAGTACCCCCTCTCAATCAGAAAGATTTCTGGCTCCCAGGTGTCTTTTATACAGGTAACGAGCTGAGATTAGGAGCACACTCTTAAAGGGAGTGCTCCTAATCTCAGCTTGTTACCTGTATAAAAGACACCTGTCCACAGAAGCAATCAATCAATCAGATTCCAGACTCTCCACCATGGCCAAGACCAAAGAGCTCTCCAAGGATGTCAGGGACAAGATTGTAGACCTACACAAGGCTGGAATGGGCTACAAGATCATCGCCAAGCAGCTTGGTGAGAAGGTGACAACAGTTGGTGCGATTATTTGCAAATGGAAGAAACACAAAATAACTGTCAATCTCCCTCGGCCTGGGGTTCCATGCAAGATCTCACCTCGTGGAGTTGCAATGATCATGAGAACGGTGAGGAATCAGCCCAGAACTACACAGGAGGATCTTGTCAATGATCTCAAAGCAGCTGGGACCATAGTCACCAAGAAAACAATTGGTAACACACTACGCCGTGAAGGACTGAAATCCTGCAGCGCCCGCAAGGTCCCCCTGCTCAAGAAAGCACATATACAGGGCCGTCTGAAGTTTGCCAATGAACATCTGAATGATTCAGAGGAGAACTGGGTGAAAGTGTTGTGGTCAGATGAGACCAAAATCGACCTCTTTGGCATCAACTCAACTCGCCGTGTTTGGAGGAGGAGGAATGCTGCCTATGACCCCAAGAACACCATCCCCACCATCAAACATGGAGGTGGAAACATTATGCTTTGGGGGTGTTTTTCTGCTAAGGGGACAGGACAACTTCACCGCATCAAAGGGACGATGGATGGGGCCATGTACCGTCAAATCTTGGGTGAGAACCTCCTTCCCTCAGCCAGGGCATTGAAAATGGGTCGTGGATGGGTATTCCAGCATGACAATGACCCAAAACACATGGCCAAGGCAACAAAGGAGTGGCTCAAGAAGAAGCACATTAAGGTCCTGGAGTGGCCTAGCCAGTCTCCAGACCTTAATCCCATAGAAAATCTGTGGAGGGAGCTGAAGGTTCGAGTTGCCAAACGTCAGCCTTGAAACCTTAATGACTTGGAGAAGATCTGTAAAGAGGAGTGGAACAAAATCCCTCCTGAGTTGTGTGCAAACCTGGTGGCCAACTACAAGAAACGTCTGACCTCTGTGATTGTCAACAAGTGTTTTGCCACCAAGTACTGAGTCATGTTTTGCAGAGGAGTCAAATACTTATTTCCCTCATTAAAATGCAAATGAATTTATAACATTTTTGACATGCGTTTTTCTAGATTGTTTTTGTTGTTATTCTGTCTCTCACTGTTCAAATAAACCTACCATTAAAATTATATACTGATCATGTCTTTGTCAGTGGGCAAATGTATAAAATCAGCAGGGTGATCAAATACTTGTTTCCCTCACTGTATGAACATAACAAGTTTCAACAACTGAGACATAAACTGAACAAGTTCCACAGACATGACCAACAGAAATTGAATAATGTGTCCCTGAACAAAGGGGGGGTCAATATCAAAAGTAACAGTCAGTATCTGGTGTGGCCACCAGCTGCATTAAGTACTGCAGTGCATCTCCTCCTCATGGACTGCAGCAGATTTGCCAGTCCTTGCTGTGAGATGTTGCCCCACTCTTCCACCAAGGGCACCTGCAAGTTCCCAGACATTTCTAGGGGGAATGGCCCTAGACCTCACCCTCCGATCCAACAGGTCCCAGACGTGCTCAATGGGATTGAGATCCGGGCTCTTCACTGGCCATGGCAGAACACTGACATTCCTGTCTTGCAGGAAATCACGCACAGAACGAGCAGTATGGCTGGTGGCATTGTCATGCTGGAGGGTCATGTCAGGATGAGCCTGCAGGAAAGGTACCACATGAGGGAGGAGGATGTCTTCCCTGTAACGCACAGCATTGAGATTGCCTGCAATGACAACAAGCTCAGTCTGATGATGCTGTGACACACCGCCCCAGACCATGACGGACCCTCCACCTCCAAATCGATCCCGCTCCAGAGTACAGGCCTCGTGTATCGCTCATTCCTTCGACGATAAATGCAAATCCGACCATCACCCCTGGTGAGACAAAACCGCGACTCGTCAGTGAAGAGCGCTTTTTGCCAGTCCTGTCTGGTCCAGCGACTGTGGGTTTGTGCCCATAGGCGACGTTGTTGCCGGTGATGTCTGGTGAGGACCTGCCTTACAACAGGCCTACAAGCCCTCAGTCCAGCCTCTCTCAGCCTATTGTGGACAGTCTGAGCACTGATGGAGGGTATTGTGCGTTCCTGGTGTAACTTGGGCAGTTGTTGTTGCCATCCTGTACCTGTCCCGTAGGTGTGATGTTCGGATATACCGATCCTGTGCAGGTGTTGTTAAACGTGGTCTGCCACTGCGAGGATGATCAGCTGTCCGTCCTGTCTCCCTGTAGCGCTGTCTTAGGCGTCTCACAATGCGGACATTGCAATTTATTGCCCTGGCCACAACTGCAGTCCTCATGCCTCCTTGCAGCATGCCTAAGGCACGTTCACACAGATGAGCAGGGACCCTGGGCATCTTTCTTTTGGTGTTTTTCAGAGTCAGTAGAAAGGCCTCTTTAGTGTCCTACGTTTTCATAACTGTGACCTTAATTGCCTACCGTCTGTAAGCTGTTAGTGTCTTAACGACCGTTCCACAGGTGCATGTTCATTAATTGTTTATGGTTCATTGAACAAGCATGGGAAACAGTGTTTAAACCCTTTACAATGAAGATCTGTGACGTTATTTGGATTTTTACGAATTATCTTTGAAAGACAGGGTCCTGAGAAAGGGGTGTTTCTTTTTTTGCTGAGTTTTTTTATATATATATATATATAAAATTTGGCTGCCAGTTTGGGAATCCTGTCATATCCCATGTATTTAGCTGATGTTGTTTTCAGTTTAATTTTGAATGGGACAACATGAAATGTACTACTCTGCGTGGGTACATTGAAAGTATTTGGGTTGAAGTTGCCACTGTCAAAGTGGTGTGACATAACAGAAACAACCTCACCGACATTAAATCACTGCCGCTGCGTAGTGATCCTCCAGATAGAACAGTAAACAAGCATTTCCTGTCATAGCCATGATTTAACATTAAATAAATCACGTCTGGACCGTGGTCTCAGCCAATCAGAATCCAGGATCAGCACCCTTTGTGTAATGTTAGTTAGATAATATCAGTTTCACTTGCTATTGTATATCATTGATCACTGTTATCATAACTTGTGTTGTGAATGTGACGTATGTATGCCTGTAGATGTTGCTAACTGACCCCCTCAATCACTGTCCGCTCTAGGACATATTCCAGATGTTAAACTGTGGTTTGAGGCCGTCCTCATTTCAACATTCTCTGCATGACATGGAACATTGGCCTGTTGTTTTCAGTATCGGCACGGAACGTATCCTTAACCCTTTTCTAGACTGTCTTGTCTTATTTAGTCAGTCATATCTGTATTGTGTATCAGACTGTGAAACACTGTCTGCGTTCCAAATTTTGACCAGAGCGGTATGGGCCCTGCTCAAAAGTAGTGCACTGTATAGGGAACAGGGTGCCATTTGGGATATGGACCTAAAATGATCACTCTTATGGCATGTTGAGTTTCATCAACACTTATGCAAGTTATGCAAGTTTGATAACGTCTAATTGGCTGTGCATGTAGGGGGGTTCCAAACCCAAGAACAAAAGGAGTAGTGGTCTGAATGAATAACAGAGACATCATTATCTTAAACTAGTGTTTTTTCTAGTTTTCCAGCTTTAGGGTTCAATCGAAGGATGATTATTATGCAATTAGTCATTGATGATATACAGTACTTGTAAAAAGTTTGGACCCACCTACTCATTCAAGGGTTTTTCTTTATTTTTGTAGAATAATAGTGAAGACATCAAAACTATGAAATAACACATATGGAATCATGTAGTAACCAAAAAAGTGTTAAACAAATCAAAATATATTTTATATTTGAGATTCTTCAAAGTAGCCACCCTTTG